AATCCCATTGAGTAAGGTTAAAATATCAGCTCTGACATCATAAACAAGATTCACCCAATTCAAATGAAAAGTTAACGCTATAGATTAGATTCGTTTTGATAAGATTCCGTATAGCTTTGACAAAGTAAAAGAATTCAGAGAATCAATATGACGAAGTTGTATTTTACCTAAAAAGGCAGTACAATGTTAAGATAACTATATGTTTTCCCTTTGAAAAGCTGATTAAATGAAAACTACTTCTGGTTTTCCAAATCGCATTACTTAACAAATGTTCTGGAACTATAACATTTAGTATAGGAAATTGATTTTACAAATATTTTGAGACTGATAAGAAATTGCTTTGTACTCGGCACTTTTCTCGTAATGGGGTTTTTACTACTGAACGATAAGGAATCATAGCTTACAGCCAAGTGATTTTTTCTTTATTTGCTTTCTGTTATATTTTATTATTTTACTGCCGCGTGTTTTGCAATTTACTCTTCCTGTGCCCGAATGATAAATGAGTTTTGACACAGAAACAAATTCAATTCGGCCCCACAAACTGATAAACGAACCGAAAATACAAAAAAAAGCTAAAGAAAAAAACGTTAACAAAGAAATCGTCTATGGCTATGTATGTACGAGTACAATTTTTTAGGTGCAAATGAGAACAAGTTTACTGAGGAGCAAAAATGGAGTACGAGACTGAGGAACTGGCAGAAAGATGCTTTATTACCTGGGTATATAAATCTCACAGCCAATGACAGCATCCTAAGCAGAGCATCCTTAAGGGATCGCAGAATAAAGAAAAGGATTGCTCTAACCCTTTCCATGGCTCGGGGCGTGGTCTTTTGAGTGTAGGTTTAACCTTCAACTGTGTTTGGACAGCGAATTGAATGAAATTGCTACTCAATCTAATTTATCAAAATCCAACACATGTTCCATGTTCTCAAAGATTTTGGCCTGCGTTTTCACTTTCGCTAACGAGAGATCTGCCCATCTACTCATTGGCTGCCATCTGCTCGTCTGTTTGTTTGGATGTTCGCGCATTTTGCTAATGATCCGTGAATTTCTGTGTCAATTTGAATTGTTTTTGATCTCGGGATTTCTGGTCGATGAAGTCATGTTTTTGCCCAGCCTCCCACAAGAAATATTCATACGATAAATATGTAAGAGAGTACACATGCCTGCACGTGACACTGACTGAATGTAATTTGACGGATACAGTTTCAGGTACACACCCATCCTATGCCATTCCACAGCCCATCTCAGGTTGCGTGACGCTGATGATGCCCCAGGGCGAACCTTGAAGTGTCGCAATCATTCGTGCAGAACTATTCTATGGGTCTCCTCTTCGGAACAGACAACAGTTGGATGAGTGGGTTTCCCCCTCTCAGGTGTACAAGTTATTGTTTTGTTTGTTTTGACTTGAAATTAATTGGTAAATGTAACTGTTTAGCTTTGTTATTTAACACTAGAACGGGTTACGGGGGGATTGCTTAATAAATAATTTGTTTACAAAAGTTCAGGTTTAGTGTGCTTTTAAATGCTTAGTAAACAAACAGAATTTAGAGATTTATTTGAGAAAAGTAAGCCAAAGACATTCTAACTCAAATATCTTTCTCTTCTGCTCTCTCTTAACCTTTGGCAGGCCTTTCACTTTATATTTATTCGTTATTTTAGTTACCTTTTCCTGTCTGTCTGCAACATCCGCCTCCTTCGCCAGCTCTTTTGGTAATCTTGTTTGTGCGATCGCCCTTTTTGCCTCGAATCATTTGTGGGCTTTGCTAATTTTCTTTACCTTTGTTAGGTCGACAGAGGCAGAGAGGATCAGTAGGAATTGGAAAAGAAAACCATTCCTTGTGCAGGCTACTTTTTGCTGGTTGCACAGCCAGCAACTTTGCCACCAGTCGCCGTGATCTTCTTTCACTGATCTCTGGGCAAACACAAACGGCGAGCGGGACAAAAAGAAAGTAAATCTGGTTTTTGGAGCAGATGTGCAGAACGATGGTCGGACGGTCTATGTAGGAAACGCCAACACCAAGATCTGCCCAAACAGCACAGGGTGAAAGAAGGGAATTTAAAGAGTGGGGGGATCCCAAGATTTATTGCCTGTTGTCCTCCAGATCTTTGCGACTGGACACTGTCGACACGGTCAGCCTACCTAAATATTTTCGTAGGTTTTTCGTGGGCCAATGCAAATATGCAATACTCGTATCCATGGGATCTGTATCTGGATCCCAAAAAGATCTTTTGAGCTCCTCGCTATCGCTATTCATATTTCCATGAAAGGCGAGGCAAATGGAAAAATATTCTTTTATTATGGTTATGGCTTATTAAAATCACATTATTTGACCATTTACGGGCATGACCAAAGTATCAAAACATCCGTGGCGCGTTTCAATGGCACGAACTGTTTGCCATTTGTGGTATCTAATTAGCGTAAATTGAGGTTCGGGGTTGCTTTAAACTGTACTCAAGGTTAGGATGTTGCAGCTGGTTAACATTAATACTTGGCTTGGTCAAAGCTGTTTATTTAGTTTTTAAGGTAATAATACTTATTACTTACGACCAATTTGATGGTTTTATCAATTTTATTGTGGTTTTATAGATTCACAGGACATCTTTCTTTCAGCTGTAAAGGATAGTCATAAAAATGTAAGCGATGACATTTCTAACTGCTTCTTGTTTGTGGCTACCGTAAACAACTAAACGGTTATAAACATTTTTACGACCAAACCGCTGACAATCCTTGGCGCCTCCTGGTCAAATAGAACTAAAGTATATATTTTCTTGGATGCCTGGCACGCTTCTTGGTGATAAAACTCAGCCAGGGTTTTTGGTTCGGCTCAGTTTGAATACAGCTGCTGTCAGTCATAAAACTAAGCTATCTATATCTTGAAGTTTTGGGTCATAAGGTCACCTGGTTGTTAGGAAAACATGTTTGTCCCAGAGGAAAGTTAGAAAGGAGGGCCAGAAAGGGAAATGAATATTTCATATTGTTCGCTAATTAAAATGCTTAACCCACATCAAGAGCTGTAAATCCCAAGCCTTCTTATCGCCTCAATGGCAAAATTGTATAAACACAAACAAACAGAACTCAAAAAATAAAGGCTAAACAAATCCCAACCGAAATAAAACCCCTTCTTCGACCAACAAACACGGACACTTTCTCTCTCCCTTTTGATTTTTGGACGTAGAACAAGAAATGCAAATGGAAAGAACTCCGAAATCGAAATTTCTTTCGGGTCTGCCAGCTAGTTTGCATACGTAATTATTTTGGGAATTTTGACAACGATGGCGACATTTGACATGAGTTTGAGTTACGATCCCGGAGAGATAAAGATGCAGCAATCACCGAGGGATAGTTACAAGAAAAAAGAAAGGGTTGCCCCGAGGCTGGCGGTTTGAACTTCACACATAAGCCGATCGCCACCATCCCGCTTCGGATCTTTATTCCGATTCCGATCCCGATTCCAATCCCTCAGGTGATAGTTAACCCCAGAGCGCGCAGTGTCAGACATTTGACATCATTAGTCAAACTTAAAGACGCATTTGTAACTGGCTTGTAACTCTAAGCGCTTTAGGCTAATGACGAGCCATTAATTAGGTGGGATTGTCTGTTTCGTAGCCCACAATTTGTTACAATTCGAGCACTGAGAACCTAGAACCAGTCAGTCAGTCCGCCGCCTGGTACGCTGAACGCCATCTTTGATCCGAAACACATTTCCTATTATTCTACCCAAAAAAAAGGCATGCAAATTGCAAAACCGCGCTAATTTTTTCCTGCCATATCGCTTTCAATTGGATTCAAGCATTTTTGCCCGGATTTATTTCGGTGTTTCCAGTATTATATAACAAAAGGCATATTTATTTCGTTTTAATTTGTAATTTTGCGCTCTGGTCAGCAAGGCAAGAGTTCAAACCAGTTGAACGTGTCTTGTTGTACGCTTTCCATCGCCTCAGTCGATTAACAAGCGGCCAGGAAAACAAGTTCCCAAGCAGCCCTGGGACAAACCCTTGAGACGATCCACATATCCATGTCCATGTCTGTGTCTATGGCCATGTCCCTGTCGTTGTCCATCCCAAAAAGCCATGCGAAGTCCTCAGTGTTTACTTAAGCAACTCTTAACAACTCATAATAGAGCAATTTTCACGTATCCCTCTCTGCCTGGAGATCCAGTAAATCATCGCCGGGCAACCAGCCATTCAACTGGTCAGCCATTGTCACTCCTTCTACCCTAAGTTCTTGGCTGAATGAAAGGAGTATGCGTCAGGCGGTCACCCGTAATCCCCTTTTCCTGAAGTGAAATTGATCGTGGGCACTTGGAAATCTAATGGCTCGGGCTTGTCCCTTCGCTCTTGGGAAAAAGATTTATGGTGGCAACTTAATGCTGTTTTCATTTCGGGCTTAGCAGATAGTTTAACTCGGGCGTGATATACAGAGACGAACAGAGAGAGATCCTCCGTAGGAGCCGCGAAAGCTTAGCGGCAAGCAGCTGGCCTGCCTTGCCATATCAAGTTCCATGGCTCAAGGTGCCAGGCATTTCAATTAGCTACCCATTTATGGACCATTTCTTAGCCTTGAAACCCCGAATACCTTAAGTCTGATTGAGGGACTGTGACTTGACAATGAGCTAATTTAAATCAGAAAAGTGTTCGAGCAAACTGACAATTTAAAAGTTTTTTTTTTCGATATGCGGCAGACAATTGCCAAAAATTGAAAAGGAAGCTTCCTGGCAAACATTTGTGCTGTCAATCATGCGTACGAGCTAAACATACGCTCGAAGGATGATGTATGTGTATTTAGGTTTCCTTCGCGAAGGATACATTTGCATAATGATGGGAGGATGGTTTCTTGAGAGCTGGAAACTTTTGGCCGCGACATATAGGTCAAAGAGAAACGGGTTCGTCCTTTCTGAGATCGCTAATTACGCTGCGTGAACTCGTTTTTTTTTTTGTTTTATTCCCAACTAAAACTAAAACTCTTTGGCTAATGATGATTTGATGATTTTTTACAGATTCGTTTGTGAACAGTCAGGAATGGACGATTTCGCGGTCGGTACCGGATTTGAGATTGGGAATAGTTGGTTCCCTGAACTCCGGAAAGTCGGCCCTGGTGCATCGGTATCTCACTGGCTCCTACATGCAGGAGGAGTCGCCCGAAGGGGGTCGCTTCAAGAAGGAGGTCTTCATCGACGGCCAGAGCTACTTGCTACTCATTCGCGATGAGGGTGGAGCTCCCGAAATGCAGGTAAGTCCTTGGGGTTAGTTTTTTTTGTATTTGGTTTTGCTTTTTTTCCCATTTCCATGGAATATTCATGGGAATGGGAAAATGATGTATTGCTGGGGGTAGCACTTTGCCAGCAAAGTTTCCCGTGCCGTAGACAAATAAATTTTCCCTTATCATCTTGTAAATATTTGAATTGAGGTCAACGTGGGATCAACTGGGAGAACTTCTTGGGGGTTGGTTGCCCGCCCCTACTCAGTTTTTATTTATCAATATAATTTGATTGAAATGCCTAGAACTTAAGCCTAGAGTTTTCCTTTGTGGCCCCCAGACATATCCACAGTTCTTTGCAACCAATTATCCAAGTTTTTGGCTACTCCACTTTCTTTTAGTTGAATTTTTCTCCTTTGGCGTGAAAGTTTGCCTTGACTGGACATTGGGGAGTTAGATTTTTGTGTTGGTTGGGTCACACGGCATGAGTCACACTGGCAAACGAACTTCGACCTTTGGCAACGGCGACTTTGTCGCAATGCCAGATAAGCGCTTTCAACGTGTCTAGTTTTTGTTGGCCATTATGGCAGTACGTGATGCAGCATCATCATCATCATCATCCTGGCCGACAGCCAATAACTTTGCCCAAGGGTTATAGAGGTTTTGCCCAGTGCAAAATACAAACAAAATACACACAATACCGGCGAGCACTCAATAGATTGCCAACCCCTCAGCTGCAGTTGGGCAATCAAAAGTTCCTACAGACCCCGGATCCGGATCCAGCTTCGAATGCAATTGAATTCGTCTTTTGTCAATACACATATGTATGTATAGTATGCCTGAGATTGGGTAGCGTAATTAAAGGCAACTTAACCACGGGCTATTTACATTTTGAACACGGGCCTTGACTCATTGATTCCCCCGAGGCTTCTGTGGCTCAAGGAGCTTTTGTTCAGCTCTCGGCTTTCTGCTTTGATATACTCGTATATCGTAATATATGTACTACGTTTTTATATGTCTGAGTTTGAATTTGCATTTTTCGCAATTGCAATTTCGCTACCCCCTACAAGTTCCTGAGGCCTTCTGCGCCTGCGGCTTAAAGGGTGAAAGTGAGGATTATAAATTTTAAGCTGCTTTTGCTTTTCACTAGTCTGTCTCATTTTTTATTTGCGGTTCTATTTACACTACACTCTGGTTCAGGGGGTTGCTTATAAAAAAATGTGCCAGACACGCGACCCTCGAAATCCCAATAATATCCATATAATCCTAGCTCTAGCCCTGCTGTCTGACAGTCTTTCAGTATTTGCTATATCTCGTTGTTAGCGATTCTTATTCAAATTGCATTTTTTTTTCCACTTCCACTCTTTTTAATTATAAGTTTGGAGAATTTTTGCAAGTCAAGCAGATGATTGACCTAAATTATCGTCGGGATAGGATTCATAACAAAGGATTATGGGTTCAATGGTTCCTGGGAACAGTTTGCTGGGAACAGTTTTAGAGTTACAGTTTGGGAGTCATATAACATCGAACACTTTTTACTTCACATCACATGATACAGTTTGAGAGTCGTTTTTCTCACTTCACTGCACTATAATGCAACTTTCTTCTGTTACATATTACATAATCGTTATTATTCGCCGACTGTCAAACTGTCAATCAGCCCTTTCACTCGAACGCACAAACTCCAGTCAACCTCCCACTTTTCCTACATTTGTAATTCTTTCCAATTCACAAAATCAACTAATTTTATACCACTTTCTTTGGCCAACCTCGTGTCAGTCACATCTTTATGGAACATAATAGACCCATATTTCATAAGCAAAATAACCCTCATTTGTGACGGACTCGGCAAAAGTTACGCCAACAGTAACTATAACAGGGAGAGGACGGACCCACCCAAAATAAAAATGTGAACAACCCGGAAAGTCCCACCCTCGCAGGAAAAGCATTCGCCTCCCAACTTTGGTTGGAATCACTCATTCAATGGTCGACTCGTCGCCACTCTGTCGCATTTGTAGTTGCTTTTTTTTCGGTTTCCCCAGCGAAGGATATCATTACCATATACGAGACACGAGACGGCGACAACAGCGACAACAATATTGCATACGACCAGAAACGGTCGATTCCTTATTGTTAGACCCGGCAAATGGGGAGTGTACACTCGCGGCGATGCAAATAGGTTATTGAATATACAATAAGAGCAGCTTGCCTTCTTCACTTAGATATAAACTTTTTTACTCTTACTATATTTACTTAGAAAGACACAATAGAGTTTATTTTAAACATTGGATTTTGAAAACCTATCCATAGATTGATCCATTTTTGTGACCCCCGCTGTCCTGCTTACATCTGCAGTTGTTTTTCTTCGTCATCAGCATACATATGTGCAGTAAGCATTCACAGGATCTCCTCTCCTCCCCCAACACACACGAACAAAAAAAAAACCCCTTACATCGCGTATCTGTGTGAGCTCGAACCTTTCGTCGCCATTTGGTGCAACTTTTTTGCGACCCCCTTTGCGCTGGTGCTTCGTTTTTGCTTTCCTGTTTCCTCTGCATACATTTTCACAACAAATCATAAAAAGTGGCAATGATGGCGGCGCCATGGGGCGGGTAGAGGCAGACAGCCCAACCACCCACCACACAATGCACACAGCAACACAGACGACGAGAGTGTCCTCGTTGCCAGGACATTCTAGCAGCCAGTTGTTTGTCGACTAGCGTCGCGTGCGGGCGGCTTTTTTTCCCATCGCCGGATTGCTACTACTGTCACACAAGGATAACCCAAGCTCGAAAGTCCTGGCAAACTCCTCCATGAGAGAGTTACATAAATAATTCAGCGACTTTGTGCCAGGTAAAATACCTGCGATGCATTATTAATTGATTCGAACCGAAGGACAGTCAATCAATATTAAGACTGGAAAACTCCATTTCCTGGCGTCGCCTCTTGATGGGAATCCTGCGCAGAAACGGCAAAGGCTGTTTACATGCCATATAAAAGTTCATTATCCTGCCAAACTGTTCTCGTGCGTGTGTTTTGTGTGTGTGTGTGTGGGGCATACAAAAATCATTAAAAAGTTTAACACACGCCTGCCTGGCGAGCAGAGCGGAGTGGAGTGGAGTGGAAAGAAGGCTTCAAGTGCTTCATTAGCGACTTTCTCAAGTATGTGTGTTGAGTCCTTTGACCAAGCTAAAATAAAGAGAAAAAACAACTCTAGCTCAAACTCCTTATAGCTCCTTTGCAAGAAGCTGCTATATATATATATTATGTCCATTGTTTTGCGCGCTTCCGCCAGACGCCGCATTTTGTTTACACCCCATCCCATCGATACCGAATCCAAGTCATTCCTCCCCAGAATCCCTCGCAAAGTCAAGGACTCGACGCGTCCCAAAACGGGCTGTATTCTCGCAGGACTTCTCTTTGTTTTCAGTTTTTAGCTTTCTGCTCTCCCAACCCTTTCCCCTTTTTGACTCATAACATGCTCTTTCGTCTTTTCTTACAGTTCGCTGGCTGGGTGGATGCGGTAATCTTCGTGTTCAGTCTGGAGAACGAGGGCAGCTTTAATACCGTCTACAACTACTATACAAAAATGGCACATTTCCGAAATGGCCAGGAAATACCCATGATATTGGTCGGAACGCAAGGTACGTTAAATAGTTGTAATGTTATGTAATAGTAAACATAGTAGAAAAAGATCTGAACCTTATTTTAAAAATTATTTTTCAATTTTTAGATGCCATCAGCGAGCGCAATCCTCGCGTGATTGATGACACCCGTGCGAGGAAATTGGCCAGCGACCTAAAGCGCTGCTCCTACTACGAGACCTGTGCCACCTATGGCCTAAATGTGGAGCGTGTCTTTCAGGATGGTAAGTCTACAAAGTCAATTAATTAAATCAATCACAAAACACTCATTATGTTTAACCTTTTTTTTATAGCCTGTCAAAAGATCCTGTCGCAACGCCTGCCCTTGCCACCACAGGTGCAACCGCCGAGACCTACAACCCCGCAGGGCAATCGTTTGGGTTTAGCGCCTTATCAGGCACCCACCAATGGACAACGTGGTCAGCAGCAGCTGCCACTGCGAATGAGTGCGGATTTCGCCCAGGCGGAGCAGAAGCTGTGGTCCCTGCAAGGAGCCAGCAGCTCAACCACCAACGAGAACAACAACATCACCAAATACAATCCCGGAGCAGCCAATCCACTACAGGGTGATTGCTCTCAAGTGCAGTTGCGGGATCCACGCGACCTGGCGCCACCGCCGGGTAAGGAACTGCCCACACCTACCTCGACGCCTACGACGAGCCGCAAGAGCCGGCGGCGCTCAAACCTGTTCATTCCCTCCTCCTCGAAGAAGGCAGACAAGGAGAAGGAGCCGAAGAGCAGTGAGCTGGGCAGTGGACGTTCCATACCCATAAAACAGGGTTATTTGTACAAGCGATCTAGCAAGTCTTTGAACAAGGAGTGGAAGAAGAAGTACGTGACACTCTGTGATGATGGAAGACTTACCTATCACCCTTCCCTGCATGACTACATGGACGATGTGCATGGCAAGGAGATTCCGCTGCAGTACGTCACCGTCAAGGTGCCGGGACAGAAGCCTCGTGGCTCCAAGAGCATCATCACGAACAGTGCGCTTACCAGTTCTCTGATGGCCAATGGTCAAAGAGCTCAAAATACCCTGAGCGATGGCATCGGTTGTCTCACCCTGGCCAAGGACAATCAGCGAAAGCTGAGCGAGAAACTATCTTTACTGGGTGCCGGATCGGGGGCAGCTGGCGGCGCTGGGGAGCCATTAAAGTCGAACAGCTCACAGCAGACAAGCGGGGACGAGGGCATAGCCATGTCCAATTCGAATTCACAGACTTTCATAGCCGGTGAAGCGGCCAACATAGCCAATAAATTGGAGGCCCAGACGCCGAATGTTAAGAAGCGACATCGCCGTATGAAGAGCAGCAGTGTAAAGGCCAATGAGGCAGACGACAACGATGGCTACGAATTCTACATTGTATCGCTGGACTCCAAGCAGTGGCACTTCGAGGCTGCCAATTCTGAAGAGCGCGACGAGTGGGTGGCGGCCGTCGAGCAAGAGATCTTCAAGAGCCTACAAAGCATCGAGAGCAGCAAGACCAAACAGGCCACCAGCACCGATCTGGCCGCAATGCTGGCCATTCGACAGCGAGTTCCCGGAAACGGCTTCTGCGTCGACTGTGGAGCGCCAAGTAAGTTGATCCTAAAAAATGATTATTATTACCTTTACTTACATTTTGTATTACCTTTTACAGATCCTGAATGGGCCAGCTTGAATTTGGGCGTACTCATGTGCATCGAATGCTCGGGAGTTCATCGCAATCTTGGCTCGCATATATCCAAAGTTCGCTCTCTGGGTCTGGATGACTGGCCGTAAGTTTATACCTATATTTCCACCCAAAGATCAGTCTAAAATATTCTTTTTCGCCTTATTAGATCTCCGCATCTCAGTGTGATGCTGGCCATTGGCAACAGTCTGGCCAACTCCGTCTGGGAGTCGAACACGAGACAACGAGTGAAGCCCACTTCACAGGCCAGCCGGGAGGAGAAGGAGCGATGGGTGCGCAGCAAATATGAGGGCAAGGAGTTCCTGACCCCACTGGGCAATGGATCCTCAGCACATCCCAGCCCGAGTCCGGGTCAGCAGCTGATCGAGGCTGTGATCAGGGCGGACATCAAGTCGATTGTTTCGATCTTGGCCAACTGTCCGTCCGAGGTGACCAATGCCAATGTGAGCGCCAGGGATGTGCGAACTCCATTGCTGCTGGCCTGTGCCATAGGCAATCTGGCCATTGCACAGCTGCTCATATGGGTAAGTCAACTGAAGATCATATAAAACCATATAGATTACTAATGAGTACTCTTATATTTTTCCAGAATGGCGCCAACATCAAGCACACGGATCACGAAGGTCGCACATGCTTGGCTTACGCTCGAGCGGCACAATCTCTGGCCACCGCCAAGTCGATAAAAGCTGCTGCAGCTGCGCAAGCGGGCACTACGATTCCGGCGCCTGCTCCACCCACAAACGGAGGCATTCCTGCTCCTCAATACAATGTGGAGGACACGACGGCGCTGGTGGAGCTGCTCGAGGGATTGGGCTGCCCGGAGGCGGCACCACTGACGGCCAGTGGCACCTTGCCCAGGAGACGCGACACGCTAGGCACGCCCTACGAGAAGTCCGTGTCCGGTGTGATCTGAATTAGTTAAAATTGAAATAAGATTAACATGAATTTTCGTAGCAATTGTACAATTTTTAGACTTTGTTGTTCGTAACGGAATTAGTTTAAATTCTATCGGTAAAATTGTATAGCGTTTAGTGTTTAGGTTTTAGGAATGTTGTGCAAATGTTTTATATGACTATTATTATTTGGCAAGCGTTGAATGGAAATTCACAAATTTTATTTATGTTTTTTTTTTTAGTTTGTTTAGTTTCTAAGCCAAGAAACCTGTACAGCCTTGTTGTAATCTCAAGTGTATAATTTATTATTTTCGTATTACGTATTACTATTCTTATTGTTTTTATCGTGTACAGGTTTTTTATCGTTTGCAAAACAATTATTTAGTAATTATATTTATTATGTTGTAACTCTCGATAACCACATCAGCAGATTGCAAAAAGACTTTGTGGAAAGAAAAACATACTTGTACACCTTTAACAATTGATAAAAGCTGATGCAAAATATACGTATAAACGAAATGAATCTAAGATTAAAGCCAAAAACAAACTTATACTATACAATATACACGAACATATATATATTATATACATACATAGTTGAAATTGCTTGATAATCGGTTTAAACAAATGAACACGCCCAAAATGTAGCTTATGCTGAACCAAACTCACAAAATAACAAAATTCTTTGCTATATAAATTCCGTAAATAAATCGTTTAACGGATTATACTGCAGAAATTAAGATTCTGGTAGTATGAAATCTGAGTAGAAAGAAATTTAATTGAAAGTATTTCAAAACTATTATAGAATATAGTTATAAATCAATCTATAAATATTACTATATGTATACACCCCTCTATATTGTGTACGCTATTTGTACGAATTACAAACCACACAACGTGACAAACTCAATCTAATTGGAAGGAAAGTAGCACACAAAAGCCACAAAATAAAAAAAAAAAACAACAAAAGAAAAAACCATTCAATAAAAATCTATTAAACATTTTAAAATCTTTGTTTTTATGCTATTTTAGATGGTTTATATCTGGCTAAAGGACCCTCATAATACCCAGTCCTTTAGAAAAAAACAATTTTTGTGTTTGGGCGCTTTATTTATTTTTCAAACAAAATCTAACAAGCTTTTAATTTTGGAAACATTTTAAATAATGTAGAATTTTGTTTACATATGTATGTGCGGCATTTTTCCTTAATTTTTTCGTTGGAAACTTGCATTGTGTCCCACGCGGGAAACTTTAGTTAAGACATTAAAATGTAAGTTGTTATTTATATATATATGTACCATATATTTTGTTTTTATAGAGAAGGTCACGCAGATTGCCTAGTCAGAAGCGTGAAAATTTAAATTTACTCTGTCTGCCAAACCGAGAACGAAACACAACTGCAGAAAAGATCGAAAAGCTTTGGATCTCAAGTCCAGCTCGATGCAGGAAAGTCGAAATCTTGAATACGGATTGGTACATCAAGCAAATAACCGATTAGAAAGTCGATCCGTCCTGGTCACCGTCATAACGCTTTCTCTACTCCTAGGTGCTCCACGAAAATCTCTTATCCGTGAACCGTTCAGGCCTCGCCTTCTGTTGATCTTGAAAATTTGATTTTTTTTTAGATTTTTTCCATAAGTTTTTTTTGTAGGTATTGCTTTTGTCGTTTGTCCATTTAACATTTAGCTGGGAAGTCGTCATCAGTTAATCCATTGAGTTGAAAGTGAACGATTTTGATTGGTATTTTGTTTTAGTTTGGTCTAAACACAACAAGCAAATTCCACACAATGCTGCTGCTGCATAGGCTGGGCTAGGGGAATCATGCTCCCGCTGATGGTAACAGTTTCAGTTTTTTGGGGGATACACGGCCACAACCGAGGCTGCAGCAGCGATTGCTGGTTTGGTATTGCCGTCGTCCACGGCTTTCGTTAACTTTGGAACTCCATGTCGATTTGTGGTTGTACAGAGAGAACACGCTCGCACCCTTTTTAGCTTGCATTGCACCTGGTCTGCAGTTGCCTTTGCCGCCTTAGCGCCCGCTACCGTTGCCGCTCCACTTGGGTTTGTTCATTTTTTGTTGGCCTTAAACTTGGCGTAGAAGCTCTGAATCTGGGCATAGCGAACGGGTATCGAGTCTAGGATGCCGGTATAGCTAAAGTTCTGCTGCTGGCGGTTTTTCTCATGCAGATTATCACCAGACAAGTACGTGACCACGCTCTTCTGTAGTTCGCTGACGTGCGGATCGGCATGGTTGGCCACCAGGTGGTTGCAAAACTGAGCAATTTGAAGGAAAACCGAGGCGTCACGATCTGTGCGGGGGGAAAACGCAATGCAAAAACAATTAGTTAGCACATTCTAATGCGATAAAAATTTGCTAAACTCACCCATCTTGCGTGATATCTTCAGCAAAGAAAGCGGCTGACTTTCGTTATCGCGCTGAGCACGCAAGTGCCTATTGCCCTGCTTAAACTCCTGTTCCAACCAACGGATGACATGACGGACATTCTCGCTGCGTTTCTTCAAGTCATCCAACTCATTAAGCACTAAATGGTAAAAGATAATCGATTAGAATCTCCTTGGCTGTAGGTTAAGTTGATTTTATGTTTGTAAATACAGTAAAATATGGTGAATTAGGGAATGACTAAATTTAGACATTTGAGTTTATTTAAGGCGACACACTCCATAGTATTATGCGAACCTTACTTTCCACTTCAAAGATTTGAGGTCAAACTAATCGACCCACTTTGCGGTATGCACACTCACCTGCATTCGGTATGAGGACAATGCACTTCTTGGTCCTCACCAACGACTTGACTATGCCATTGTATTCGGTCAATGCCTTCGAATCGACCACAACGAATGGGGACATCACCACATGGGCGGGACTGTCCCGCAGCTCCTCTTCCAGGGTCTCCACCTCGTTCTGCAACCAGAGTTTGCCCATGAGCTCACACTTCTTTGACTTTGCCTCCGAACGCTCTTCATCAGCCCCTGAGCTGGATTGCACATTCAGTTTCTCGATGACGCTATTTGTGGTTGTGGAGGCTGAGGTGCCGCCGGCTACAGAGGTTCCTGTGGCACTGGCTATGACTGCAGCGGCCTTCTCGGCATTCCGATTCCTTAAGTAACCCTTACGTGGCACCTTGCGACACTCCTCCACGGTGTCCTTTTCCTCGTTGCTGGTATAGCTCTTGCGAACGATACCGTTCTTGCGATCGGAGTAGCGACGAGTACGTCCTTCATTCCGCTTTGTTCGGTTAGTTTTCGGAGCAGTGCGACGCTCTCGGCGACGTGATCCGCCACCCTTCTTCTCCTCGCGCTGTTTCTTCTTCTGAGTTTCGGTGAAACGCCGCGTCTTAACGCAGAATCTGTAGTTAAACTTCTTTTGTTTGCAAATAAAAAAGCCAAAGTCGACCATTTTGAATATACGAAGTATAGACTCTTCTTGGGAAGTAACTCGCTCGCGGATAATGGTCTCCCAATCCAAGGTAATCTGGGTGCTCTGGAAAATGTCGAAGTTCTTGAAGGCAAAGTCCTCAGTGAGAGGAACATTTGCCCGCACATCGAACAGCTCGCCCAGAGAATCGCGAACATTGGTCGTGGTCAAGAGCTCGCGCTCAAAGTACACCTTCCTGGTGAAAACGTCGATGTTGCAGTAGTTCAGAAGCTTCATGATCTTGTGCACAAACTCCGGGTTAGAGTGGTAGCAGCCAATGAGAATTTCCGGGTTAATACGGAGCCAGTCGAAGAGCATTTTTAGGGCTCTGATAGTGGGCTCACTATGCAAACAATCGATAATTATGTTGGGATTAATTTTTGTGTACTTGTTGCGATATACAAGTTTCTTGGGTGGCTCTGAGAAGCTGACGGGCGGTGGTGCAGGCTGCACGCCGTCCACCGCTGGCTTGGTCTTGGCATCCTCTGCGCTCTTAAAGTTCAACTGCAGCACTTCAAAGCTACGCAGAAGCTCCTCGGAGTCCACATCCTGTGAGTTGGACCTACGTTCGATTTCCTCGGGATATATGAGTTTCTCCTCCTCTATAACAACGTCTTCATTGTCAGAGTAGACTAATCCGCCTCCTCCACAGCCGCCAGACTTGCGCTCTTTCTTGCTGTAAGAAGCTGAAAACCACGAGAACAATTACAATTTAATTTTAAGAAAAGTTGGGAAAGATGTTGTTTCAAAATGATGTTCTACTTTGAATGCTAACCTGCTTCATAGTGCTCATCCCCGCAAACCTCACCCGGATCAGCTGCATCAATGTCACTGAAGTCTGTATCGAAATTCGAACTGAGATCCGTGTAATCCTCCTCGTCACTGTAGAAAGTCCGTATCCATTTCGCTCTCACTGTCGTAGCAAGAGCTGTCATCCGACTGGGCGATCTTGCGGCGTCGGCGTCGTAGGCGCATTCCACGCCGCTTGCTTTTGCACGACAGCGGGGTCTTAAGATCGGACTCCTTGGCCTCGTCGCTGGAGCGTGTGGAGACTCCTTCACCGATCTTGTCGCCGTCAGCAGCCTCCTGGGTCTTTGTTTCCTCGCCGGAGTGCTGACTTTCGCGTGAGTCAGAGCTGCAGTCCTTAATAGATTGAGGACGCGGGATCGTTTTTTTATCCTTGCGCTCACTCTCGCCGACTGCTGCTATCCAGTTTTTGTACTCATTACGAGACTTACGCACCCCAGTGTCAAACTCCTGGAAACGTTTCTCGTACTCCGCCTGAAAATGTTCATTGTCTTGGGCGCGGGCCAGGATCGTCTGTTCAATGCTGACGATGCAGGCGTCCATTAGATCCGAGCAGGCGGCCACCAGAAAAGCGTGCAACGAGTAGACCTTTGGTGAGTTAATCATCTTTAGCTTGGACAGACAAAAGAACAGAATCGAGACGATCTTGAAGATACTGGGCTCTGGAACACGCAGCTGCTGAGAGCAAAGGATTTTGCGTAAATCAATAAGCACGCAGTGGCACAAAGAGTTGAAATCCGGCACTTCCTTGTCAAAAAAGAAAATGTCCACGATCAGATAAAAGCGTGCGAAGAAATCCTCGATGCTAAAGTCCAGTTTCTCGGGATCCATTTGCTCCAAATATTCGGTGTGCTTCGTGAACAATTTGTTTAGGTTATTTTCGCTCAATTCGAAGGGTATGATGCACACGAGCGAGTACAAGTAGTGGTAAGTAGAGTCCAAATCATGGTTTTGACCGTAATACAGGGTTCCCAACTGGTTCTGGGCCATACCAATGGCCGGATTGAGCTTGAAGGCTTCCAAATAGTACTTGGCGACCTGCTCCTTGCTGATACTCAGCTTGCTGTCGATGCGAAAGTCCAAAAAGTAGCGATGCAAATCGCCCAGACTAAGCAAGGATGAGTGTATGGTGTCGAGAGCGAATGACACTGCCTCCAGGCTCTTGTCAACCGCCTGAGTGCTGGAATGGGACGTCTCCTTGGTGTCCCCAATCATATCGCTTATATAACCATCACTGATGATGGAAAAATCAATCAAATACTTTAAATCCAGATCGTATATCTCCTCCATGCGCGAAGAAAGTCGCTTGTAATTGAAGATCCCGGCGCAGAGAAATCTCTCTAATTTCAGCATGTTCTCCTGAGCAGTGGGCGCATCTTGGCCTTGCTTGTGCCAGCTCTTCTTGACAAAGGCGATGAACTCGTAGTATCCACGACGCCACATTACCTCGCGCACTTTTTTGCCCACCGACTGGTAGTCCTTGAAAATGATCTGCTTGCACAGCTGCACCAGCAGCGAGCGCTTTTCCTCGATTTCATGCTGGAACAGCTGTCCCACAGTCTGGACATTCTTCTTGGCATCATCCAGTTGCTTGGAAGCGGTGTAAAGGGATCTGTTAAGGATAAACGATTAGTGATTTCTCTAGCTTAGTTATTCTTTGCAGGTACAGCTGCTACAGTTCATACCTATAAAGATCCTTTACCTCCTGGCTGAGGGTGCAGGTGCCATTGTTGGGCTCTAAGCCGCGACAGCGGTTCGTTCCGCTATCAATAGCGCACTCGCTGGAGGCATTTGATGATCCTCCGGAGCTGAGTGTCGCCTCCATTTCGATGGGTGCTGAAATATACAAGTATAAGTACAAGAAACGTATGTATTATCATTTCACACTAAAATGTAGTTTGATTTTACACAGCTGGCAGTTTTGCTGTAAAAAAAAAGCATGTAAACACCCACTAGATGGGCGGATTCGTCCAGCTGTTTCTCGAACTGAATTCCCCAAAAAATTCTGCTGACGAATTGTTTTTCGAAATAAATTTCTTTACTTTATGGTACGAGGGCTTTGTATTGTTTTTGTTTCAACTGGTGACGCACACGAACACATGCGCGTTATTATTATGTATCTCAGTGTGCGAGAGAGTTTTTGTATGTGTATGTCGTAGTTACGTTTTTATTGAATAATCAATTAAACACACACGCGCACACACCTTTTGCTTTTGCTTTTCTGCTCTGGTATTTTCGATATTGCATTCGCGATTGCGAAATAACTGATGCGCTCTGCATTGAGATGCATTCAGCACGCAGCTGCACTCAGGTATAAACGTATCCAAGAACTACACTTTAGTGTTTACCTGGTCGATTTGCATTACCTTTTATTCGATTCAGTTTGCTGTTGTGTTCTGCAAATTTCACGTTTTCGCTCTTCCTTTGTTGAACAACAAAATGGCGCATACACGGTCAGACTGCGCAGCCCAAAGTGCTAACGATGCGACGTATTACTGAAGGTATTCGGATTTTTATATTCCCAGCAGACTAACTGCCTAAATAAGCTAGAAATATTATTGTCAATTTCTAAACAAAATTATACCTTAATGTTAGTTCAAATTCAGTGCGTTTTGTTATGTTTTGTATTATTTATTTTTGATTTCGTATCATGCCGCCTAATCGTGCATTTTCTCGGCGCACTTTCCAGTGTTAGTAAACCAATTATCGATGACTACGGCTTATCGATTATTTATATTGGCGGGTTTTTGAAAATGGTCTTTATACAGGTTTTGCGTTTTGACACGAAAGTTGGAGAATTTTTTGATTTGAAAAGCAGTTAAAACATTTTTCATTTTTGAGGGAAACATACAAATACATGTAACTAATCTAAACGTAAGATTCCAGTTTTTTAGTTTGAAACTGATTTGGTGAGAAATAGAGTTCATACACTTTAAAACGAAAAACGCTATTATTATTTGAAGATCTAAAATGCTTTAATATATTTATTTATTTTGATAAGAACTTCTTCATGACACTAAAGATTATGTTTTATTGATTCTGCTGTTTTTAAATATACATAGATATCCAAATAATAAAACATGTTAAGTATAAAAGTAAATAAATGTTAGCATGTAATAAAATTAAGCTGAGAGCAATGGCCGCTATTTAATAATGGATTTTTCTGTACTCGAAGGAAGATTTATGCACATTAGTTTATTTTTATATTAAAAAATTAGCACTTCTTTTTTTACTAATTTTTTTTCAGGCGCCTTCAATATTTGCCAATGAAGCCGCCAAATATGAAGAAATGTGTCACGCATATTAATGATCTTCCATATGTCGGCTTATCTTCGTTTCGTTCCTACCTGGCCGGAGAGCCTCCAATCCATCTGGGAACCTTAGCTGCGACTAAGCCGATCTCGAATTAAAAATAAATAATGCTTGCGTTTATCGGACATTTCTCTCGGCGACGTCAAGTCGTTTGGTTACTCGATATGCGTTGGGCACGTCGAGGGACAGATAGCCCCTTGTCACACTAAAAAAAATGATTGCAGCGCCAATTTTTACGAGCTCTTTGAATTATACATTAAATTGTATTAAAGAATATTGTTTCATGTTTTCATTTCTGCTTGTAATTTATTTCAAAATTAGCCAATTTGCAAAACTACAAAATTATTAAAAATCCCTGAAGACCTTATATAAAATAATCTTAAAAAACGATGTTATCGGTTCGTTCTAATTAATATATTATTAAATTGAAATCTGTTATCGTTCCAACTTTTCTATGCCTCGGGAGATTCATGGAAATCAGTTCGTTTAATTTGAAATTGCCATAAAATCCCTAGAGCACGTTTTATCAAGGGAAACACTGAAAAAACTTAAGACTTAAAAACAAATAATTTTTAAAATGAATCCTAGCAGCATATGCAACATGCCCTTTAGGGAATCTATGGAATATGATATACAAAAATGCAAAACCAAAAAATTCAAAACAAAAATATATTTAAAAATTTAAATTGAAATTTTTCTTAAAGTGCATTTGCCGGCCGAGTCTCGGACTGCTTCTCTGGTCATGGCTATAAAACTCACGCAATCTTGCTCAAGCGTTCTCAGTTTTAGTTCAGACCGCTGTCGGACCGGTCACGTTCGAAACGTTGGGAAATATTGTCGGACACAGTGTAAGTTTCTCTTTCGACTCAGAATTTTGAGAACTTGAAAAAAGTCAATCCCCTTAATCGCAATTAGCGGCTTTTCAATTGGCCTTTAGTAACCTTTAATTGGTAATGTAATTGGAGCTTGTAAATAATTTCTTCATTATGATGTAATTAATTTGCAAACGGTTTCACGTTTTATGATTATCAAAAGTTCGATTCCACCAGTCACCCCATAATCCCCTGATAATCTTATCTGGATCAGTAATACACTCCTTGGATCCATAATATTTGCCGCAGTCATTTCAGTGGGCATGGTCATAAATTCTAAAATATCTCACACACTTTCGCGGTGGTTATTAGATCTAATCGGGAATATTTATGATCTCGATACGCAACTACCAATAGTTTGTTTAGGGCTTTCTCTGCTCCAAAGGCGACCGATATTTATTTAGGTTGTACTTAAGATCAGTTTATATTATATAAATGTAACAGACTTGTCTAGCAAAACACCATAATCGATATATCTTAAGTTGTTTTTTTTTTACAATGTTTTGCTTAGAAAACTGATTTTGAACTTGATAACGAAAAGCCAATCATTGGAAGTACCTTATCTCTAATTGATTGACTTGTTCAGTTAAAGTGAATTCTGTCGTATCGTAAAGATTCGCGATCACTTGAGACACATATTGACTTATAGTATAAAGCGTGTCGATCTGACCCCAGAGTCATCTGAAAATGAGACATTTTAATCAATTACGCGAGAGACTTCGTCTCGGCACACTGAAATATCAGCTACGTCATCGAATTGGCATAACAACATGTCGTAGAAATGGAACGAGTCTAATCAAAATTCAAAAATGTTCTACTATAATTTCTAGGCGAGAAAGTTGGAGATCAATATGAAACTAACGCTAGCATTTCTGCTGGCTACTTTGGCCTTGTCGCAAGCTTTGGTCAAGGAGGAGATCCAGGCCAAGGAGTACCTCGAGAATCTGAACAAAGAGCTGGCCAAAAGGACCAATGTTGAAACCGAGGCTGCCTGGGCCTATGGCTCAAACATTACAGATGAGAATGAGAAGAAAAAGAACGAAGTTTCCGCCGAGTTGGCTAAGTTTATGAAGGAGGTGGCTAGTGACACAGCTAAGTTCCAATGGCGTTCGTTCCAGTCGGAGGATCTCAAGCGTCAATTCAAAGCTTTGACCAAATTGGGTTACGCCGCTCTACCAGAAGCCGACTACGCAGAATTGCTGGAAACTCTCTCATCCATGGAGTCAAATTTCGCCAAAGTAAAGGTCTGCGACTACAAGGACAATACCAAGTGCGACCTTGCCCTCGAACCGGAGATTGAGGAGGTCATCAGCAAGAGCCGTGACCACGAGGAGCTCGCCTACTACTGGCGCGAGTTCTACGACAAGGCCGGAACAGCTGTGCGATCCCAATTTGAGCGTTACGTGGAGCTTAACACCAAGGCAGCCAAACTGAATAGTAAGTAGATATAATTTTATATTACTATTTATTAAGTTATCAAAAAAGTATTACGGAAACAATAGAGAGATTTGAGTTGGCATAAAATTACAAGGTAAATACATCATTGAAACTAAAAGAAAAGTAACCAAAAGTAGTATTTTAACTTATCTTGAAAGCTTTACTATACGTATTTCAAGAGATCTTCTTACTTATATCAAGAACATATATATCTCGAAAGATCTTCGAACTTGAATTTTACTAATCTTAATGTCATTTTTAAATTCAGACAACCAAACATCCATTAGCTCAAAATAGCTAATTGCAGTTTAGATTTTGTCATAAGTAATTCACAAAATATTCCCAACAATATTTACCCTGTTGTACTTTTTTTCTCATCAGTGGTGAGGGTAATTACGAGTGTAAAAATTATTTAAAAATTAAAACTTTAACAATATAGACTATTTTATATAAATTTTAATACCAATTTACCACCAGACTTTACCTCCGGCGCCGAGGCCTGGTTGGATGAATACGAGGACGATACTTTCGAGCAGCAGCTAGAGGACATTTTCGCTGAAATTCGTCCTCTTTACCAACAGATTCATGGCTATGTGCGATTCCGCCTGCGGAAACACTATGGCGAATCGGTGGTTTCCGAGACAGGACCCATTCCCATGCACCTTTTGGGCAATATGTGGGCGCAGCAGTGGTCGGAGATTGCAGATATTGTTTCACCATTCCCCGAGAAACCCCTAGTGGATGTGAGCGAAGAGATGGAAAAGCAGGGATACACAGCTCTGAAAATGTTCCAGATGGGCGATGACTTCTTTACTTCCATGAATCTGACTAAGCTGCCGCAGTAAGTAGAGAATAAGAACTCTGAGAATCTTATCTTAATGAATTCCGATTTATAGGGACTTCTGGGACAAGTCAATTATTGAGAAACCCACCGATGGCCGTGATCTCGTTTGCCACGCCAGTGCCTGGGACTTTTATCTCACCGACGATGTGCGCATCAAGCAGTGCACTCGAGTCACCCAGGATCAGCTCTTCACCGTCCACCACGAATTGGGACACATTCAGTATTTCCTACAGTATCAGCATTTGCCATTCATCTACCGCACTGGTGCTAATCCCGGTTTCCATGAGGCCGTTGGTGATGTCCTCTCTCTGTCCGTGTCGACTCCCAAGCATCTTGAGAAAATCGGTCTGCTCAAGGACTATGTTCGCGATGATGAGGCTCGCATTAATCAACTTTTCCTTACTGCTCTGGACAAGATTGTGTTCCTGCCCTTCGCCTTCACCATGGACAAGTATCGCTGGTCGCTGTTCCGCGGTGAAGTCGATAAGGCCAACTGGAACTGTGCCTTCTGGAAGTTGAGGGACGAGTACTCCGGCATTGAACCCCCAGTAGTCCGAAGCGAGAAGGACTTCGATGCCCCGGCTAAATATCACATTTCCGCTGATGTCGAGTATCTGAGGTAGGTATTGTTTCATTAGAGAGTTTCTTGTTAAAAGTTAGAGGGAATCAAATGAAATGTATGTTTGTTATATCTTTCAGATATTTGGTCTCCTTCATCATCCAGTTCCAGTTCTACAAGTCCGCTTGTATCAAGGCTGGTCAGTACGATGCCAACAATGTGGAGTTGCCGCTGGATAACTGCGATATCTACGGAAGTGCTGCGGCTGGTGCTGCTTTCCAGTAAGTTTTGACATGTATATTTGTTATATATTTTGTAATGTGTATGTTAATTCTCTTAGCAACATGCTGTCCATGGGCGCCTCTAAGCCCTGGCCTGATGCATTGGAAGCCTTCAACGGGGAACGTATCATGTCCGGAAAGGCTATCGCCGAATACTTTGAGCCACTGCGCGTCTGGCTGGAGGCGGAGAACATCAAGAACAATGTCCACATTGGATGGACCACTTCAGATAGTAAGTTCAAAGTTCGTCAAATATGGCACCCTGACTAAATCATCTTGATATCTATTTCAGAATGTGTGTCTTCATAAATTACACAGTGATTTGGCCAATAAAGTTTTACAATTCATTATTGATTTCAATATTAAAAACTGATTTTGATTTAGAGTTGAACTTCTGAGATATATTTAAGTGATAGATACAGAAAATACGCTGCTGAAATATGTACGAGTGCCGTTTATAATTGTCAGTATGAGCGAGTTATAGAGATTACTGAGTGAAGTCGTGGTTGTGTTTGCTAAGTGGAACACATTATAATTACAAATGGCCAACTTGGCGCCCAGTTAGCCACCAACTTGCTTTACTGACCATGGGATTGTCGTTGGCCCAAGTCAGTTGACTTCGAGAGCTGCACAAGCGCAGAACGTTAGATTTGAGAGGGTAAAAGTGTTGGGAATTTCAATGAGCTAATAAAATGAGTTGCGAAAGTAAATTTAATAGAAAGTGTGGGAATATGTGGATTTGTTTGTCGGTTTTGGTGAGTCAAAATGATTAGGTTGTCTTGTGAACATCCTATTAACTTCTTTTATTAAGCTCCTTTTGGGACTTTCCCAAGCTGAATCTCCGCCTGATCCGACATTAGATAGATTTTTGAATGAAACCAATCAACAGCTTGCCGTTATCTATGATCAGGCTGTTTTGGCTCAGTTGTTGAAGGAGTTGCGTGGTCCCAACGATTTAGTGGCTCTCCTGGAGATTGAGGTCACCGATGACAAACTTTTAAAGTATGTAAGGACCTTAACTACACGTAAGGCTAAGTTCAAGCGTTTGGGATTGGGAAACTCCAGCCAGCGGAGGTTGCTATTGAAGTTTCCCCAATTGGGCTATGAGGCTCTGGGTGACAGAGATTTGGAACGCGTCTACGCATTGGCCTCCAATATGAGCGATAATTACCACAATGTCAAGCTGTGTGCTTACAAACAACCAGAGAATTGCACTCTAAGACTCATACCAGAGGTGCAATCTATAGTTCAAGAAAGCCGAGATCTAGACGAGATCGAATATTACTGGTTTGAGTGGCGAAGGCGCACTGGCTTAGCCACAAAGTCTCAGTTTGTGGCTTTTATGGATCTGTATAAGAAGACAGCGAAGTTGAATGGATATTCTCGTGCAGAGGATTACTGGTTTCGATCTTTGGAACTGGATGGTCAAGAGACCATGTCTTTGCTAGATAAAATAATGCATGGCTTGAGATCTTTGTTTCTTCAGTTTCATGCTCATGTCAGGGGTTCTTTGAGAAAGATGCATGGGGAAGTTTTGGTGCCTAGGAACCGACCCTATCCCCAGCATTTGGCAGAAGTCTTTATTGGTAATGCGTTTAGGAGAGTACAGGCTGAGTGGTATGTGGATCTACCTTCGCCGGAAACGGGATTAGCCAATATTACCCAGGAGCTGCATCGTCGGGGGCTAAGCACTACTCAAAGGGTTTTCTGGAATGTGGCTGAGTACTTCAGAGCTCTGGGTCTTCCCCAATTGGAGAAGTAAGCTATAAATTTAGATATTTTACTATATTAATATTTATTAATTGCAGTTCCATTTGGACATATGCCCAAAAAGTGTCCTCCGATGACGACGACAAGTGTTGGCATAAGGCCTGGCGGTATTATGCCCTGCCCAGAACCAACTTTACCTACTGTCCACTTAATGATGAGGAACGTTTCTTCAATATGTTTGAGGCTCAGGCGGATTTATATTACTACCGAGCTGCCTCAATTCAGCCAACTTTACTTCAAGAAGAGCCCTTTCCCAATTTCAGTGATGCCATTGGAAAATGTTTCTCCATGGCAGCCAGTTCGCCGCGTTTCCTCCGAAAACTTGGCCTCCTGAAGGATGGAAAGTGGAAAGAGTTACCAGCTCGGTTGAATCGCCTGTATGTTCAGGGCTTAAGGGTTGTGTTCTTGCTTCCTGTTTTTTATGTCCTGGATCGTTATCGAGTCGAAGTCCTGGCAGGTCATATCAATGCGGATGACAATGAGGCCTATTGGCGATTCACAGAGCACTATACAGGGGCAACAGCTCCCACGAAGAGGACCAATGAGCAGTTTGATGTGCCAGCCAAGCTGCTTATGGAAGTGGATGATCAGTATGCCAGGTGGGAAATTAAAAAGATTCAGAAAGTTATATCAAAATTAAACAAACCCTGTTTTCAGCCACTTTCTGAGCATTGTTCTGCAGTTCCAAATGTTGAAACATTTTTGCACAAAAACTGGACAGTTTGAAAGTGGTAATCCCAGGAAACCTTTGGATTTATGCGATTTATCGGATCAGCGAGGCCTAGGAGAGATTCTTCAAAAGGGCATGTCCCTCGGCTCCTCAGTTCACTACAGAGAAGTTCTGCAGGAACTTGTTAATGAGCCGGAGATCAGCATAGATGGCTTGCTGACCTATTTTAAGCCTTTACAAGATTGGCTACAACAACAGAATCAACATAATAACCTGGAAGTAGGTTGGACATAAATTCTTTTATTTATAAAAATTAAAAAAATTATTTTATTTATTAAAAGATTTATGACCGAAAAATATATCATTATGAGAAAAGTATTGTTATTTTTCTTTTTCAGCCCAAAAGTATGCTTCATATAATTATCTAAATTTGGATGGTTTTACCCGTGTATAATACATGTAGAAATCTATATGAATTTAACAAAAACTACAAATCTATGAATGTTTCTCCTGTTTTATTTTTAGTTGCCTTTTCCTTTCATTTTAATTCAAAATGTTTTTCGTATTGTTCAAATCAAAAAGCTTTTTGTTTCCGCCATAAAATCCCTATATTGTGAGCATTTTCAAAGGCATTTTTAAGGCAATGGCTTCCCAGCTTGTACATTCTTGCGAGTTTGAGGTATTTGGCAAGGTGCAGGGAGTCAACTTCCGGCGGCATGCTTTACGAAAAGCAAAGACCCTCGGTGTCCGGGGATGGTGCATGAATTCTGGCAGGGGAACAGTAAAGGGTTACATCGAAGGACGAGCAGCCGAGATGGACGTGATGAAGGAATGGCTCAGGACCACTGGTAGTCCACTCTCTAACATCGAGAAGGTCGAGTTTAGTTCTCAGAGGGAACGTCAACGATATGGCTATACTAACTTTCATATCAAGCCCGATCGTAATGAGCACGCTCCTGGAAACGAACTATTAGCCAGTAGTACCAGCCATAATGACAGCAATTAGAGGACTTTGGCGGATGGCTCAAATTTAAGGTCACTAAATTTTTTGCTAATTTCTTACTTATCATTTCAAGGATAATATTTTTATAAGGATTTGATTTTATCTAAAAAATAACAGATACTTTACTTCTTCGATTATATCTATCTGCTCAAAGTAATCTCCATAAATCTTGTGGAAATCTAATTTAAAGCCCTTGAATAATTTAAGGGAAGTGGCTTTAGGATCTCATCAGACGGAACTGGGATACAAAGAGTTACACTTCGCTGGGTTTCCATTCGTTCTCAATCAGTCAACGCCTTCTAAATGATGATTAATTTGTGCTTAGTGACTGCATTGCTTACTTAAAATAACCGGAAATAATCTAAACCAAATGCAAAACATAAGCTGGCTCTGTAATTAAAATGCACTTGATTATAATGACTCTCGCGGGCTCTTCTCTCAATAGCCAGTTATTAAAACCATGCAAATAGCTATGGTTAAAAAATAAATGTAAAAAGCAACTACAGTACGTGCTTAATGTTCGTCATAGTAAACGAATAGCGATTCGCTGGGCGTATTGACTTATTCAACTTATTCACTCGTGTAAATTAATTACTTACAAACGCTTGGCGATATTTTCCCACGGTCCTAAGCAGTCCAGAACTTGTACTATATGAGGTCTGGTATAGCCCAGTGCTAATGGCAACCAACCTGACCTTGGCTGGTAATTAACTTTTTGGCCAAAATATGTTTTTTATTTTTTTTGGAGGGATCAGTTCCAGGTACAAAATCACTGAGCAGCCAACCGCATCATAAAGTGTCTAATATTTATGAGCTCATATCCGAGACAGATAGACTTCGCAGATCCCAATCTAATTACTGCCTGAATCACATATCTTTCTACATAATATATAATATATGCACTCTCATTTGTATGTCAGTTGATTGGCAATCAAGCTATCAATCAGCATGCCAAGTCATTCGATTCATTGGGGTGGAGAGTCATGCAACCCCAGTTAACACCTTTGTGGATAGTTCTCTCCCCATATTCCATTCCGATCTTCCCTAGCAATCGTTCACCTGACTTGAGTCACAACTTTTTCAGATGTCGTCGGGTCAAGATCGAGTATAGAAATTGCAAATTCCTTAAGTGAGGGTGGCAAGAATAAAAACCTTATACCTTGCATTTTAATTATATGTTCTTGTTGAGAATATTCAATTATATTTGTTTATAAATTCAGTTTTTATGACTCGACCCTTAACTATTTACTTATGAATGAATAAGTTATCGAAGCCCTCAGGAATAATTTAGAATTAAGTAAATTTATTTCCCTTTTTTCTAGTTTTTACAAATTTTCTACAACTTTTCTGTAAAATTTCCTCCCTTGCAATTCTACAGAGTACTAAACCTATTAGTTTAATGTGCTGTGGAACAAATGCAAAGCATGAAAAGCATCAGAAGTCATTAGTTTCTGCCCATTAGCCGGTGCTCAAGTAGTGATTTGCACTTGCTGCTAGCTCGAGTCACAGGTGGAACGCATTCGCATCAGCTAATACCAGTTTCCAGTACTTGCCGGCATGACTCAAAGCATTTTCCACATTTCTCTGGGTCAAGAGCAACAATAAAACGCCACGAATGCGGGTGGCTGTATTTAGCAAGTCTGAGTGGAACTCAAGTCGAGTTTAATCTGAACCTTAAGCAAAACAACTAGTTTATCGAAAATGTGTTTGTATGTCTCAACTGATTGCAGGTCATTGATTTGTTTACTTCTAATAAAGTTGTGTTCTAGAAACTAAGAGTTAGTAGAATTAACTTTAAAAAGTAAAAAAGATTACGAAACTCTTTTGAGCCTAGACAGATTTTTGTTATAAGTAGTAGGAAGATTATTGATAAGAACATCTTATGAATTATTTATTTCTTGGTGAATTTAATTTTATAGAATTTTTTTATCTTTTCAATATAAGTATTATTTGATGAATTTATCTAATATCCGATCTTCTAACACATTTCGAGTGAGTTGCAAGTCCACTCAAACGTCGTGTACTTTCCCACAGTTCGACTATTATTATGCGGTTGAGCTTTTCGCCTGATAAGTACACGAATACAGCTACCTGTAGTAGGGGCCACCCTTACCCTGCCTTTTAATGGCCAACATGCATGGCGAAAAACATTTACATACTACACTTACCCACACACACTCATACAATTGGGGGACCCGAGTCATTGTTGTTCCCAGGTTTATGGAAGATGCGATTGTAGTTGTTGTCGCTGGCAGTGCTAATTGCGATTATCTCACACGAATGTATACAAAATGTATAGAGAAGTTGGCTGAGACGTCAACTGCAACGGCGACAGCGACTGCGTTGAAATTTGAATTCATTTTCGAGTTGGAAAAAAAAGTGGCAAGTAATTTCGAAAAATATTCTTACTGTCTAGTCAGTAGAGTTTTAGACGCGTTACCGGACGCTACGTGGGCGGTACGAACAAAGCACCGGGATTCGTTTGCCAAGTGAAAGTGAAAACGAAAAAGAGTTCTTACTTTGGTCTCTCTGGAACTCATGCAGATCTTACAGATATATAACGAAATATTCATAGAATCTTGTGATCGTGAGTGCTAAATATACTGCCAGTGGCTGGCAATTAAAATCTTTAATTGCTTGTGAAAGAGTTAATAACTAAGCTGTCAACGGCGGTGACCTTGGCAGTGTGGAATATAGATCTTAAGATAAAGCGCAATGCACAGTGTTTCGGTTTTAAGTTGTCTCTGCCTTTGGCTTAGCCTGAGCTTAAGCTTGGCCAATCCCCAATTGAATCTGCCCACTCCTCAGCCAGAGGTTTTCTACAATGGATATACCCCGAATGTCGCCACCACTCCTGCTCAAGTTAGAGCGGATCAGGACCGCGATCGCCGATATGGACCTCCCTACTCCGATGAGGGTGGGAATGGAAATACCGATGATGGATTGGACGACTTTAGGGTGGGTGTGACAAAGACTTTGTTCATAGGACACTTTCCCAGTCTCTCAATGCCACATTAAACCTAATGTGATCTTTCCCTTACAGTTTGGACAGACAAATGACGAACGCATGAGGATCGGTTATGCCTATCCCTTGCCCCGCGCGAACTTCAGTGACTCACCATTCAGTGGGGATAGGTATTCGAATCATAACTACGGACCCGTTTCCAGTACCACCGATCGCAACTACGGCAACGATGCCAATCTGAATGGACGATACTCGGATGTGCCCTTCCCCTTTCAAGGAGAGCGTAACGTTAATCCCAACGATCAGTACAACTACAATAATAATCCGAATGTAGAATTTGTGGGCATTAATAATCGCAATCGCTTCGAGAATCCCTTCCTTTCGAATCAGGATCGGTTCAACCTAAATCAAGGTTATTTGGAACGTCAAAGATATCAGCAGGATCGTCGCTATCAGCAGGAATTGGAGAAGCTGCGCATCCTTGCTGGTGGAGTCCGATCAGAAAGGATCCCTAGAGTGCACTGCCAATGTGGCTGCACAGTGGAATTTTGAGACGAACGTCAATGATTTTACCCAAACGGAAGCGGTAAGTGAGCGGTTTTGGCCAAATACAAATACAAAGTATTAGTACTTGTACTAGTAAATCGCGTAATTGTGGTTGAACGGCACGCGATCTTTGCGGTGGTGGTGGTGCCTTGTTTTCCCATGGTTCGCTATGGTAGTTTTCTTACTCACGCACATTTGGATAAGTCTGAAAAGTCGCACTCTGAAGGTCGAATCGCCTTGTCAGATTCCCAGGCAGACATGCCAATGTCAAAGCGATGTAGTCTCTGCGTTTTCCCAACCAAACTATGTGTGTATGGACTAATCGGTACTTGAAGGTAGAGATATGACTTGGTTTCGTACCTTATTGCAGTGTTAATCTTGAAGTTCTTATACAATATCAGTGTTTTTTCGTCAATAAAAATCAAGCAAGTGGATTAACCAAGTTTACTATCTAGAAAAAGGCAAATTCCGTATATCCGTATTTTTCCCCATTTTTCCACCAGCTAAACGCTCAGCAACGATATGTCGAGTTCCAGCGCATCACTGCCGAGCAATCCAAGAGGATCAACAAAGATCTTATCTTCGATCGTCGCCTTTATAGACAATTGATGCTGCAATCGGAAGTGGGACCCAATGCCCTTCCACTAGATGTTCTAGATAGGGTAAGATATATCAGAACTTGCCGTAAATATAATTTATAAGCCAAATATTTATATAGTACAATCGCCTTCTGAACGAGATGCTGTTCCTGTACAACAGCGCTGGGATCTGTGCCTACCAGCAACCCTTTCAGTGTGATCTTCACTATATACCACAGCTAAAGGACATCATGGCCAAGAGTAGGGATTGGGATGAACTGCAGCACACTTGGGTGGAGTATCACAGGAAAGCGGGTCGAGGAATGCGAGATAGTTATGAGCAGCTTATCGATGTAATGCAAGAGGTGGCCTATGTGAACAGTAAGTGGGATGACCATATAACCAAAACCATAAACTAAAAACCCTTCCCATCAGATGTCACCAATGGCGGGGAGTACTGGTATCTGGGCTATGAGTCAGGAAACTTTCGCCAGGACATGGACATTGTATGGGAGCAGATAAGACCGCTCTACGAGGGATTGCATGCATATGTTCGTCGGAAGTTGAGGGACTACTATGGTCCGGATCGCATTAACCGCATAGCCCAATTCCCTCCCACATACTCGGCAACATGTATGGTCAGTCGTGGTCCAATGTTCTGGACATTTTGATACCCTATCCGGGTCGCAAACTTATTGATGTTACACCACGAATGGTGGAGCAGGGCTATACACCGCAGCTTATGTTCCAGTTGGCCGAGGAGTTCTTTACATCCATTAATATGTCAGCAGTGGGTCCGGAGTTCTATAGAAACTCCATATTCGAACAGCCCTTGGACAGAAGAGTCTTGTGCGAGCCCTCGGCCTGGGACTTTTGCAATCGTCATGATTTCCGTGTGAAAATCTGTACGGATATCAACCAGCGGAGTTTGATTAGTGTCCATCACGAAATGGCCCACATTCAGTACTTCCTGCAGTACCGCCACCTGCCCAAGATCTTCAGAAATGGTGCCAATCCAGCTTTCCACCAGGCAGTGGGAGATGCGATTGGCCTCTCGGTATCGACTCCAAAGCATTTACAGACTCTTGGACTTTTGCAAAGGTCCCTCGATGAGTCCAGCTATGATATAAACTATCTGTTTACCATGGCCATTGATAAGGTATTTTTAAAGATGTATATGAATGATGAATGAATTTTATTATTGAGATATCACAATTTCCTAAATAAATTTCAATTTCTTATGAAATAGCTGATTGTGAGAAGAAAAACAGAATTCCTCAGTAATTATATGATAAGGCCAATGACAGTGACTTTGTTTTCGTTTTCTGGAAGTCGTAGATAAATCGGTTAGCACAGCCATATAAATATAGATATATAATACAATATTATTTGAATAGGATATATATATTGTGAAATATTTCAACTTCAGTTTGTTTCTTCTGTTTCTTTCAGGTGGCCTTTCTGCCTTTCGCTTTGTCTTTGGATAATTGGCGTTATGATGTCTTCAGTGGCAATGCCAATAAACGAACTATGAACTGTCACTACTGGAACTTAAGGTATGAAAAATTGTTTAATAAATGTATCACAAATTATTATTAATTCATTTATAACTTTCCAGAGAAAAGTATTCTGGCATAAAACCTCCAGTTTTACGCTCAGAAAAAGATTTTGATGCGGGAGCCAAGTACCATATACCAGCAAATATTCCCTACATCAAGTGAGTGTTTCGAATGTTCTTATTTAGCATATTGATTGCATAATTATTTAGCAAACATTTCTCTTATTTAATGAGCTGCTGCATAACCAGAGCAATTAAAGCGTCTAGCAGCCGCTTGTTATTAATTTTGCTATTTTTGATTACAATTTACACACAATTTCAAACATTTTCCGTCAAATTGCCGGCGATTACGCGTTGCGATTGCTGGGATCGTCGAACCGGCCATAAAGTTAACCCACTAACATCACATAATGTCCAACACAAATACAAAATCAAGCTTCGGCTGTGTAGAAAAAGAAAATGAAATGAAACTGAAAACTGAAAACTCACATGTCTGCAATGTTTCCCGCATTCACTTTCCACTTGGCTGCCGCCAACAAAAACCGAGCGGGTTTAGTTGGCCATCATTTAAATAAGCCCGGTTGAAAAACTGTTACGAAAATCCAGACCAGACAGTCTTAACTGTTCAGACTGGATTGCTAAAAACCCGAGACATTGTGACCCAGTAAACTAAAAATATATCTTTGGATCGAATTTCCACTTGTTGATTTGATATTGACTACAAAAGAAGGTGTCAAGGCTCATATTTCTAACATCTCTTGGTTTTTTCTTTTAATGTTACATAACTAAGATTGAAGTTAAAGCAATACCAATGTCGGTAGATTGAGTTCTTTCAGAGTATTTATTATTGAATCGATTTGAATTACTTAATTGACAATTTTTTTTAAACTAACTATAATGTATATGGTAATATCTATCTTGAACATCTTTAATATTTCTTGGGAAATCCTAAACATTTAGAGTTATGACTCTAGCTAATTCAATACTTCCTTGAAAACAGACCAACTACACTACTACACCAAACTAAATGAATGAAGTGCTAGCTGTGCTCCCCATCAGAGCCATTAGCAAGATTTTTATTGCAGCCATTCTTTTGGCATTAGCCACACATAGAGTCGGCGGTAAAATGGGGGGCGGTGAGGTTTTTGGAGGATTACAACACCAGTTCGCAGTTCGGGCATTGTGCTGGCGATTATTTATTGCATAATCAATAAACTGCAAACGCTACAGTTACATAAACAAAAGCTACCAGAAACAACTAGCCACCAAGAGAGTTAGCCCCAATATGGTAATAAAAAAGAGCTGTGCCTCAGCTCTCGACTCTCAACTCTCGACGGGTCTTACGGCTTCAAATATCGGTTAGCAGCACATGTCCTACAAACCGACTGTTGTACAAAAAACGTGATAAATCCGTGGCCCACTTTATTTAACCCACTCTGCAAATTGCAGCGGCTTCAATGAAGCCGAAAATGCAAATTGAAACCCAATCTTTGTGGTCGCTGCAACAGGCTGGCCAAAAGCCGCCAAAAGGAGTGCAAAAACTTCAAGCCAAAACCAAAAACCGAGACCCCCTGTTTTTATTTCTTTCTTGCTGGTGGTGCTAATAAAAAGTAATGCCCACACCGCAAAATAAACGCTAGGAAATGGACACGAGTGCACAGAGCTCGGGCTTGGAGCTCCAAACTCCGGCCCGAGGAAAGCGAAATGATGGTGTGGAAAATGTAATAAACATGTTGAACTGTCTTGCCGGTCCTCCTTCGAACCCCTCGGATTACCCCTCTGAATGTCTGTCTGGCTGGCTGTCTCTCTGTGGGCGAGACACTTTGAATATGCAATTATGAATGCAAGGCGATGTTTACCTCATTTGAAAATTAGATAAGACATTTATGGGCAATGAAGGAACGACTTGATTCGGCTTCTCCTCGCCTTCCATGTCTGTGGGCAAAGTGATTCAACCGAAAGTGAGTTTAGCCAATGCAAATATAGCTGTAGTATGTGGGAAATGTTTGGGTTAAATAGCGATTATTATAATGAGGGAAATTACACTTAAGTTGAGGCCAATATTAGTACTGCAATTAAAACACTAACTCTTTAAATAATTTGTAGGAAATGATGTAGGGATTTGCCCCTTTTAAATGCTATTTTTATAGAGAATTGTTTTATTTCATATTTTTCTAAAAATCAGAGGAGTTTTATTATATGTTTATCTCTCAATTATTTCATTTAATTCTTTCAAAAATTAATAAAGAATTTTAAATAAAAAAGTGCCATGCCATTAGAAATCATTTGTTTCTTGGGGTAACACTGTTGGTACCATAAAAGCTTTAATTCAAGTTGTGACTAAAACATTTTGTTTTAATATACTGGAATTAAGCTTATTCTATAGAAACAACCTTATATTAGAAGATAATTACATGCATCTTACTTTACTCTGTAATGAGGGAAACTCTGATATTTTGGGCGAGACATCAAATTTTTAGTAAAAATTGTAATATATCCCCCAGTGTTATGATTATAACTTTGTCAAATTAAGAGCCACAAACAAAAAGAATCCGTTTTTTGCAGCTAACGACCCCAGAAAACTTTCTATCTGGGTGTGAAGTTGACTTTCGGATATTAAAATTTTTCTGAAATTTCACGTTTTTGTAAGGGGTACCATCATAATATTTTCGAAAAATTGAAAATATTGTTTTTTCTTCAGATTTGAATGCCGCTTGAATATTTTGAAAATAGATTCAAATACAAGCTCAACGACGTATTACATTCCAAATTCCGACCATTTTTGGCTTTGTTATAGACAAAATACTGATATTTCGAGCCTCAAATCGGGAAAAACCGGTTTTCACATTTTTTGATCATCATAAAAATTAACGAAAAATCTCAAAAAAATCACTTTTCGAGAGTGGTACACAGTTCGACGGGGAATTTAAATACGAACTTAACGAGGTATAATTTTCCATGTTACGATCATTTTTGGCTTAGTAATGAAGAAAATACTGATTATTTAAGGCCACAAAGCGGGTCAGACCGATTTTCGGATTTTTGGAAAGGGGTAACATCATAAAAATTTACGAAAAATCTCAAAAAAATCACTTTTCGAGAGTGGTACACAGTTCGACGGGGAATTTAATTACGAACTCAACGAGGTATAACTTTCCATGTTATGATCATTTTTGGCTCTTTAATGAGGAAAATACTGATATTTTGAGCTGAAAATCAAAATTGTGACTTTTGAGTAAAATTTGAGATATTTTTCCCTAGTCTTATGCTTATAACTTTGTCAAAGGAAGACGCAGAACCAAAAGAGGGACAGTTTTGTGCAGCTAACGACCCAAACAAACTTCCTGTATCATTATGGTGATGATATTCAACAGTTTATTTTTTCTAACATTTTACATTTTTTTTAAGGGGTACCATCATCATTTTTTCGAAAAATTGAAAAAAATATTTTTTTTGGCTTTGTTATAGACAAAATACTGATATTTCGAGCCTCAAATCGGGAAAAACCGGTTTTCGCATTTTTTGATCATCATAAAAATTTACGAAAAATCTCAAAAAAATCACTTTTTGAGTGTGGTACACAGTTCGACGGGGAGTTTAAATACGATCTCAACGAGGTATAATTTTCCATGTTACGATCATTTTTGGCTTCGTAACGAAGAAAATACTGTTTATTTAAGGCCACAAAGCGGGTCAGACCGATTTTCGGATATTTGGAAAGGGGTAACATCATAAAAATTTACGAAAAATCTCAAAAAAATCACTTTTCGAGAGTGGTACACAGTTCGACGGGGAATTTAATTACGAACTCAACGAGGTATAACTTTCCATGTTATGATCATTTTTGGCTCTTTAATGAGGAAAATACTGATATTTTGAGCTGAAAATCAAAATTGTGACTTTTGAGTAAAATTTGAGATATTTTTCCCTAGTCTTATGCTTATAACTTTGTCAAAGGAAGACGCAGAACCAAAAGAGGGACAGTTTTGTACAGCTAACGACCCAAACAAACTTCCTGTATCATTATGGTGATGATATTCAACAGTTTATTTTTTCTAACATTTTACATTTTTTTTAAGGGGTACCATCATCATTTTTTCGAATAATTGAAAAAAATATTTTTTTTTGGCTTTGTTATAGACAAAATACTGATATTTCGAGCCTCAAATCGGGAAAAACCGGTTTTCGCATTTTTTGATCATCATAAAAATTTACGAAAAATCTCAAAAAAATCACTTTTTGAGTGTGGTACACAGTTCGACGGGGAATTTAAATACGAACTCAACGAGGTATAATTTTCCATGTTACGATCATTTTTGGCTTCGTAATGAAGAAAATACTGATTATTTAAGGCCACAAAGCGGGTCAGACCGATTTTCGGATATTTGGAAAGGGGTAACATCATAAAAATTTACGAAAAATCTCAAAAAAATCACTTTTCGAGAGTGGTACACAGTTCGACGGGGAATTTAATTACGAACTCAACGAGGTATAACTTTCCATGTTATGATCATTTTTGGCTCTTTAATGAGGAAAATACTGATATTTTGAGCTGAAAATCAAAATTGTGACTTTTGAGTAAAATTTGAGATATTTTTTCCTAGTCTTATGCTTATAACTTTGTCAACGGAAGACGCAGAACCAAAAGAAAGACAGTTTTGTGCAGCTAACGACCCAAACAAACTTCCTGTGCCATTATGGTGATGATATTCAAAAGTTTATTTTTTCTCACATTTTACATTTTTTTAAGGGGTACCAACATCATTTTTTCGAAAAATTGAAAAAATATTTTTTTCTTCAGATTTGAATTCCACTTGAATATTTTGAAAATAGATTGAAAAAAAAGCTCAACGAGATATAACATTTCATTTTCCGACCATTATTGGCTTTGTTATAGACAAAATACTGAAAATTCCAGCCTCAAATCGGGCCAGACCGGTTTACGCATTATTTGAACATCATAAACATTTACGAAAAATCTCAAAAAATGTACTTTTGGAGCCTGGACCCAAGGTATGACATTCTATATTCTGACCGTTTTTGACTTTCTAATGATGAAAATACTGAATAATTGTCAGAATTTAAAGCCTGTATCCTTCCGGCAAGCTCTCCAAAACCCTCTCCCAATCTAAGGACACCCGCCTAAAAACTTTCACAAAACCCCAAAATCGAAACTATAGATATCCCAGTACCATAGACCTAATCCTAAAAAACTGTAACTCCCATTCTATCCCAACACTCCCAATAAAAAAGTTACCCTCCAAAAAATTCAACATGCTCAACATCATCAAAGCCATAGACACCTCCCTCTCCAAATATAATAAAAACAGTACTCCCCCAATCGTTTTCCAACAACTCTTCCACAGGCCTCCTACCTATCTTCTCCTCGGTACTATCGAGCGAGATTATCTACCCAGCCCCTCAAAAACTCCCTCCTAAACAGAAGAGAACAAATCATCATCACCCGCCTCAGACTAGGACACTCATTCTTAACAAACGCCTACTACCTCGACAGAACTAGGAACAACGTGTGCCCATTATGCAACATCTCCCAGATTGACATCCACCAAATTATTTGCTCCTGCCCCTCCCTTTCCACGCAAAGATCCTCGTTCCTCAATAATCCTGATCCAATCAGCACCATAGCTAACCCCACAGATACAAACTCTTTAAACATCCTCAAATTCCTAAACAACTCCCATATCACCTCCCAAATCTAACTAAATCAAAGTTTTTGTAAATAAAATGTAAATAGTAATCCCTAGTAATATCTTGTATATACTCATAAGCCAAACATTCACAAGCCATATCCTAACTTAAGCCGAGCTGAAGGCCCTAGCTGCTATTGCTCCTAGCCATTTGTTAGCTCTTAGTTTTAACTAATTGTTAGCCTTAAATAAATAAATAAAAAATAAATACTGGGATAATAGGTAATTATATATTACCTTACTATATTAATATAGTGATTTTATAAAAGGTGTAGTTTCACGATCTTTAAGGGCATTAGTTGCACCTTTTACAAAAAATGTTATAAAATAAATGTTATAATGTTCGTTTTTATAACGTTTTGCTTTACTTTTGTAGTTCGTGATATGTTTATAGTTAGTTAGTAACGAAATATTTGCATAATATAAAAGTTTTTAAGCCTGTGTGTATAATAAGAAAGGCAACCCATTAAAGATAATAATTAAAAACATTTAAGTTTTCGTTTTGATCACTTGGTTTTTCATTTATTTAAATGTGTTTCATTCATCAGCTTCATTTTGTATGAGATTTTTTTTGTTTGTTTTTCTACAGAGTCAAAAATATTTGGTAAATTAAGTACTTTTTATAAATCCGTTTCATCTGCTTATATGCGAACAAGCAAAATTACATAGACGTATTAAAAACTAGGTAGCGAAGAATATTATAAAAAACTAATACAATACGTTCGTTTACAAACTGACTTAAATAGGCGTCTCCCTATATCTCGAATATCGCACAAGCTTAAACGCTATCAGAAAGTCTTATCACACGCTCACAACGCTGGGACGCTGCACACAACTGGATGGATTGTGATCCTGAGATCCAATTAAGGATTGTGGGATTGCATCCATCTCACTTGGGAACCGGAACGGGTGCACGAGTCGGGGTGGACCAGAGCAGAAGAGGGAGGAGCCGCGGCTGGAGGACAAAACAGCAGCAGCAACCACATCGATGATGCACCCAAGGTGGTGTCGCTTCCAGAGGCCATCCAAGAAGTCCACATCGTCATTAGCAGTACCAGTCGTAGTAGTATCCTTTAAAATCCTGGATCTGGCAACTGTGTCTGTGTCTTCGATCGAGTGTCTTGGAGGGTCGGGAAGTGGGTTGGTGTTCTAGTTGATGTTGATGTTATTTGTTGTGTGGGCTGTGCGGCCCAAATGTGTCGCTTAGAAGTCTTAAACTAAAATTCCTTTACAATCCACTCATTCACAGTGCTCACGGGTTTCGTCAACGTTTCAAGGTATCCTTGTGTTTTGTGTTTTATGTTTATGTTTTTTGTTTTTTTGTTTATGGCTTACGGCTAGAAGAGAGTTCGGTCTAAAAGCTAAGTTCGTCGGTTACTCGTCTGTTTTTCTCTGAATCTCTGTCGGTTATCACGGTCTGCATAGCAAAGTGTTTTGTCTATGGGAAAAGTGATATGTTATGGAATGTAGTGATATATGTTTGCGGGTTATGTTTCGGATTCTTTTGTTCAACTGATTTTGGGAAATTGTGGAAATGGAAGAGTTTTTTGCTTGCCATCCCAGTTCATTCTCAATGCTGTAAAGAAAAGCGAAAGAAGAGGAGAGAAAGAGAGAAGAGGTCGAGAGTCAGCAGTTTAGTAGCCGTGATATGAATGATAATCATGAGAGGCAAAATCATGCTCCACCTCGTGCTCATGCTCCACGATGGGATGCGAGTGATGATGATGGATGGGGGCGTGGTGATGGTCCTCCTCGATATGCTTGTGGTGGAACTCGGGCTCCTTGTAGGTGACGTGTTTCTCATGGTACTCCGGCACGTGTTTCTCGATGTGAACATGGACGGGCTTCTCCACGGGGATCTTGACCGGGTACGGAACGTGTTTCTCAACCTTCACGGGCACTTCCTTAATCACGGGGTATGGAGCGGGCACATGGACCTTGACCTCATAGGGCACTGGCTTCTCAACATGGACGGGCACTGGGCGATCATAGGGCACATGGACGGGCACTGGCACCTTCTTGATCACGGGCACTGGCACTGGCTTGTCAACATAGTGGGGCACTGGTTTGTCAATGTAGTGTGGCACTGGCTTGTCGACGGGCACCTTCACGGGGTAGTGGACCACCTTCTCAACGGGATATGGCTTGTCAACATGCACATGCTTCTCCACATTGTAGTGGACAACCTTCTCGACGGGATAAGGAGCTGGCACATGAACCTTCACTGGAACATGAACCTTCTTTTCGACTGGGTAAGGAGCGGGCACATGAACCTGTTGAAGGAAAACCAAAGGGTTAGAATCCCTATCTGATCTTTTACCCTATTCTTAACCCACCTTAACGGGCACTGGGCGATCGTAGTGCACATGGACGGGCACATGGACCTGCTTCTCTACTGGATAGGGTGCTGGGACCTCGTAGGGAACCTTTACAATCTCCTTAACTTCATAGGGAATGTGCTTGATGACTGGATAGGGCTTTGGCACCTTAACCTTAACGGGCACATGGATGTGCTTCTCAACGGGCACGTGCACGATCTTCTCAATGGGCACAGGCACGGGCACCTTCTTGATCACGGTCAGAGTTTTCTCTTCGTGAACCGGGAAGTGGGGCACATGGTGGTGATGATAGTCCTCATAATGGTGAAGTCCTCGCTTTGACTTGGTGGTGTCCTCGCTGGCCGCTGCCTCGGCAGCCTTGGCCTCGGGCTCAGCCTTCTTCTCGGCGGCGGGAGCTGCTGCCTTCTCGTCCTCAGCCCGGACGTAGCTGGTGGCCAGAAGCACGACCAAAGCCAGCGATGTCGCTGTGCGCTGTAAAGTTAAAGGAGTCGTTGTTAGAAGGGGTCGTTGTTAAAATCTTTGGAATATTTAATGCATGAAGTGGAAAGGAATATATATGGGCTAGAACCAAAATGTTCTCAATTCATTTTTTCAAAATTTCATGAAAGGATTTAGTAATCACATTTAATGATTGTGGATTTTGTGGAGATTTAATTTATTTTAGAATATTACACATATTAACCATATCACTGATTGCTAGATTGCAATGAATTTCATGGACTTTTATGTTTTACTGCATTTTTCTGCAATTTGAATCATTTTCTTTAGTCCTTTTTAAACACTTTTCCACTGCACTCTGTCGTCCTGGAATTGATACTTACCATCAACTTCATGCTGCTGCGTTTATCCTTCGATGGATGGGAATGGAAAACCGTTTTCCCAGATCGTGTAGCACGCGACTCGAGTTAATTGGGCGAGAACTGATCCCGTTTTTTAATCGAGGGGATGGATGAATGTATTGATCACTAGTCCACACGTTCCGTACCACTCTATGATGTAGACTGTTCGACGGTTAACGGTTTAATGATGCCAACTGCAGCGCCTGCGCGCACTTTTATAGTTCCCAATCGAAAGCAAAGCCACTCCGCCGAATGAATGGATGCACGAAGTAAAGTAAGCCGAAGAGCAGACGGCAGCCAAAACCATCGGCAACACCAATAATAATCGCAATGGCCCAAAACACATGCGGCGCAGCGAATGGTGAGCGGTACGCCTTACTATACTCATGTATGTTGTTGTTGTTGTTGCTGGTGTGCGGTTGCCTGTCTACTTTGCCTTCGGTGGTCCGCTGGCTGGTGGTTCGCTGGATTTTGGAGGCGCGAAGTCAACGCAGCCAAGCGCCAAATGCAGCGCCACCGTCATCGCAAAATAAAAAGCAAAAACAAGAATAGCAATAAAGCTGAGATATACGAAGCTTATTATTCCCTTTTTTATAATTTGCTTAAGCAAACCCAAAGAAAATCTTAGAGCATAGTCAAAACGCTTTAACCCAGAAAAATATATCAAAATCTTACAATAATATCAATTTATTGTAAGAATGTAAAAAGAGTTTAGATAGTCAAATTCCTATAAGCAAGGAAAGTATTTTCAGAATCTGTACATTTAATAGTCCAAACGATTTGGTAGTGTTAATAAGTCTCTTAATAAGCTCTTTAACAATAAACTTAAAAGTACAGGCAATTAAAAAATGTATGCCAATGCTTCTGACGTTTGAACACTTTTTTTAACAATTATTATCTCAAAAGTCCACATTAATATTAAGAAGGCAGAGCAAAGTGATCATCAAAGTCATAAAACTCGACAGACTCTGTAAAAATACAAAAATAAGATTGCAATATCAAGAGGAGACGACGCGAATGGGTGAAAGAGGGGTGGTTTTTCAAGGGGGTTCAAGGGGGAAGAGCAGACGAGGGTCTATGGATGCGTGCCATTTTGCTGTTTAATTCGACTACCGTCAGCTGCCGCTTTTTTTTTTTGCTGTTGTTGTTGTGCTTCTTGTGGCTGCCGCAAGTCAATGCACGTAAAAGGCTTGAGAAACCAAAGCCACAACGGCAACTTCAACAGCAGGCCCCACAATTTCTGGCTGGTAATTGAATAATACCCAAATGGATGAGCTGCCTTCAAGCCACTTCAAGTGATGAGCTGTTCGCTTTGTTGGCGGTTTTCATTTCAATGTTGTTTTTATGTTAATCACAAATGATTATGTACTTGTTGCTGCTGCATTATTTGCCGACTCTTCGTATTTGGGGATTGTTCTGCTAGCCGGAGGCGATGTTTTGATTGATTGAAAATGAAAATGATGTTTCCCGAAAGGAGTTAAGTCAATTTTGGTTTTTTTTTAATGTATCTATAAATTAGTTCAAGCATTTAATGCCATTTGTCGTTAAGTAAGTCCACATAATTCTCTTTTACCATACCCTAAAAAAATACACTAATCTACTTCGGCTTTTCCTTTCACCGCTTTGAACGTTTTCCTAATTGAATGCTCCACTAATCCTAGTTAGTTTTTTCCTCTTTTTTACTTGTCTTTACCCCCTCTCACTTTTGTTACACCCCCAGTTTTTTTTTGTGTGTCTCGTGTCACCTGATTTTCCCCTTCCTCGAACTGACCACAGACAATCCTCTGTCTGGCTGTCATCTGCATCCTTTTACTTTTTCCAGCAATGGCATTATGCCATTATACCATTCACCGGACCCAGCCCCAATGATTCCGGACCAGTTTCCGCGAGGTTGGGGACACTCGATACCCAACTCCAGCTGGAGAGTGTGTCACTCGGTCATTCGGTTGTGTCACTGCTCCACATTCGATTCACCAACCATAACCTAAGACAATGAGCAGTCACAAGTTGTAGAGACCAGAAGCTGGCGAACCGAGACGCCACTTCAGTTCACTTCAACCTAATCCAATCCATTCCATTTCCAGAGCTGCGTAATTGATACCACCAATAGTAGCACCACCAGATACCGCCAGAGTGGACCCTGGTCGGGGCGGGTCCAGTCTTAGTCCGATTACCTTCCTCGTTATTATGTCAATGGGTCTTCAGTCAGCTGTGGCTTGGCACACATATTAAGTATAAATATATCACACTTATAGTTAGTATGGATACAAGTTTAAGGTGCAGATCATAACGGTTATGTGATATGGTTTTATATATATTGGATATATGAAAGTTTTAGATAACTATTATTGAAAAGCGATTCTTAGTTAAGTTTTAACTTATATTAAAATCATTAATTATCTATGGTTATGGGTTCATTTGTTAGATCTTATGATCTTATAAGCACATTTGAATTATAGTTTAGTAAACATTGATCAGGTCTGGTCTTATACTCATGTAAAGTACCTTACAATCCACGACTTGTTACGATAGCAAATATTTTCTCGCTTTCGTTGCATGCATGCAACTTTCGATTTCGTTTCGATTCGCGTTTGTTGCATGTCTTGACCACATTGTTCGATGCACATTTCCACAACGGTCGGGAAAGAGATCGGTGGAAGTCCAGAAGAAAGAGAAACAGAGAGTGCTGTTTGGAGGCTGCCACAGCTGATGTTATAATATTATGTCATATGTTCGTTTTGCTGGGGCGCACGCCTACCGTCAGAGAGATGATTTCGAGGGTACATTGTTTGTGGCCCCATCAAAATCGGTTGGAGTGCACTTACTTCCTCGACTTAATTACCATATGCCACCATATATATCCATACCAAAGTATCTCACTCCCCCATTGTTTTGCCAGGTCTTTGAAAATCATCTTTCGATTCGAGCTTAACATCTTTTTGTCGATATTCAGGCTGCAGCTCGTTTGTTTACATTGTCTATGACCTGACCTTGCCGCATTTGGCGATAAACTAAGCTTTACATAAATTCATCTATCTATTTTTCTATTTTTCGATAGGTCTTTATTCGCCGACAAAGGTGTCAAAGTTGAACCAGCTGACGATTGATCATTCGAAAAAAGAAGCTGGCTCCTACGATTTGCATTCGTCGCTGCCTGATTTGTGTAACAATTTATTGTCATCGCTCGAGCATTCCATTCCACTTCGTTCCCATTTCGAGTTGTGATGTCTCAAATATTGGACGACTTCCAACAATATATAGAGCTGTAAGCCATGTAGGCGAAAATGACAGTTATGACATTTTATGTGCCGTTTACCAAAGCCTCCATTCAGCTCTTTGTCACCTACAGTTGTCGTTGGCTGTCGATTCGCTTGTGGTTTTCTTTTCTTGCCAAGGTATAACTGTTTTTGGGTCTCGGTGGTTTAACCGTTTCGTGTTTTGTTTACTGCCATTTTTTTTGGATGGGGCCACCGCAGGGTTCAATGTATTACTGGTCAAGGTCGTTTCTTTAGCTTGTTAGCCTGGCCAACTAACTGAAAAATTGGCTACAGAAAACGAACATAACTATTGGTCATGGGAAAACTTTATCGGGTTAGAAGTGTGCATCAGAGAAAATCTTGATGGTTTGGGGAAATCTTCATAAAATCATATTTTCAAAAGGATAAGAGAAGGGCTACCTTAACCAAAGAATAATAAAGATTTCAATATTCAACTAAAGCTAAAAATGGAAAATCATCAAAATAAAAAATAAAAAATAAATCAAAACCGAAAGTGAACCTCCTTTATCTGCAGTTAGTTCAAATGGGAAACCCCCGAAGTTCAATGCCAAATTTCGGGCTTTACTTGCCCGCCCAAAACATTCATTAGGCTAACAAAATATTAACTATCCCCATGATCTGTTCACTATTCAGGTTAAAGACCATTCCAATGAGCTTGCAAGACGTGTAAACTGCAATCACTCTGCCTTATTACAATCGGCTGGCTGAGATCAGCTCTTATTTTTTCACTCTAGCCAACCATTCCCTCAATGATCATTGCAATTAGGGCTCAATCAGGGTTTACGATCTCAGTTTAACGCATCTCTGAACCGATCGGCGAAATAACACTCAGAGAAAAAACAAGGAAATGGGGTCAATGGCAAAAGCATTTGAACTCTTGCCTCTTTTATTTTGGCGCCGTGCGTTTATTTATAGCTTCTTTTATTTTCGAATGGAAACTATTAAATTATCATTGTTTGAGAAGTTTGGTTTCTATTTGTCACGAGCCAACGAATGTTTTGGTCGGCCCTCGATTAACCCATAGAAAAACACAAAAATAACTATATCTATCCATCTATATGCAACACCAGCTAGCCGTGACGTTCACTTAATCAAATTTGTGGCTAGGAGTCTCACTATTTTTTGTGGGTAGCCCGCTAAGCTAAACTGATTAATAAGGAAGTTGAGCCTGCGATCCACCTGCGAATTTATGCAGAAAGCCAGAAAAACCAGTCAAAGGAAAACTATTTATTAGCATAATAATTCCGCCTAGGGGCCAGCTTCATGCTGGCCAGCTGTAATGGGGTGTAATAGTTGACCCATTGACTTAGTCAACACAAGTCTTTTTTTTGCATTTTTCTGTCAAAAAGTTGGCGAAATATTATGAGGAAAATCCGATGGCTGTCGTCACTTCTTCAGCAGAAACTATTTTAAATAAAGACTTTAATTTGGATTTCAGTTTTGGCCACAATTCCTCATTGTTTTTGTGGCCATAATTACAACAACAGCCCCAAGACCGATACAAAGTTGGCAATCAAATGCATGGCTCGTGTTGTTGGTGTAAATTGCGTAAATTGAATAAACATTATGCTGAAGTGTAGCCCAGGGTAGCAGACAGACACAATCGGGCTGGTCCGTTTATTGTCGGCATTTTCGTTTTACATTTGGTAAATCTGTTTTTGCAGCTCTTGGCTTTGTTGCCTTCTGAACCGCACTGAGGCGAAGCCGAAGTTGTTAGTGTGAATGTGGATGGGCAAACGAGGGGTGATTCAGTTGGTTTTGAATTTGAGGATTAGGTATTAGATATTAATATTAGGAGAAGAAGAAGATATATAGAAGAAGGATATATAAGACCTTAGCTTTTAATTCTTTGCAATATTTTTCTAGATTAATCCTTAGCCAATAGAAAGAGAGTTAGATGACAGGTTATTAATTTAAGAATGTTAAGAATGTTAAGAATGTTATAAGTTATGAGCTATAAGTTATAAGTTATAACTTTCAACAACTTTCTAATTTAAAAAAAACTCTTGAAAAGGTTTAAAGCCAACCTCGCCCAGCCTAAAAATATAGAGCGGAGCGTAATTAGGCAGCACTTAAATGACTGTAATTAACAAAACAACAGCAATAAAACAAAAATACGTATGTTAAGCAATGATCTAAGTCGAATAAAATACGAAAACTAGTTTAACGGAAGAATTCAACTAAAAAATAAAATATATTAGTTAAGAAAAGGTTGAACGTCTAATTGTTAGGAAACTATTATAGAGCACGTTAGATATGTACAGGCACATCAATCAAATCGTATTTATGGTTTTCCTATATTTCTTCAAAATGCACACCAAAACGCAGTAAAAACTTGATGGAGCGAAGCGACTTCCGAATAAGAAAATTAGTATGTGGAGAAAGTAAAAACAGTACGCATTATAAATGCCTATAAAAAAGCCAATTGGAGGCTCAATAAAAAAGCATTTTTATTCAAATTTTTAAGTTCAGAAAAGATTTTATTATAAAAAACTTATAAATCAAAAATAGCTTAGTCTTTATGTGACGATTTCAAGATTTTTGTCTTGCATTACGAAAATTTTATGACTGTTCGCCCATTTGCAACATATTTAAGATTTAACTCTTTGATAAATGCCAGAAATTACCCATACAAGTTTGCATCTGGGCTTTCGTCGTCGCTTTCGGCTGTTGCTCATTTTTGGGCTCTGTGGGATTGTTGAAATGTGGCAACACATTTTGGGTTTGGAAAATTTCTTTGCAACCGAAAAGTTGCGCGCAAAAGAAATTGCAAGTCAATTACTGTTAGACGGTTTGCATGGCGCCATGACGCAATCGCCACATGTGGCAGCCGCAAACACAGAGAAACAGCCACAATAATATCAGCGTACCAACGTCGACGTCATCAGCATATCGCTAATTGATTGCGTCTGCATTGGTTGTTATTGTTGTTGTTGTTGCTATTGTTGCATTCACTTTGCTTTTTTTTTTTGGTTTTTGGGTCGAGCCATTCTCCATTGGCACACAAGCTGGCAATCGGGCTAACACGAACAGCGGCTACGTTTCTCGGGTTAGGACAAGATCAATGTTGCTTGTGGCGTTGGTCAATCCAGGCAACAGGTTCTCCCAAAACGAAAGACTCAGGCAGCGAACTTGAAACGCGTATCGGCTCTTTCTGGATTGCCTGTCATTGCAGTTGATTGCGCCGATAAATGTTGCGGCTCTAGAGTGCCGAGCACACTCCCATAGCTCACGTGCATTAATTGTTGCATCACTTTTCATCGTCTCGCTTTTCATTTCATTTTTTGCCAAATTACCTGCCATTTTTTTCCGTTTTTCTTTTTTTTTTTTGCTTAAGTGCTTTAGAGATTATGTGAGAAATTGTGGAGCAAGAGTGAAATGGTGCCTCTGTCTGGCAAACACGATCGTTGTTAGAGCAAAAACATAAAAATATTGATTACAATCAATAAGAATTAATTCGTTTAGTATTTAGTGGCGTGTTTATTTGTCATTATCAAATATTTAATTGTTTATATATAATTGAGATATTTTTACGCCATGTTATCATCTTATATTTATTTCAGTAAAATTAATTTGCCTTTTGTATTTTCTCTTTAAAAACATTCATTAGTAATAACAATAAAGATCATGTTTAGTAAAATTAAGTTAAAAAAAACTTAAAATATGAATTAACCCTTTAAATATATATGAAAATGATATCATTTAATGGCCTTGTAGGATATCAAATCAACACTTTTATTTGCCATTCATTTGAGAACAAAGCCTTTGTTTTTTATCATCCCCCAAGTGTTATTCATAAGAGAAACTGAACTTTGTTTTTTATTACTTTACTTATTGTGAAATTCATTTATATCGCTATTGCACTTCATTGAAACTGATAAGAACGGTGCTTTACATAATTTGTCTTTATTGTTTTCGTACATTTTACTCTGAGAAGAATTTGAATATATATTTGGAGATAAAGTTTTATATATTTCGTAAGTTTTTGGTTTTACAATAGAGCTCTCTGCATTTCAGCATCGAATTTCACTTGTTGGTTATTACTATCTACTGCGGGTCTTCTCTTCCGAATTTGCCAAGTAACTACAGAAGCAATGACTATTATCAAAACACAAACTCCAATAATTATTCCCAATAGATTCGAACTCCGGCTACTGATTCCTTCTCAGGACTAGAAGTATAACTAAGACTTGAAGGACTAGATGAAATTATTTCTGTTGACTCGATTAATTCGGTTGATTCAGTTAAGTCTTCTGCCTCTGTGGAGGATTCTGTTGACGTAGATGAGATTGGGGCAAGAATACATTTTCCTTTGTCGGACTCCATGTAGCCGGGACAACATTTATATTGATCTTCAAATTTGGTTAGGGTCTAGGAATTGTCATTACCTTAAATTTCTGTACAATTTTGTGTTTTCCAGATCTTACCACTGTTTTATTCGCTGCTGGTATACCTAATTGTTTGAAATAATCCCCAAAGTTTCCATAGTCTTCTATGGGTTTGGCTACCATTTCCGTATAGTTCACAGCCACGTGTTGAAGGCACAAGTGAGGATCTCGATCGCAAATAGACATCTTAAACGATGCTAGGCTTATCAAAGTCACTATTATAGTCTTCAACATTTTGGCAATTTCAATCCGTTCCTGAGGGCAGTCAATAAGCAACTGTTGCAACCATATCAGGAATAAGAATTTAATTCTCCAGAGAGAAAGATCAGAAGCCTCGCATGGTTTATTAAAAAGGGATAATTTGTTTTTAAAAGTTCGGTTTAATTGGGAATATTTTCTTCCGACAGATCTTAAATAAGTATTTAGATACGTTTGTTAAGGTCCCCTTTCTAATCTATATTTTCGACTTCACTGTGCGAATAAGATAGGAAAGCTTCAGCATAGATAAAGGAAAGCTTGGATTAAACTTTGGCATATATTAAGAGCATAGTGCCAGGCTTTTGTAATATTGAAACGATTTATTTATTTCAAATTCATAGATCTTTTTATTTTACCAACGCCGCTATTACAAGATATAAAAGCTTGAGCCTATCGATATTTTCTTCGTAAAGTATAAGCTTAAAGTAGATTATATCATATGTTTTGTTGCATAGATTTAGGGTTATCGCAAAAATTTACAGTTCAAAAGCCACTGGATAATTTATGTAAATTAAAATAAGACTTGGCCACACTTAAAGTGACTGTAAAGCTCGTAATACTACTGTTCGCAGTAGATCCAAGGAGTTTTATAAGTTCTATTAAATATTTTTTTTGTATCGAACATTTTTTTTGCTTGGTTCATGATTTATTCGGATCTCACACCTTTTCATGACGTGAAAATATATTCAGTTTATTGATGAAACTTATTCTTCTGTATAATATCAGTATCAAAAAGCTTTGTTTAAAGTTTTTAAATGAATTTTAAAAAAATGGGGCTAAGCAAAACTTTTGTGGAAAAGCTTTAAATATTATTGTATATAATATTACTATTCATTGCATATTTTTTGGGATATCTCAGCCATTTAAGCCCTTATCCTCCTCAAGTCTTTTAATCACCAAATTTATTCTCTCTCTACATGGTCATAATATTTAAATTAGCCTACATTTTTTAATGTATACGTTTTTAAACCAAGAAAAAAGGTACCATGAAACCAATAAATATTATGTTGCCTTTATAAATTAGACTGTACTTTAGCTTGAAGCTTAAAGCCCAAACCTTTTTAAAAAAATCAAAAATCACTTTAGGAAAGTCCCTTATTATGACTGCCCACAAAAATCAGCACAACTTATTTTTTTTTTTTTTAATTTTCGTTTTATTTACATTATTTAAATATGTACAAACATTTCATAGAAAAGAAATTTACATGAAAAAGTCGAAGGAGCAACTCGTCAGCAGTTATTTCTCTGTGATTGTCTACAAAAGAAATGTACACTCGATGGAAACGGAAGCAAGGAGACAGGCACTTACTGAACGCCCCAGATGGGTTTTGGCAAGCTTTCTATAATGGTTTGCGTCAGGTGTGTGATCTTCTCCTGCTTCGGGTCCTCCTAGAATTTCGGTTGGTATCACAAACTAAAACTAAATTTGTAAGTCGTACGTTGGCGGTTGCTGGGCGTGGGAATGTGGGCGTGGTGGGGGTACTTGATTCTTAATGTCTTTTGGATACTTTCGACTTGTTGTTGTTCGCTCGCCTTCACCCGATTTCACTTCTCAATTGGCCCTCGACAGCATTTGCGATTTCGTCTACTTTTTGTGGAGGTAGCCACCGTGTCCGGAGCTGCCGTACGAGGAGATTCCGTGTCCGGAGATGCCGTAAGAGGAGATGCCATGTCCGGAGATTCCGTGGCCAGAGATTCCGTGTCCGGAGTAACCGTGGCTAATGATAGCTGGAGCAGCGGCGACAGTGTGGGTAACAGCCACGGCGGGCTTCACGTGGCTCTCAACATGGACGGGCACGGGCACGGCCACCTTGTAGGGCACTGGGCGCTCCACATGGACGGGCACCTTGTGGATCACACGCTTCTCAACGGTGTATGGCACGGGCTTCTCAACGGGCACGGGGTAGGGCTTGTCAACATGAACGGTGTAGGGACGGTCGACAGGGATCTTCACGGGCACGCGGATGACCTTCTCGACGGGGTAGGGCTGGGGCACTTCGACGGGCACCTTCACGATCTCCTTGACCGGGACATGGACGATCTTCTCAACGGGGTAGGGCTGGGGCACGGGCACCTTAACAGGGTAGGTGACGGTCTTCTCGACTGGGTAGGGAACGTGACGCTCCACCTGGTAGGGAACCTGCACGGTCCTCACAACAGTGTTGGTGTGCACCTGGGTGGGCAGCTCAGCGACAGCTGGGGCCACTGGAACTCCAACTCCGATTCCGGATCCAAGGATGGCGCCTCCCGCAGAGGGACCGTATCCATAGCCCAAACCGTGGCCAATGCCGCGCTTCTCCTGCTTCTTCTCAGCGGGCTCGGCTGCCTCGACGGTCTTCTTGGGTGCCTCATCGCTGGCGCTAGCCACCAGCACGCACATCGCCACAAGGCCGAAAATGAGCTGCAATGGCAAGTACGTTATTTTCGATCGAAATTCAAAATTGGTTTGTCCGGGGGTTATGCAAGTGCAGTTGCTTCCGGCTACACCTCCGCCCGGCCACTCCATAATTTTGAATATGACAATTATGCAATGGCTGGAAAGTTGGCTGGGCAATCAGCCAAGTTCAATGCTGGCCTAGGCCCCCTAACATATTGGGCATGCGACGTATGCGTAATGTGGCTTCCCATTTTCGCAATACTTTGGGTGAATGATGTTTTGTAACAGGCAAATGACTAAAAAAAACTTTACAATTGGATGTACTTTTAGATGGAAAATTCAACCAAATTGTATTCCAAATTATTTACTTATTTAATCATTTTTTGAAACTCCTTTTTAAGGCTAAAAATCGTTTCAGTTCATCATATAATTTATCAAATGTATAAAAAGTTGAATTCTATAAAACGAAGTTCGTTCTGTGAAGCTATTAATATCCTTTTTCTAATCTAAAAACTATTCAACATTTTTGCAATTATTTATAATGTATATTTAAATAGTCCTGCCACTAAAATTCAGAGGTTCTACAGGCAGGTTATAGTATCCGTAAATTCTTTTGTTTTTAATGAAGCTGTTTAAATCATGGAATAACTTGTTTATATATTTATTTTAATTGCCACACCGCCGTGTCTCTAAGTTAATCCATAAATATTATCTTTTTGTTTAGCCACTTTAACGGAAATCGAGTTCTTCAAGCACAATTATTCTAAGTAACACTTTGACAAGGAGAACACACTGAGCTCAGACCGAACATACCATGGATTTCATTTTGCACTAGGTTTAGCTCCTCAACACTTTGCGATCAAGATGGGCTTGTATGTCTCAACCAACCCGCAACAGTTAACTGAATAATTTTGCACAGACGCAGCGAGCTTTTATATGGCCGATGCTGTGGCGGGATTGTCTTCAGCCGCTGCTGCGCAGTCGCCGCAAATCGAGATCGCAGCAGCCGTGCCAAAAAAGCTCGCTCTCTATTAGCCTTTTCTCTCTCTGTTAGCCAACTATCCGTGTGAGCCATCGATTTCAAAGGAAATGCGTCAGCCAGAAAGCTTTTTTGTTAAGCGAGGGTGCCTCACACGTATAGTGTCCGTGTCATCCGTGTGACTTGCGTTCGTGTGCGTGACTATCTGTGAGCATTTCAGCTCCAACTATAGCAATCTTTGCGTTCCGCTGGCAGTTTTCAGATACTAAGTACTTGGGGCAGAGCTCCGTGGAAAGGAGTGGATATTTTTTTAAATATTTTTTTAATCCTTATATTCCTATAAGGAATATCGCTCTGTCAAATAACTTAACTTGCAGAGGAAGTGAAACTTAACACATCACCTCTTTACGATTTTAATTTGGACAGTTTTTAAGTTTCTATATTTTTCGAAAAGTAAAGTACAGCGTTTTTTCTTTAAGGAATTGTTCAAATGGTTTTTAAAATGTAAAAAGTATCAAAGTTAAGTAAAATATAATTTTTTAAAGATTTCTTTAAGCATACATTTTGTATAATCTTTTGTTCAAGAAACAACTTAATAATAATTTTAATCATTTGAAAATGATTGGTTGACGTTTTCTGGATTCCGTTAACGCCAGAACTATTTATTTACATTTTTTAATGGCCTTAAATTGGTGGTTTCTTAAATATCACTTTCGTCACTTTATTTCCTAGTCGCAAAGCCTTGAGCCTTTAATAGCCACCACTAGCACTTCAGTCACATAATCAAATTAGACACAACGGCCAAAATGTTCCACAGCCATAAGTCAAATTCGCATTAGCCACACATTTCCGAAAATTTCAGGTTGCAACTGCAGTGGGCTGCTGCAGTTGCAGTTGCAGTTGCATATTGAATGTAAATTGGTTGGCTGTAAAAAAAAATTCATGCGCCGCATAGTCTGCTTGATTCTGTGTGGCTTCGTGACTGAACTTTTGATCTCTGATTTGTGTTTGGCTCAGTATTCTTGTTTGCTTCGTGTTTTTTTCGTCGCTTTTTTGTTTTAGTTTTTTTACTTTTTGGCCAGGCTTAGGAGCTTAAGCCTTGATATGGGTGCATTGATTGAATGCTGCGGCGGTGTGGGTAATTTGACATTTTAATGCTGCAGAGGAAATACTCGCCAATGGCCATGTAAATGGAACGTGTGAACAATGAGTGGACCGCAAAACGCTGACAAAGGAGAACAGATACAGACCGAAAATCATGTTTGGATTTATGTGCATTAAATTAATTGTGGACATAATGCCCGGACATAATGGCAACCGAGCGTATTAGGCGTATTGTAATGTGCAGTTGAAGGCGAAGGTCGCCAGACATCATCACTATAGCGGTGATCATCATCAGCATCACAATCGGTTGCAAAGTCTGAGTCAAAGTTGAACTACATTCATTGGGCGGTAGCTGCGGGTGGTGGTGGTGATGGTGGTAGGCCTTGCCCATGTGGCGCTTCTTTTGTGGCCAGTTTTTTTGTTTTTTTCTTAACTAATGGGAGGCTATAGTCTTCGCCGCAGAATCATCGTATTGCAGTCGAGCGGATGACTTAAGCGCTTTAATAAAAAAAATATGCAAACCAAAAACACGAAATCAACGGCAACAAAAGAGCCCAGGCCACCGAGCTCAAGTTCAAGTTTATGCATCGGGTTTTGGTCGTTGTGGTTTCTTTTTCATCACTCGAATTTTTATGGTTTTTCTAGATCACTTTCATTTTGTTGTTGATTCGCCAACATTTGAATAAGCGGACAGAGATAGATCGAAGATCTTAGCTTGTGTTTGTTTTATTTTTCAAATACCTAGCACTCATTTAGTACATGGGTATCTTGGACTTAAGATTCCCACTTAAGTTTAATTTATTTAAATTTTCAGTCTAGTCACGATTTTTTAATTGCCTATGCTAAGTTTTTGAGCGTGTGCCTGTCAAAAATGGTAATAACCCCCTAAACGATATAGAATAATACTAAGTGAGCTATAAAATCGAACCAAAAGTCCATATTGAAGGCACAAAATAAATTAGAAAGTAACAGATTTTCACAAGAACCATATGATAACACTGAGAAATTAATTATGAATAATTGAATATTCAATTTCCGTTAAGATATATGCAAGGTAATGCTATTTTCAGTCTTCAATTCACAGTTCTCCATATCATTTGCATATGATTTTATCCGAGAGGAGGGTCTCTTATTAGTAAATTTGTTGTTTGACATTTGGCGTTCACTGGCCGCCACTTTAACTAATATAATTAATTAATACTAAACTGACGTCAAAGCTGAACTCGTAAGGGAAAAGAAATTATTGAAAATAAGCTATGTAATCTGAAAAATTATAATACGAGATTTAGGAAACTAGTTTAAAGCTGAGTAAAGGCTTTTAGGCAGCATGGAAATTTTTACTTTGTCAGAGTATTTTAAACCAACAATAAGAACATAAAATTTGCGTTTTGTATATTATTATTCTATCTTTCTTCTAGAAGAGTCAGACTGAAATTTATGGATATTTGGGGGGGTTTTTTTCTGTTGAAAATAAAGATTATATAACCAAACAAAGTAAACATCTTTAGAACAGATTTGTTTATAAAGCGTCAGATGGCGATTCTGCCCAGTAATGTTCTTGCTCAGCCAGCCAATTGTGCCATTAAAAATGATTTAAATCTTAGACTGCAAACACCTTTCGTGCTAGGAGGCCATAAATTAAACAATATACAAAAAATAAAGCTATTCAAATTTGTTTAAGCGACTTTTGGCAAGCTTTTTTCGGCTTTCGACGACTAAAGACAGCACATAAAAAAAACCGATAACAAGAAGTTTGCTAAAAGGAATTAAACATTATATATAGATGGTAATTAACAATCCGCAAACAAAAGACAGTCATTTATTATAGGGCAGAAGCACTCATGAATATCATTCGAGCGAGTTCGATTTATTGGGCGCTGCTTAACATTTGTCATTTGCCATTCGTTGCCGTTTTTTATTTGCACCTCCTCAAGCATTTTCTCATTGCGTTTGCTCCAGTTTTGAGATGCCACGCATTTGTCAATCGAATGCCGAACATGTTTCGATTTCTGATCCGTGCAAATATGCCCCAAGCTGATTAAATTTTCGTAATGGTTTTTTTTCTATTTTTTTGGCTAATCAATAGTGTGGAACCACTTTTTGTGCTGCAGCCAACTAATTGCGGCCTAATGCCGTTCGAGTTGATTTCTAAATTGTCTAGAGTCTAGAGCCTCCCAAAACTTATAACTTGATTGAAATTCAAACACTCACTATATAAGTGGTGAATGTTTGTTGGCTGAGTTCTTTACTTCAATGTGACAAAGTCGAAGCAGTTTGATCGGTTGATTAGCACAAGGAAGCTGATGCCAATCACAACTCATTATCAACAACTTCTTTTACTCTCTGCTCATCACTGGTTTTAAGTCTGCTTAATTTATCATAATCACAAGTTCCGAAAGGAAACTGCGAAGGTAATGCCAGTCAAAAAGTAAGTGCTCTATTAAAGTACTTTTTTTTTTGTAATTGTTAGTCAGGGTCTTTTGGCCGGCATTAGATCAGCCAGAAATTTATCATAATTAAAGACAAGCCGAGCGACATAATTTGACCCAAATTTTTGGTGGAATTGAAATTGGAATGCGAACGAAGTGGCAAAAGATTTTCTTTTTGGATGGCCATAAACGGTTTCGTGCTGGAGCTAAGGTCTTTTGGATTTCGGCTAGAGGTTGTGCCGAGTTCGACTTGGGCTTTGAGCTGGGCCAAATAACATTTGTCAATTGAAATGGCCAGAAAAACAGAAACTTGTACCAACTGCGGGTCGAAGACAATCGTGCAAAACCTTCGACATTTAATTTTGTTTCGTTTTTGTTTATCTTTGGTCTGCACGTTTGGTTAGCAAAGAAAATTGTCTAGAAAAAAAATACAGTTTACATGGGGCAATTTTTGTGGCTTCCTTTTTTTTTCTGGTTTGATAATTGCCCGCAAAAAGGTCATAAGAGAGCCGAAAACAAATTTTTGATTCGCTTGTTGATGGACACCACGGTCTTGCCACCGTTTTGACCTCAACACCCTCGAAATGAACAAAAATAATGACCTTTGACAGACAGTTGTTCGCACTTAAATCTCTTGCTGTAATATTTTTGGGAAAAACTCTAGTTCGGGGCAACAATGGCCTGCAGCAAAAAAGACCAAGAGACAAAAAAAAAATGAATCTTTCGATTTGACATTTTCCATGTAATTGGCCAAATGCGGTTAGGGGCCCGGCCCCGCTTCGAACCTTGAATTATCAGACCAAGACAATACCGCAGCACCGCCTTCGATCGCCGTCGAACTCGAAGTACACACGGAACCAGACTCCAAAGTCTCCGACAGAACCTGAGTGTCAGCCCCCCGATTCCACTGATCTTGGTGGCTTTTATCCAGTGAAGAACTGGCTGACACGCCCATTGAAACGCCCACACAAACACCTCCAGCAGCCAGTTTGGGCAGCCCAAAAATCGTAAATAATGCAAATAAAGATATTAGCTGATCGGTGTGCCGTGAGTGTCTATATAAGATAATTAAAAATCTAGATAAGGAAAATACAGGTATTAAATATTTAAGTTCGGTATGTATTTAAATTTTTAAGTGATATTTCTAGTTATGTTCCCAATTTACCATTTAAGTTAAGCTTAGAATGGGAAATTTATTTATCTGAGATCCTGAGAAACGCTTCCAGATGTCTTGAAAGGCATTCTGGCGGTCGTTTATATCGCCTGCCGACTTCATTGACATTCTTGATTCCATGTTTGCGGCAAACTCGTGTTTGGCAATAAAAATAAATAAATCATTTTGAGCTTTGGCCATTGTTCGTTTGTACGAAAACTCTGCAGCAATTAGTGCAAAAAAGTTTACAAACAATAAGACCAAAAAAATAGAATTTACAATAAAAAATGTAAAAGAAAAAACAATAGTTCGGTTGGCCTGGGAATTATGTCGTTTGCTCGACTTTTGTTTTTGCATTTTTTATGCAAGACGGCAAAGTGTGAGAGTGTTTGTAACACCCTGTGAGGAGATGCAAATTTATAGTTTTATGGAGCAAGCTGAAAATTCCCATGCCAACATATCTGTCAGCAAAAAAAATCTCAAATGAAATACCCCAAAAAAGATTAGGCATCTCATAAAGATAAAGATGGCATTTCAACAATTGCATTCATTTCATAAGAATTTAAACTTATTTTAACATTTTTTTAGTAAAGGAACTGTAATTGAGTGATTTACGACTTAATAAAAATAAAAATCGTTTATTATGCTAAACTGTTTTGTCATCTAAACTTAATTTGCCTAACTAAGCCAAACTAACAGACAGTTTCAATTGCTCGATTGACATTTGGCCAAGTACCCGCCTGCCACGCCCACGCGGATCAATGAAAAATTAGGCAAATGATTCGACTGCAACAACATGTCATGACTCGACTCGACTTTGTGAAATAAAAAATTACTAATATCAACAGCAGCGCCATCCCACAGAAGACAATGAATGGACAGAAAACGAAGCCAGTTTGTGGCAAATGCCACAGTGACACACTAACTGGGTGACTCCAAAAGCCGTCACAGCAACAACAACAACAACAACAGCAACTGCAACAGCAATAGCAGCACCTAAATGCAAAAACAAAAATTATGCAACTTTGGCCAAAGTAACGCTTTTTCGAGCAGCTGCAGCAGTAAGTCGCAGCATGGTAGTTGGCTGGACTCCTGCAGTGGCCTGGTCCCCCAGCCAGATTTGGGAATCTGCCGCTGGTGCAGTTTCGATTTCTTTGGCTTTTGGGAAAGATGTTTTCCAAGAGATTTTCCTATTCACTTTTGGGGACTTACAACTACTCGGCTGTCTTGTGGGCACCATCACCCCCCAAAAGGCGTTGGCCGCCTTTGTTGGACCGTTTGACATAGTTCGCGGCTTAGATAGAGAACTTGAAGGAGTGTCCACAGTCACAGAGCGAACACTTTCAATAAGGAAATAGCCAACTGAAAAGTGGGAATAAATCGCTTTGATATCGAGTTCGTTGCCTGAGTCTTTTGTTTCGCTCGCTGGACGCAGGTGAAAGGATTCGCGCAGCTTTCGTGCAAAGAGAGACCAGCACACCCGTGGTCGAGACTAGGCCACACCAGGCCACAATTTACGGCCATAATTCAAAAGAGGAATTGCATAAGACGATTGAATGCGATGCGGTAGCATTTGTGCGCTTAATTGTTTGCAATTTGAATGCACCATCAGATTGGGCGGAGATGAGTACGGACAGGTAGTTAGGCACAAGTCAAGGAGGTCGAGTCATAAGTCGACGTCAAGATATGATCTGGAGTACAAAATGTACATGGAGTGGATGGTAGATTGAAAGACCAAGTTTGGAACTCTAATTCAATTATAGTAGTTAAATATATTTTATTGTATGTTTAAAACACCTTTACGACTTGATAAATTGAACAAAGGTTTCTTGTTCATCAATAAGCCAAAAACTTAATTTAATTACGATTTTTAAGTACAAGCAATTTGGCTAAAGTTTAAAAGTTCTGTTAACTATAAATGTAGCAGTAGCAGTAAAAATTTAAACACAACAAAATCATGTTTTCTATTTTTTATAGTTTTTCCTAGCATTCTTGCTGATTGTCTCATAGCTCATCGCTCATGCTGAGGGGTCAACAGACTTAGCATTTAGCTGAAATGCGATCATGCACCATGTCAATTGCATTGTGGCTATAAAAAGTATTTTATTTGCCGACTTGCTGGTCGAATGAAGCGGCAAGCGGTATTGCAGGGCAACAGAAGACACATACGATACAAGTACGCGGGGAGATCTTGTGGGAGGGCCTTTGGAGGGGGGCGTCTTTGGATTGGATAGGAGTCACTGGGATTTCCAGATTGCCAAAGACGTTCGCTTCACTTGACTTGCGCACCGGCGACTTCGATTACGTTCGCAATTTGAGGTTCGGTTTTTGGTTTCGGTTTTGGATTTTGAGTTTTGTGATCGAGAAACTGGTGCAAGTTTTTTTCCCCCCTTCATTTTGTCGTGATTTCTGTGCAAACTGCTGGCAAACACAGACATGCATTTTGGCCAAAGGAGAAAAAAATCAAATACTAAAACTGAACCAATTCATTTTGCAATCGGTCGACAACTGTTTGACGTTGCAGACGCATTCAGCTTGGATTTTGGCGATGGACAAGTTGGTGGTGACCTTCAAAATGCCGCCGACTGGATAGTCGTTCATTAGAGCAAAAGTTTCGAATTTGGCAATATGTGGAACGTCTTTCGGTGGCCTTTTCTCAGACTCGACTCAAAAGCTGAGAATTGCGAAAAATCGTATACCGTTTGCCATCTTTTGTCGTCCGACGTTCCGATTGTGTCTCCATCATTTTGTGGCAATTAATTAAGTTTCAGCAAATATGCGTACCTCCCCCATCATCACAACATTGCCACCGATCTCCCCGCCAGTAGCCACAAGAAATATCGTTTTAATTGGCCACCGTCGGCTGGCGCAATTTGTTGGCTTGTCTCTTTCGGCCGGAATGGCTATCATTGCGTAAATGTTGCAATTCGGGCAATTCCTTCAGATCTCTGGGTCCCAATCGATGCGGCGTGTGTGGGATCTCATTTTCGATTATGGGCGGAAACTGAGCCAATAATTCATGAGTTGACAGTGCTCCAATTATGAGCTTTGCTGATATTGCGGATGTCGCTTATGCATATTCATGTACCCAGTCCTGAGATTAATATTATTCATGGGAAGTTGAGATATGTTTATAAAGTTTATGAAGCTCAGGGGAATGATGGTAAGAGTAAAGGTTTTTCTTCATATTTTTTGATATATCTTAAAAGCCGTAAACTACTTTTAGCAATATAAAAACCTTTGTAAAAATCCTCCACTATGGTTCTTATGCATTCTATGTAATTATTAATGATTAAAATATATTTGTATTTAATTACTATGTAGCAAGCTGTGGTATTGATCAACGCGGAGCATTCTTGTTTAAACTAATTTGATGTAATTAGACCCTAAGACGGCGACAATTAAGCTTGATAGAGAGATCCGCTTGGTAATTGCAAACGTTGCATAACCCCAAACACAAACCAAGTCAAGAACGAAACTAATGTAGGTACGAGTGTCAGCGAGTGTAAGAATGGGAATATGCACATTTGCACAACACCTACGAGTGGCAACCGTCAAGATCACAATATAATTCATAACAAATTATGGTTAAAAATACAGAATTACGAGTGCATGTAGAAATATATATATATGTGTATGTAAGTGGCGGAGTGCCTCTGCCACGCCCCCAAAATGGATGTGTGCAAATGCTGTCCGCAAAGCCGCCGACCTTCGGGCAAAGCCAAATGAATTCTTTGGCCTGGAACTGGTTCTGTCTGTGTCCAGAGACATTGATCGGCTCTCTTTTGTTTTTAAATCGAAGTCGAAGTCTAAAGGAAATTAAGTCAGAAATTAACAAGAACGGGTGACTTTTTATTAGAAAGTTGTTTCAGTTCCGTCTTAGCCAAGATCAGCGTCCTTGGGCTCCGTCAGATCAGTGGCCAAAGACGCCCAGAGGGCTTTGGCCCCAAAAACATTAAAAGCACTATATGGTATAGAGATCATCCCGAAAATAAATGTGCTGATCTTTAATATATGGTAAGCGAGCTTAGAAAAACTGTTTTAATTGCCCTCGTTTGGATAATAAGTAAGATGGCCCAAACCGGATTCTTGTTTTATTTTGTCTTTGAAGTAAACAAATGCTAAATAGCCCTAAACTTAATTGATTCAATTCATCAAAATGCAAACATGTTCAGAAGCTTTTTTTTTGCAGTTTGAAAGTTGATATTTTGGTATTTGATGAGGAAAAACCCCGCTTAGTTCGTTCACTTGTCGTAAAAAGCTGAAAACCGACATTAAATATCAAGTGACTACTCTTCATTTTTTTTCTCTGTCGTCCATCTGCTAGTCCTACGCATGTGGCTAAATGTTACTAAAAATTTACGAGCGACTTTTAAATGAACCCAACTGACGACTGACTTGTCTTGGGAATGGATAGGTCTGGAGAAGTGCACGTCATCTTTGGCTACCATCTGCTCTGGTCGACCTTGCGCACGTCTCGTCTTAATCTGATCATCGCAGCTCATCTTGGTTTTTTACATCACTTGGACTTTAATCGATTAGTTTGTGTGCTAGTGACTTGAGACTTGATATTTCCTTCCGTCTCAATGCAATTGCAATGCCAATTTGGGTCATGTCAGTTGAGGTGACTGACATGGTGAGAGGATTCTCGGTTTTAAGGACCAGGAAGGTGTCAAGACCTATGTTATTATTGTGACTAAGTTTTATTGATTTATTTAAGCTTAAGCTGATTTTTATTACAAGCATGAAGAATTCACTTTTGATAGTTATGAAATAATTATGCGTATCCTGTTTGGGCGCCTTGAAATTTTCGAAAGGTTTTAATTAAAAAAGGAAGTTATCAAAATAATATGCAGTGTTAAAGCTGATAGCGATTTTTGTTTTTTAAGTTAAAAAGAATATTTTATTTCTATTATTTTGATTTTTTTTAAATATTTGATATGCAACGAAACATTTATTATCCACCCATTCAAAAAACATGAATTTTAATAACGACATACTCTTTATTTACAAAATATATATACAAGATATTTGAAAGCAAACAAAATCCCGTTGGCAAACTATTTCCTGCTGCGAACCAGTGAACAAAGACAATAGAATTTATTTTATGTATTTTTATTTTATTTGTCCTTAATAGATTTTCACATAGATATTTCTGTTGTTATCCATTCAATTCATTGTGCGCCGAAACCTTTCACTGATAAACATGGCCAGCTAAACGGTCCATAAATGGTGAAATTTACAAACAGTTAGCTGGTATTTATCCTAAAACCTGGAGCATTTTGGCCCAGCACAATGGCTTCCATTGGTTGGCTGGATTGGAAATAATTTACAAAAGGCATTGCTTGTTTCATCTTGGGGGGTTCTTAACAGCTACAGAGAGTGGCAGGTCGGAAGTTGGACTTCCCGGGGTGCTTTTAGTTTTTTTGTTTTTGTTTTTTGTTTTCGCTTGTTGGATGGGAAAGGAAGGCTGAGAGGTGGAGTAGAGTTGGGAAGATATTTGAAAATGTTGCTAGATTTCCTTCGGCTCATTTCCAGAAAGTCCGCTCGCTCCAATGGAATCGCCTACTTCCAGTCCGTCCGCTTACTTGTGGTAACCATGGTGGTCAGCGAAGACGGTGGAGTCGTGTCCAATGGCACTGTGACCAATGGCGCTGATGGGATAGCTGCTTACGGCGACGGTGGGGGCGTGCTTCACAACGGAGTGCGAAACCACGGGCACCTTTACGTAGACGGGGTATGGTTTATCCACATGCACGGGCACCTGGACATTGACGGCCTTCTCTACATACACGGGGTAGGGCTTGGCCACAGGCACGGGGTATGGCCTGGGCACCTCAACGGGCACTGGACGGTCGACGGGCACATGGATTGGCACCTTCTCGTGGCGGATCACTTCGTAAGGCTGGGGAACTGGGACTGGCACCTTGACGTACTCCTTAACGGTCACGGGCACCTTACGGATGACTTCGTAGGGCTGGGGCACGGGCACCTTAACCTCAACGGGCACACGCTTCTCATGGACCACAGGGTATGGGCGGTCAACATGCACGGGCACGGGGATTCCCTTGGTGATGGTGATGGTCTTGTGGACATCGGCTTGCTTGCTGATCACATAGGGGGCAGGAGCGTGGTGGACAGCCACGGCGGGAGCGGTGTGTCCAACGGCAATTGCGGGACCACTGTGGCCCACAGCGATAGCAGCGGGAGCAGAGTGTCCGGTCAGTCCATAGCCGTGTCCGTAGCTTCCGTGTCCGGAGATGGAACCATGTCCCAGGTAACCGGTGTCCAGACCAGCGTGTCCGTAGCCATACCCCAAATCGAGCAGGCCGCGCTTGTCCAGCTTCTTCTCCAGAGGCACCTTCTCCTCAGTTTTGCTGGCGCAGGCCGAGGCCACCAGCAGAGCGGCTAAGCAGATCTGTAAAGGAATGGGTTGGATGGGGTTGGTTAGGAGAGTATATATTATAAGCTATGAAATCTCGATATGACCCTCTGCAATATCCAACTATGTTGAACCAATTCTGTCTCACAATATGCAACATTGTATTACCTAACGGAAAGGCAGACTTTTATGACCCATAGCCTAGTTTGATCGATTACCTAATCGCATTAGAAAGCGAAGGCGATATGTCGCCCGATTCGCATTGTGTCGTCCGTTGTCTCATCAACCTCTTTTGCGATTCAAATGGTCAAGTGAAATTCGTGCGTGCCTCGCATAACTGATGCACTGCAGAGTTCCGCCCCAAAAGTAGACTTCGCCCACTGCCACTCCCAGTTACCGCCTATGGTCTACCCTCCTTCCCCCTTTGCTGACTGGCGTCACGTTACGCATACGCAGTCCGCAACTCGGCGAATGCATTTGGAGTTGGCTTTAATTGAGCACATGAACCCAGTTGATTACGGCCTGGTATTAGACGTGGCCGGCACTCCAATTATGATCGTTCAGTTAATAGACGCCTATTAGCCATTTCGTTCAAGTTGAAGTTGCTCGTTTGCTACCATTTCACCTTTGTGTCGTGCAATTTAACGGATTGTGTGGTATTTAAGGAAGTTATTGAATAGGAAGATGGTAAATAATACCTTGTATTAGCATTGCAAAAAAAAATATAATACTGCATGATAAATTAGTTGAAGTCTGCATTGTTCTATAAGCAATAAGTTGCAATTCTTTGACTGGTTTCTAGATTTCCCACAATTAAATATGCTAGTAACCCTATTAGTTCACACATTCGCCAACATTTACATATCAAATATGATTTCTTGGAATTAAATTCTTTATTTCTATTGTACTTACGAATACTTTCATTGTGGATTCTGTTGGGACTTGCCAAGGCTGTAAGTAAACAAAGAAAACATGCGAATTAATTATAAGTAAGCCAATTGAAAACCATAATAAAATCATTTTAATAACAATGCATTCTTAGAGAGTATTAAAACATTCTTTGAAACGATAAACTAATAAAAAGCACAAGTCCGGGCACAGTTTTAGGTTTTGAACTTTTCAAATCACAGCTTAAAATTTATCTTATTTTCACATAGAGTTATACACGCATTTTAGAAACAAACAAATTTTAACTTGGCATTTGACAACACTTACAAGCAACTCAGTAACAGCGAAATAGACTGTGGAAGGATTGTAGAATCACTAGCGATTCCAAACCTTTGACTGGATGCTGTCTGTGGTCAGTGGCGCGCTTTTATACCCCCAAAGAGTTTTTGTGTCAAAACGAAACTGAAAACGCCGCCAAACCAAGTCGCTGAGCGGTTTCCAAAAGCTTTTCCCCCAGTAAAAGCCAAGCAAAATGCTCTCTTCAAAGCTTCGAACTCGGCTTGGTTTTCGCATGTGTTAGTTTGTTTTGTGAATGTGTGAGTGCTGCTCGGAAAGTTGCAAGCGGAAGCGCTCACTAATACTTGTATAGGCCACCAATACTTCTCCCTTCACTGGTCTTCTTTCAATGTATTGGTGATTTTAGTCGCCAACTTAAAAGTGGCTTATAAAATATGGGTGCAAATTTGATCAAATCAATTTGGGATCATAAAATAGCAAATTAAATAAATTAACACAAGTCTTGAATTGAAATTTATCTTGGGAAAATCCCGGAGAACGTTCTAAGTTTTTTTTGAAATTTTTTTTGTTTTTTTATTTTGGTTAAACAGTCTTCGGGTGCTTACCATATTGTTCTCGAAACTGTATATATCTGCAAAAGGTCATATGTCGATCAAAAATGTATGTTATGGCACGTTTCAGAAGTCAAATGTTTTGCTACGAGAACCTGATTTTCAAATATCCTATCAGCCTTTGTTTTGATTCTTTTAAACAATAAAAAGTAGCTTATTAGTATCATATTTATAAATCAGGAACGCAGTTTAAATGAGATAAATATAAATCTGGCTAAGTGCAAATAAGGTTATCTGGCTTAAATCAGCATTTTGTACACAAATTAAGTCAATGGGAAATTTATTTTTAAACATTTAAAATATTACAAGTCAATTATTTTTGTTTGAGCAATATAAATAATTTAACGACTGCGCCTATGCATTTTCAAATAAATAAAAATAACTTGAAAGTACCGTAAGTGGAGAATTCATTTATCATTTAATGAAATTATCATTTAATCAAGTTTTCTTGCTTAAATATATATTAAGATAAGATACTTTGATACTAGAAAGTTTGACGAAACCTCAAGAACTTATAGGATTTGTATAAATAGTGAAGAAAACAAAGCCCTGTGGTATTTCCTTCGTCAGTCTTAAGTAAAAGAAAAACAATAATCTTTTTTGTGGCAAGGAATGTTTGATGTCATAATTAGGCTTTCTTGTTTTCTTGTCACCTTTCGATGACTCGGGTTACCATTTTGCACTTCCTGCAAAGGCGAGGTGACAACGGAAGCCAGGTAGATGGAATTTCTCGGCATCTTTGATGGCAACATTGTAACTTCGCAGGGCGGAAAAGCTATCTTCGAGTGAGGGTGGTGAAAACTGATGCAACTTTGCTGCATAACAGTGGGGCTTTGGGGATCATGTTTCTTATACGAAATCGAAATCGATTATCGGAATGCTGGGTGGTTGGGAGATTGTGACGTTGTGGAACCCCAACTGGGATTGCAAATGGATCTGTGACTGGAACAGTGACTGGATCGGGTGGCATGCGTGAGAGATCTGCCGCAAAAGTGAAAGGCCTTTATGGGTCGTCGAAGTAGTTGCAGTTGCATTTGCACAAAATCAGATTACATATCAGCCAGGCTGAGTCCGTGATTTGGCAATTGCCAGCATAATTATTTGTTAATGCGCAAAATGAAACCAGTTGGATGTTGGACCCGGGCTCCAGCCATCTGACAGCCTAAATGATATGCGTGTACCCGTGATTGACTAATCCTAGTCCATTGTCTGTAGCTCGGGCAGGCTGTATAGATATTTGCATTTTCTATTGTCTATTTCAGATTCTACAAAGGCAATCAAACTAAAACAAACATTTAGCGATTGATATATACAGCCACTTTCCAAACTCGAAAATGGTTTTTGTCAACACCTTAGCTTTTCAAAAAGCTGAACTAATAAAAAAAGCTTGTTTATTTTTTGCCAGGGGAACGGCATCTGCGAAGCGTTAGTTTAATTGTTTTATTCCTTATTGACTCGTCGGACAACTATCAAATTTCTACGACAGTTTCTTTGCCGTTATTTAATGCAATATTGCTAGTCTAAAAAACTGTTTAGATTTTTTTGTCAAACAAAGTGACTTTAAATTTTATGACACTCATTTAATTTGCATTTGATAGTTAGAAGCTTTAGTATATGCGACTGCAGATCAAAAGCTAAAACATTTCGTCACTTTTTTATAAAGGAAAATCACTTAGGTGATCTTAGAATTTTTGGTTATTCGCAATGGTTAACGCAATATTTTTGTATTCATAATTTGGAAATTATTATAAACATTCAAATAAGATAAGGCTGATTTGTCGTTTTAAGAATCGCCCTTGACCGCTAAGAATAAAGTTCTTTGTCATCTTCTCCATTACATTTCCCAGTTCAAAACCACAGTTTTCCTGGGCATTAAGTCTGTGGGCTGAACAACTTTTACTTTCCGTAGAAAATCGTTTTCTATGTTTGGCCACATGGAACAGAGCCAAGTCAGCCGGCAGCCTCTGCAGCTGTTTGCCCGCAACAACGAGCGTTACAATTCTGTCCGACGTATTCACCAGATACTTCGATATAGGGGGCGGCATAGTCAAATAGTTAGAGGTAGAAAGGGGTGCTGCAGGTTGTGGTTGCAGCATCACAGGCCCATTCCACGGACTTGCCACCCGAATCGCAAGCTGATGCTGCAGTTGCATTTTGGCTTCGGCTTCTCCGTTTGCATTTTTAGACGTTGTGCGGATTCACATGTTCGAAGTCACCATAAATTGTGGTCAACCGATGCGACGTAATTCATTGATTATAACGACAACAATAACTGCAGTTAGCCCATGGCTGGAGCCCCCTGCCAAGCCCTTTGCATTTGCCGCCTATTGATTTATGGCCAATTGTTCGGAGTGTGTTAATGTTCGGTTGTTGTGACTCTTGTGCACGCTATTTTGTGGTCTGTTTTCTAGAGTTTCAACCAAACAACTTGAGCTCGGAGTATGCCAAAGAGGCCCCCCAAATTAGCCAAATAATAATTAGGCTTATTAGGGCCAAAAGTCTGCTGGCAATCCACACTCACTCCCGCCGTCTGGCATGCGATTATTCACACAATTGTAAGCGTGTTGAGCTGCAAGTCGGCAGCTTTGCATGCCATTTGGAAAACGGTCTGGGAATTTTCAATCTGCAATAAGGTGACTAATAGAGGAAACTTACGAGTAACGGAACTCGGAATTATGCAAAGTTTTCATTTATTTTGTGTACTTTTTTTTTATAATTTTTCGGTTAAATAAATCCAAATAAATGTTATAGTTCATTCAGTTCCCAAAACATACAGTTCGGCCTCAACATGTATGCTATCCTCGTCACTTTACCGCGCTTCCATCATCATAAAAGTTACGAGCTGCCAACGCAGGTTTGTTTTTTTATTTTGACTACCCTGCCAAACTGCAAACATTTTTACAACTTTATGCCAAACAAGACAAACCAAAAAAAAAGTAACGTAAAATGATAAAAATAAAAATAATCATTACGGCGAACATAACAACTTTTATGGCGATTCGAAAAGGAATTAGATCAAGTTCGCTGCCACGAGTCTGGGTTGCCTCGAGTGGATTGTCTGGCGATTGGGTTCACTTTGATTATTGATTTATGCGCACGGATCTAGCGACAATCGAGTATCGAGACAGAAACAAACAAAAGTGATATCGAATTAAATGCTAATTAGGCACCAAAATGCGGATCTAGAACAATAAATAATGATACAATTAAGAGTGGAATTACATAAAATGGGCAATGTGCTGCCGCGAACGGATCGGAATTGGAGTTGAAATCGGAATCGGAATCCGCGAAACTGAAAGTGCATTGTGCAACGTACTGAATCGCCATCCACGTCGACATCAACTCGAACTCTATTTATGGCCAAGACAAAAACCGGACCGACTTCTTGCCGACTTGGAGCGACTGCATCCGCAATGTTTCTAAACGAGATGAGGGGGAAAAAACAAAGTCAACTCGAAGAAAAAAAAAGTTAAATAAAACTAAAACTAAGCCATCTGAGTTGCGATCTTTTGAAGGAAGCTGTTAGCCATTCGTTGTCGTGGTCGACTTTAGTTTGTTTAGCACACACACGCCCATGGCGCTTAAATGATTTGCAGGCCAGGCCAGGCTAGGCAAAAGTTGGCGTGGCCAACAGGGCGTATGCCTAATGCCCCGGCCATTGGCTTCACAACGGCTTCGAATCGAACGGGCCACGTTTTCTGTGCAAAGTTTTGGCATTTTGACATATCAAGTGAAAAGCCTAAACGATTTCCGACAAGTAACCAGTTTTTTTTAGCTTTGCTTTACTTTTTTGTTTACAATAAAGTGCACGTTACAAATGCGCATAAATTTTGGTAATATTTAAATAAATCTAAAAGTTTTGAATTAGTTCGGAAGGCGGGAGTAGGATAAATTGATTGCCTAATAGATTTAATTTGTCATCAGTTTGAAGTTAGGATAACCGGAGTTGATATTTATGTTCTAGTTTTTTAATATAAAAGTTCTTGTTAATTGCTTTTACCTTAAATATTATGAAAACACGAAAATATTTAAAAAAAAGTATATTAAAAAGCCCTTGTAATTTGAAGATTTCTGCCACAAATTCACTTATAAAAACCTTAATAATTATTTTCGCTTTTAACTCAATGTGGGAAAAATCAAAACATTAAAACCTCATGACCCAAACATCTTATCGCTAAATTAGAGCTTGGCGGTCATGAACTCGGTATGTTATAATTAATTGATATTACTCTCGGATTCCCCCACTGTTCCATTACAAAACCTGACCCGTTTCCACCTGATGAACATGCGCATGAAAGTCAAGGTCGGCCGTAAAACAAAAAGAAACCCAAAAAAAGAAAACGTGTAAATGTGTAAGTCTCGAGTAATTTTCGCTTTGTCAAGCGAAACAATAAGAAGTGATATTTGCCCTAAGAGTAACAACATTAGCAGCAAATTACAGGCTCCGCAATAGTTTGTGGCAGTCTGAAATGGTTTTTCGCGAAACGATTGAATGCATTCATGGGTCCGCCAGTCAATCAGTCAGTCAGTCATGGACATTGAACCACTTTAGGGGCATGGCTAGCAGGCTACACTGGTTAGAAAACGGCAGCCAGCTAAACCAAAAGTGATCTGAGACAGCACTAACCCGGTGTGACCTCAACTAGTGACATTCACATCAGTTGGAAGAATCGAGTTTGAATTAAATTATAAGCTAAAACGAGAAATCTATAAACACACCATTTACAGAAAACTAGAGTACTAGACTTAGCTTGCATGTGTGTGTGCGGGCACTCAAAAGCCTGTAAGACTGAACACTTTTCCCCTTTGCTTTCCTTGAGTTTCCCATTTGGCCGAGTCACAAATCTTCAAGCCAAAAGCATTGCATTGTGCAAGAAGTTTGCGGCTGAAGTCTTTTGATTGCCCGCAAAGCCAGCAGACAGAAGCAGAAATGTCAATTGGCATGAGACTTTGGGTGGAAAATAGCCATCGATAGCTCAGCTGGCCCATTCAGCAATTGACCAAAATGAATGGCTCAGCAACGAGAGGAGAACCTGAAAACTGAAAATCGAAAAACCGATCATTAGTAGCGATCGCATAAACGACATCGTTCATACGCCCCGCGGCCGTTCAATAATCGTACTCGCTTTGTGGTCTCCGAAAAATTAAAGATTTTTCGCATATTTTTCATGGAACACATGTTCCATGTCCCCTCCTCAGACGTTGAAAAGAATTTTCGCAACATTTAATTTTAGCACAAAACGGCTGCTGCCTTTTGGCTGCTACACAAAAATTGGACTAATTGCCGACAATGTTGGCTCTGATTGACTGGACCAAAAGACTGCTAGACTGGCCGAGTGTTTGATTGAATGATTGAACGAATGAATGGCAACCGTTGAGACAGCAAACAGCAAGTAGCAAGTAGCAAGCAGCAAAGCAAGCAGCAAGCAGCAAGCAGAAAACAGAAAACAGCAACACCACACCAAGACGACGAGGCAGCTGCCTAATCCCTGTTATTGGGTCATGTCGCGTCTCTGGGAAAATGTGGCGACGATGTGGCAATGTGGCAACCGCTGCCAAGTGCCAAAAACATAACACACCACCGAGCCACTGAACCACTGAGCCACCAAGCCGACGATGTAGTTGCAGTTGCTCTTGCCAATGTGGCTGAGGCTGATGCACTTAATGGTGCCCGAGCACCGTTGTTCCTATGTCTGGGAGTTTTTGGAGCCGTGATCGAACATTGTGAAAAGTGAGCATTAAAAATGCCATTTTTTCCTAGCCCCACTTGCAACATTCTCACTGGGAGCAATATGCTTGGATGGGAAGTGAACAACCAGAGGTCTCTAGTTTAACACCATCTCTATGGATCTAAGTTTTGGTTGTGGGGAAACCCCCTAGCAGAAGGTCGAAAATAAAACAAATTATCAGCTCTTCCCTCTCATTTAGAAAGAAAACAGACAAAAGAAACCCATTAGTTGAACTTGTTCTTGGCCCTCAACTTATTAATAGTTTTGTATGCTAAAAAAATCCCCAAAAGCTCTGCCAAGATATTGCATAATTATTATAAATCAATAAACAGTGACTCCGCATAAAAATATAGTTTCTTCGAAAATATTGTTCCTATAAAATTAAAGATTTCAATATTTAAAAGCGAAATCCAGCTGCTTAGACTAAAATAACAAAACCAATTCGAAATTATTTTCTGAATAATTGCTACTTGATTGCGCAGCCGTCGCCATAAAAATACAATAAAAATGCCATAAATGTGATTAAATGAGCATAAAGCAAATGGCAATTACAAGACCACAAAACTTGACTTTTGCATGATTTCGAAACTGCAAGAGAACGACTTTGGCTGGCGACTTGCTTTAGTTTAAGGCTTCAACTGGAGCTCGACCTTGAGCCAGAATGCAAACGAATGAGCGGTTAGCTCTCTCGACTGCAGCTCCAACTGAATCCAACTGACAACAACCGCCAACACCGAAAACACCGGACTGACTCACACAGCTCACAACTCTTACCCGAGACAATTGACAATGTTTATGTTGGCCAAGAAGCGTGTCCGCGGTTGTTCTTAGAAAAAAATGTCATTAAAGCCATGTTTCCATCCATTTCCAGATACTTTTTCTCCACGGTTCTGCAGTTCCAGATCTATCGAGCTATGTGCCGCGAATCGGGTCAGTATATCCCAGGCGATCCCAGGAAGCCATTACACCTATGCGATATCTACCGACAGCCAGCAGCAGGCAATATTCTCAAGTAAGTTGTAATTTTAGGTCTTAAAGTACATATAGTACATATTTGAGATTCATTAACAATCGCTTTCCTTTTCAGAACTCTGATGTCCAAAGGTGCCTCCCAGCCTTGGCAAGAGGTTCTTGAGGAAACCCTTCGAGAGGGTCGTTTGGATGGAACCGCTCTCAGGGAATACTTTGCTCCCCTGGAGGAATGGCTACGTCAAGAGAACCTCCGAACGAATGAGTATGTAGGATGGAACTATGATGGTGACTACTGCAAGCGAAGCATCGAAACTGCCGGCTTACAGGTCTTTGGAGGTTACTACAATGGTGTCATGGGCCAAAAGTCATCGTTTTACCTGTACCCTCTCATCTTACTGATTTACTCTTACATCAGCTTACATTTCTTTTAACTTTCTATCATTTATCGGGCCCATTTTGGGAATATGTAAACAAACAGTCAGACAAAATGTTGTTCCACTTGCAACTTCCGCTTATTCAAGTCGCACCTATAACCGAGTTGAACTTGAATCAATGCCAAAAAATACACACACACAATTCTAAAATTAAATAAACGAAAAAAACGCAAATCTGACAAATTGCCCGACTGGCTGCACCCTAAAAATTGCATCAAAACGGAAAATAAACATGGTAGACTGGTCGAATGGGGGATACCTAGTGATTGGTAGTGATGTTCAGTATGTAAAAATATATATAAGCTGGAAGATTATGTGATTACATGACTTGACATTCACTTTCCTTATTAATTTGCTTAGAAAGACAGATATCTTGACTTGCAACTTTAATCACTTACTCTTAACTTCAACTTTATTGAATCCCTGAAAATGGCCAAGATCCTGGCATGCACTATTGTTCTTTTGATACCCCTCTTGTAAAAACCAGTATCCAAATGGGCGAAGAATTAGGAGGGGGTTTTGAGGCAGCTTCGAGTGTTATGGCGAGTGCAACCCATGCGGGTCATTGGAACTCCGGCGTCGCACGCACATTGCTCACTCATTTTGTTGTTGGCTTGGTTGTTGCTTACAATTTAATCAAATAAAATAAAATGAAATAAAATAAATAAACCTGCTGCAATTTCATAGTTGTGCTTTTGTTTTTATGTTGCAGCTGGTGCCCCGTCTGCGGTTTGCTGGCGGAGTAGCCAACTGGTTTTTTGTTGTGTATAAATTTGATTTAATAAATTGCAGAAGCAACAACAGCAACAGCAGCAACTTCAGTGTAAACAAGACAATCAACACTTGTGTGGGTTGGTAAGTTGGGGTCGGGTACTTGGGGGGATATTCATAGGGCGGTGCACGGTCATCTCGATGGCATTGTTCTAAAGTTTATCTAAGATATAAGACACTTTAGCTAAGTAAGTTGAGTGGAGGCGGGTACTTTCCGCATACTTGTAATCAACTTTAATGGAGATGATTCGAAACGAGCAAAGCACTTTAAGTTTCTTGACACCAGATTAGTAAGCATGATCTTTATTAAAATTAGAATTAGTTAAGTGTAGGTAAATAATCTTTAAAGAGATTTGCTGATGGTACAAGTTATGACACTGGATTATTAAGCGATTAATGCCGACTGTAATCGCAGATGAAATAACTTTATTCATTAATTGAATAAAATATTTTAACACTGTAAATAAAAAAAATTCAAATTAAAACAGTTTATACTACAATTGAATGAGATTTTTTCTGAGATACTTTTCCTTTAATCCGATTTGATTGCCTTAAAATAATTCTACAAAATTCTCCCACACCTCTGAGATGCCATTAAATGTCCAATTCCAGATCAACTCCATTTGAGCAGAAGAAAAGCGCAAGTCAAAAGAAATCAAAACAAAACTGACTACGAAAACAACAGCCATAGTCGGGCTTTTGCCCCGCAATGACAGCCGCATGTTAAGGACATGATCAACATTTCAATTAGATGCAATCATCGCCCTCGTCATGATCGCTGGTGGAGGTGGGATTGGTGGGGATTGGGAATGGGTAATGTAACCGCTTTGGGGAGTTGAGTTTCATTCACATTCAGTGGAGACTTTGGCGGGGTGCTTTACATTTCACTTTCGCTTTGTAGAATTTGTAGAATCGGGTGTGCAGTGCGTACTTCCGCTCTCCGATCGCCGTTCTCAAGTCCCTCGATACCCCGGACGGCCTTTATTGGCTCGACGACAATTTGCAATGACTACTGTATTCCGTTGCTGTTTTCGTAGTTCACTTTATTCCGAGAAGGAACATTCGGGGTGAGTAGCAGAATCACCGCCAACGGGGAAACAGTTTTCACGAGACTCGCGATCCAATCGTACACGCAGCGCATATCAAGCGTTCGGGATAGATAGTTTATCCTCGCTGGAAGTAGAAAGTTTATAAGATAGTGAAGTGCTTTTACAAAATAGTTCAAGGATTTAAAAGTAACAAGTTATTAGATACGACTAAACCATTTTAAAACTAAATTAAATCTATGTAATAAATAAATAATAATTGAATTTTAAATAGTATCTTCAGGAATTTAATTTATTTTATCCTCAATTTACATCAAAAAAGATAAAAAAAAAAATATATAAATAGTGAAGTAATAAAGTAAACCGTTTATTAATATTAATGTTATAAATTGTCGGAAATAAAATGAAAATGCCTCGAGATAAACAAATGGGAGAACTACTCCTCTTCCTTCTTATTGTTATACCACTGGGAACTGGACAAAACAGCAGTCTTAAGATCAACACAAACTTAAAAGACATCGAAGATGGAGCCGTGGCACTGCCCTCCATTCAAAGTCCCGGGAACATCTGCATCCGCGAGGAACCCTATGTGGAGCACGTCCAGGTGCCGGAGATGCAGCCAGTGCGTGTTCGTACCTCCAGTTGGTGCATGGAGATCCCGCCGCGGTGCGCCACCTACAAGACGGAAATGCGAGAAGTGGTGAGGGTCCAGGTAAGTTTGAACTGTATCTGCCTCCGGAGCATGGACAAATATCCAAATGGTCACAGGTGTTCTACTGCCGGCTCTGCCTTTGCGGGCAATATCTTGCGTCATCGTAATCCCAGCCAGTGGCAACACCTTCGCCGTGGCCACTTTTTCCACCATCTTGGGGAGCCTGCGACGCAAACCTGATTTCGATTTGCCCAACCAGGAAGCCGCTCACCACGATATCCATAAATTGCACCGATTCGATGGCCGACTTTGATTGCATTTCTCATAGATATCGTTCGCTATATGGGTTCTGTTCGCGACCACATGCATTGCGCAATTCTGGCCAATCTGAGCGGGATTTCCTGTCCTTCTGCTATGGAGAACGGAAGCCCAGTCGAGTGGCATTTGTAGCAGCTGTGCTTGGCTCCAGGAGCTGCAGATGCACTTCACTTGTTTGAGATGCAAACGACCGGTTTTGACCCAAACCATCTGAAGTGCCATGTGTGTCCTTGGCTGCCAAACTTCTTGAACTACTGGGTACATTGCTTATGAATTGGGTACTTTGGGTATTCAGTTTTTTTCGAAATTTGTTGGTATAAGTAGTTATTAAATTAAATTTTTAAAAATAAATCATCATTTTATCAAAAAGTTACAATTCCACTTTTACAACAAGCTGAAATCAAAGAGAAATAATAAGTAATAGGTATTGACCATGTTGACCAATTAGTCATATTTACTTGACAGATCCTACATAATTTATTTAAAAATACAAGAACGAGTTAACTTACATCACAGATTTGTAAACACTATAATGATAAATGATGATAACTGATTCCCCATTAGTGTCTATAAATAATTATTAATTTTCGGCAATTGTTTGAACCAGACAAACAGACTATTAAGTCCACAATACCCAAACGTTTGGCCATTTTCAACTGCGCAGTGGGAAAAAGTGAGGAAAACAACGGCAACGGCCAAGTGTTGACCAAGCACGGCCAGAATCCGGTTGCAGTTGCCTGCTCCGAGGGGCCTAATCAGGCTCGGCTGGTTTCTATTTTTTTCTATACATTTATTTATTTTGCCACTATTTCGGCGGACTAAGGGGGTTTGGCAAAATAATTATGTCATGGTGTCAGTGATGGAAAGTGCAAATGAAAAGCGGAAAATCCAGCACTTATGGCCAGGCTGGATCAACAGCCGGACCGATCAGCGGTTGGGCATTAACAGCTCCACTTGTGCTCGGCGACTTGATGCCAAAGCTGTTGACACACTTTCGATTGCATCACTAAGCCAAGTTGCAAGCGTCGCCATCGCCATCGCCAGCGCCATGACAAGAGGCAGCCAAAACTGGCTTAGTTTATTTTTTCTGTTTATTTCGGTTTCGTGTCTAATGATTTGTGCGAGTCGAGATCGCTCGCTGCTTGGCTTGAATTAATTTCATAATTATTTTAATTGGAGCTCTTGAGGAGGCATTTGCCTCCTTGTAAGAAGGTGTTCGCAGAGAATCGCCTTAATGGCCAGTAGCACCTCCCAAAAAAAACAGAAAAACATATTTCTCCGGTTGCAGTAACAATTTTCTAACCCTGTCGCTTGCATTCCTGGCGATTTTGGTCAACGCCTGCTTGGCCAAACACTTCGGTTTTGGTCAGAAAATGTAACCACTAATTCGCCAATTTAATTTAATTAATTAACAACAAAATAAACGCACAAAGAAGTTCGAGTCTAAGTGGAAAAATAATCTGATCTCTTGTCTGGCTGTAACTTGAGGCACAAATGTGCCGAAAGATTTTCGATAGCTTTCCAAAGAAAAAATTGTCATTACAGCTGATTGATGGGCGACCACTAAAAGCCACCGGAAAAGGGGGTGAAGTATTAGGTGGAGCAGGCCATGCGGTTATTCGAGTGGCACATGTAAAAAAAATTGCTCAACTTGTATTCAATTACTATTTATGACAAACATCTGAAAAGACAACCGTAATTATGCAGACACAATGAATCAGAAGACCAAACTCGAATCGAATTTCACTGTTTATATTAAAATTTCCGCCTTATTCATTTTGTGGGGGGACACATATGCAGGCAGATACAGATACACATTCATCAACGAGTCCATCAACTTGGCGGCGGACAATGCGTGAGTCGGGAAATGTGGACTGGGAATAAATCTGGAATCGGAATGAGTGTGAGAAGCTTGCCCGGAATTCAGTTATCCAATTAAATTGGCAACTCAAGGGGTTTTCGAGGGCGATGCGTGTACTTCTCGTGGTGGTGGTATTGTGCCCCCAGCTCGACGACTTACAATAATCTCCATCTTAATTTTGTAACTGTCGAGAGCTGGGCCAAAGTCCATGGGACACACATGGGGGCAAATGACACTGAGGCGTTGACAGGGTTGATGGAGAGGAGAACTCTGCACAAGCTTATCCAATTAATGAACTCTTGCAATGATGCCCACTTCAGAGACATGGATCAAAGAGATTGTGTGGCAGCTCAAATGTTCCTTAGTAAACGGATAAAAGCTATGATAATAGTGCATACTTTTCGGCGTCGCTTGATTTGTGATCATTAAAAAGCTCATTGTTACAGCACTCTTTAGCTTGAAAATAAATTTGTTTTTAACTGAATTTTCTTTCAGAAATTAAACAAGACACGAACAGTTCGCTTTTGTTGCCAAGGCTACGAAGGAAATCTCTCCGATAGCCAAGCTACATGTAAGCCAATTTGCCGAGGAGGTTGTGGGCGTGGCAGTTGTGTAATGCCCGATATATGCAGCTGCGAGGAGGGATATATTGGCAAGCATTGTACACAGCGTGAGTACATGTCAGAATCTTGATAGTTTCTTGATTTAATTATATTTATTAATATTATTAAAGGCTGTGATCACGATCGCTGGGGTCTGGATTGCAAGAATCTCTGTCAATGCCAAAACGGAGCAGCGTGCGACAACAAATCTGGACTTTGCCATTGTATAGCAGGTTGGACAGGGCAATTGTAAGTCTTCCTTTTCCAATTACAACTTAACAAGGAAATCAGAAAGAATTTACACAATTAGCATGATACTTCATCCCATTTTAGTTGCGAACAGCCCTGTCCTCAAGGAACCCACGGTATTATGTGCCGCAAGGCCTGCGATTGCGATGACAAGCCTTGCAATCCACAAACTGGTGCCTGCATCCTACAAGATCATCCGCTGGAGCTGAATGTAAGCCATGTCATAGTGGAGACTGTCAACTCTACTCTGGAGAAGATGGGTATTATACCACGTCCAACCACCCCTGTTCCTCTGCCGGAGGTCATAGTAATCAAGCAGCCGCTTAACCATGAGAATGCCCAGCATTCGCCAAAGATCATAGTTCATCAGTCGGGAAGTGAGCTCCTCGAGAATCTCCATTCAGCTGCAGCTGCTGGTGCTCCAACTCCGGAGGTTATCCATGTCATTACGAATGGTATCACCTCGCCACAGGAGCATTTGGCCGGATTCGTTGCATCTGACTCCAAGACAAGTCAGGCGGCGGGAGATCATCAGTCCGGCTTGGTGACCACTCTAGTCAGCATTATGCTGCTCCTGCTGGTCGCCATTGCATTGGGCTCACTGTACGTGTATCGGAGGTATCACCACAAAAACTCAGCCGTATACAATGCCAACGGAACAGTGACCACGTTGCCGGCCAATCCGGAGGTGGTTCTCACCGAGGCCGCGGCACTGGGCAAAAACTTTCACGAACCACTTCCCGAACTTCCTGTGGTTTTTGCGGCACAATCGAACGATGGTATGTAAGTGTCTCTGCCGACCTTAAAATAGCTACCTACTCAATTAGTAAAAAATATTAGAAATTTTTCAATATTTAAATATGAACTCAATGAATGTCATTATGTCTAATATTTTCCTGTATCAAAGAAGAAATCTTTTTAATATATTTTATAGCTTTTTGCTTCATTCATTTGTTATTATCAATCTCAATGAACTATTCCGATTTTCCCACAGCACAACCAGAATTATATGACACGCCCAGCAATAACTCTTCGATTAAAACACCACCCTATGCATATGCTAGGAAGGAGTCTCTGTACTCCGTGGTCTCGCCAAAATCTCGCAAGGGCAGTCTGGATTCGCATCTGTACGACGAGATAAGATACCACCAGCAGCACCACCATCACCAGCACCACCCACGGAACCATCAGCACGCCCAGCACTCCACCACGGCATCAGCCTTTCTGCCAGCCAGGCCGCAAGTAATGCCAGTGAACGACCAGTTTTCTAATGGGAGTCAACATCCCCATCAGCGATCGCACCATGTCACCCACTTAATAATTCCGCCTCAGAACTCCAACTTTTTGCAGGTTCCTGCCCAAATCACAGCCAAAAGAATTGCTCATTTGTGAAGAGGAGTAAGCATAATAAGACCAGGATCTTGTTTCTTTAATATAATAAATTTTAATGGATTATCCAAAGAAGGGTTTTTCCTGTAGATCTGTAGATATACAATTGATTGTACAAATCTTTATAAAATCAAATTCAGAATTTCTTGTCTGAACAAACATTTATTAACTAATCTTATTCATAAATATTTTCTAATAATAATTCATTCACTATGCTTAAAATATATTTCACGATTAAAATAGTTTATGTACATATTTATTGTTTATATCACTTCTTTGGCTAAAAATGTTAACTTAGCTAATCTAATAAAATGAACCGAATATTTGATTATAATGATCATTTTTTTCACATCACTTTTTTAAATTTGTATTTAAATATTGTATGTGGAGCGATGATTATATTTGTAACGTAAATAAAGGGCGAAGGCCGTAATAGCGAAACCAAATCCGAACAATCCAAATAAAGCGCTTACAGACAGCTTCAACTTTTTTCTTCCGTATTTGGAAGGTGATTTTATAATATTTTCGGTTATCGTATCTTTGTCTGAAACTAAGTTTTTGTTGTATGGATCCTTTACAGTTTTTATATTGTTTTCATAATTATTTTGTGTAGGAACATCCGTTTTCAATGAAAATCCACTGGTAAGCTCTTTTGCTAGGTTGAGCTCTGAGATTTTTGAACTTGCAGTGAACTGCATATCAATTATTAAAATAATAATAAAAAGTATCTTTACACATTGTACTATTTTTAAAGAATCCATATTTCCTTTATATTTATTAATATTGCTTTAATAAAATCGTGTTGATACACTGTGTGCAGAATGAGAACTGGTTACTTGAAAATGCAGCTGATTTCGGGTCGACACCACCACAATTATTTAAATACAACACATATGGGACTTATCACCGATAAGAAAATATATTCCCGGTCAAATTATAGAACTAACATTACATTAAATTAAGTATATTATAAAAAAAGTATGAATACAATGCATTAACCTGTAGCCAATAAAATAAATCGGCTTTTTAATCTCTAAAGTATAAAAAACAAATACGAACATTTATCTTAAAATAAAAGTTAAAACTTTGAATGGCGCAAAATTACTGTAGCTTAAAATTAGCTTTTCTCTGGAGTGTTTTCGTTTTCCGAGACTGAGAGGCGTTGCTGATAAGGTGCCTTAACTACAGCCAAGTCCCATGGCAGCTTATTCATTCGCTCCTCGACAGCGAAGCTCAGAACAATAAGACGGCATGCACTTTAGTGGCCCATTGGCCGTCTTTAGCGCTCTGCTCACGCTGGCGACATTTCCTGCTCTGACTAGTGCTGAATCCACGGAGCTTTACGGGGATATAGAGAATACGGAATACGGTGATTTTGAGTCACTAAGTCAGACACGGGAGCGTCAGCAACATCTTTGCGATCGCGAGGTGCCGTGAGTACAGTATAGTCCTCGCTTAAGCAAGCTCAAGACTGAGAATATATAGATATATAGAGGATATAAATAATGAAATAATTATGTCAAATTTGTTAATCCAAATAATAAATATTTTGAGGGGAAATCCCATGAGATTAACAAGATTTACTGATTACAGCACTGTGTTTTTCCAAACCGAAAAAGATTCCCCGGTGCGTGGCAATGGTTCCACCATTTACTACCATCGCATTGAGGTATGTTGTGTGGGTTACCGTAGAGATCCGTATTCCCTAGAATGTGTTCCGGATTGCTCGGAAACGTCGCCGGACAACTGTATTAATGGTTTTTGTCGCGGACCAGGAAAGTGCGAGTGTTTCGCCGAGTTTGTCCGTAACGAGCATGGCGCCTGCATCCACACCTGTCCCATAGCTTGTCAACATGGAAGGTGTTACCTGAATGGCACCTGTGCCTGCCACCAGGGCTTCGCTCTAGATCCCGAAACCCGTCAGTTCTGCCGGCCCCAGTGTTCGCAGGCTTGTGGAACCCATGAGGAATGTGTGGCCCCTGGTAAGTGCGACTGTTCCCCGGGCTACCGGCGGACGATTGACCTGGGATGTCAGCCAGTCTGCGCTCCGGACTGTGGACTTGGCAAATGTGTGGCACCCAATCAATGCGAATGCTTCGCTGGATTCATAAAGCGACCAAACCGAAATGTCTGTGAGGCAGAGTGCTACCTGTAAGTTTTTTTCTCCTAAAAATTATTTTATTTATAAAAAATTCTTTTAGGAAGTGTGAGAATGGATTTTGCGAGACGAGGTACAAGTGCCACTGCCGAGAAGGATATCGCTACGACCTGAACACCACTAGCTGTTTGCCCGAGTGCCTGGATAATTGTGGCGAAGGGAATGGAGTGTGTATAGCACCTGGAGTCTGTCGCTGCTTTAAAGGATTCGAACTCCATGGTGCCGACTGTCGGCCCAAGTGCGAGAAGTATGAATCCAAAAAGTTTAGCTTTTCACATTCATAAAACTATTATTTTTTTCCCAGATCATGTGGAAAATACGGAAGGTGTGTGGCTCCCGAAATCTGCGGTTGTGGTCAGGGTCGGCAGCATTGCTTGAATGGAAGTTGCGATGTGCAGCATTGTACTTGTCCTGCGGGAGAAACGCACTTCATTGATCGCTGTCTGAGACCCGAAGACATAAGCCAACAATTATATAGTAGTGAAAAAAGAAAACACTTCAATCGCCAGCTTGCTTATGAGTTCAATGCCCTGATCGGACGTCTATTTAATTTTTGATCTAAAAGGAAAACAAAATAAAAATTCACATGTAGATATCTTAGACGGGCTGGCAAGTCAGGCGTCCCTTGATTCCGCTCTTGATGTACCCCGGCTTGCAGATACAGAAGTTGGGGGCACTGCAGAATCCATTTGGGCATCCCTGGGGGCAATGGGGCTGGCAAATGTTTCGCTGGTGTTCGTCCTTCACGTATCCTGTCTTGCACTCGCATTGGTTGTTGCCCACGCAAACACCATTCAAGCAGGGAAGGTCACACTTTGGCAGACACTCGTACGACTTCCGGTCCCATTCGAATCCGGAAGCGCACTCACAGATGTCCGGGCCAATGCAGCGTCCGTTCTTGCAAGGTCTGTAAAGAGTTTTATACAGTTAGTTGTTGAAGTAAGCCTTCGATAACAGTATAATTTAAGGAACTTAATCACATTTATTTTATGTGATGGGAAACTTACATCGTGCAGATGGGCTCACAGCGTCCTTGGAGTTTAAGGTAGCCTCCGTTGCAGTTGCAGTGTCCAGGTGCCGTGCATTTGCCGTTCTCGCAGCTGTCGCAAACTGGTTCACAGGATCCATCGGCGGCCAGGCGGTATCCTTCGAGGCAGGCACACTTGTTGGGCGCCACGCAGCGTCCAAAGGAGCAGCCAGGATTGCATTCCGGTTCACAATACTTGCGGCTCTTTGGCTCCAGGGTATATCCTTCACGGCACTTGCACTCATTCTTCTCATCGCACACTCCATTGCCACAGCCCAGTGGGCAGGTGGAAATGCACTTGCCCTCAGAGGTGCGAACGTGTCCAGGGATACAAACACATGTATTGGGAGCCGTGCAGATTCCATTGTGGCAGTCATCCACGCAGATTGGCTCACAACGGCGGTAAATATGCGGATTCCGTTCGTAGCCCTCGCAGCAAACTTCAATACGACTCATGTCCGGAGTGGTGCCATTGCCCACAAACTGGTCCCTGGGAGTTCCGCAGGAGTGAAGCAGTACTGAAATCAAGAAAAGTTACATATAAAACTTAGTTTATTTTAAATAATTTAAAAACAAAAGATAATAATTTCCCAAATTTAAGTCAAATATCTCACTTAGAAAAACAAATAAATATTCAAAACAAATTCAATTCACAAACTTTAAGCTTATCTGCTAACTTTCCGCTCGTTGCATATTAAATTCATCTACATTATTAGCTTGGCACACATACTCTTGTGGAATCAAGACGCATTTAATTATCAGGCTAGTGGAGGAAGTTGAGGTCGTTAGTTCACTATTTTAATGGCTCGCCTTGTTTTCGAATGATTTCCGAATTGGGCGATTACTTTTAGTTTAATTATAAAAATATTTTCCAACCGACAGAGGTTTTTTTTACTTACGGAACTTCTTTGAAGCACTTGCCGCTAGCCATGGCAGATCGGGTTTTGTTGATGAACAGAGCCGTCTCATCGAGTACCTGGGCATGATGAACTGGTGGAGTTACCGGCTGTACATAGTGTCCATAGAGCGGTGGCAGAGTAGACGGTTGGTAAGTCTCGGCGGCCACGAATCCACTGGATCCCTGGCTCACATGGTTTTCATTGTTCCAGCCATAGTTGCTTTGGTCTTGGCTATTCCATCCGTAGCTGCTTTGGTTGTAAGAGTTCCAGGCGTAGCCGCTTTGGTTGAACTGACTACTATTTCCGGAGAGTTGGAGGTTTGCCGAAGGCGGCTGGCGCGTCTTTATGCCAGCCGTCTTGAACTGTCCCTGACCCACCGAGCAGATGGCCAGTAGAATACCTAGGTACAGAAGCTGACACGATGACCTCATGGTGATGTCACTAGATTACGGTTTTATTTATGGAGATTTATTGTGCGCCCACGTCCACGTCCGCTGGCGGCTGTAGTTGCACTTCGACTAATCGACTCCCAATGCGAGGCTGCTGATCTCTCAGTCGCCAATCGCCTCCGGCGACCTCTTGTCCCTCCTCTAATCAGCGCCTCGCCATTGGACCTATCAATGAGGCAGCCAGAGCGAAGGTTTGCTCTCAGCAGCTTGATCACTTCTATATTTTGCGGTTGGCAAACAATATTCATTGCTTTTGAGTAATTCCAAGAAAAATGTTGCGTATGACGATGATTTCAGGTACTCATAAAAGTTGTCGACACTCATCCTAAATAACTCATGAATATTTCTAAAAAACAAATAAAATGTTTTCATTTAAAAGAATTATATAGTTTGAAAGAAAATTATATCTACTTAGAAAAAAACCGGCAGAAAACATAAAATGAAAAAGTGTTTTGAAAAATTCAATAAAGTTTGTGCATATTTATTTCAATAATTATCAACATCGTGATGGCACCTTCCATTAATTCGAACGTATCCCGGAGCACACTCACAATGTCCAGGCCTAAAGCATAAGCCATTCGAACAATCTTCATGGCAGATGGGCTCACATTTGAGGATCTGGGAACTTCCTTCATTCACATAACCATCACAGCAGTATGAGAGCTGTCGGTTTCTAGAATTCGGATTGACGGTATCCACACTAAAAGAGAATAGTTCATTAAATATTTGAATGGAAAGAGTTGCATTACTTACATCTGAGTTCTGTAACAGATTCCAGAGTCTCTTGCGGCCAGAGTCTCTTTTTTCCCATTGTACTACAGGACTGTTCGATTTCTTCCAAAACTGGGAGGCAGCGGGAGTGGGTAGCCCAAATCCCAGACACGCGATAACAAGGCCAATCAGTATGAATGTCAAGTGCATTTTGCTCTGTTCTAACCGAGAGTGAGGTCGGATTCAAAAGCGAGCGCAATGCCAGCCGATGTCTCGCAGCTACTGAATAGTCTTCTGTGTCAAGCTAGGCTTTTAAGTGAACGGAGAAAGAAATGTTCTATATTCCAAAGAAGATAATTACTATTTTAGTACCCAGTATTTGTGGGGTACATTGATTTGGCATAAGAAAGGAAAACTAAGCTGAAATACTATGTTTATATATCCCCACGAAATGTAATACATTTTATGAACAGGGCAGCAATTATTCCTAAAATCCTAAAAAGAAACTTGACTCTCCCCCAAAAATGTAGATGAATGCAGAGATATTCGTGGAAACCACTGATAAGTCCTCGAATATTGAAAAAATTATGATTATTTATTGGTTTTTTTTTAGTGGCCCTTAAAATTTGAGAGAATTTCAGTGCGGAGAACTGAAAACGTTATCTCACAGCCACCACATATCGCTGACAGTGCTGAAATTAAAGTGCCTGCCGATCAACAGATTAAACTCCTCGACCAGTGAGGCGTTTACCCTGACGGGATTCATGGAGGCATAAGTGGTTACCGCATCCGGAGACATGCACTTGTCAATGAATCTCGTCATGCCGGCCTGGCAACGGCATCTTCCGATGGAGTTGCACACTCCATTCTCGCAACGCTGATACGTTCGATCTGGACCTGGTACCACGGCGCATCCACAAACATTGGGAGCTATACATTTGCCATAGAAGCCACATCCTCCAATGCAGACCGCGTCGCATCGCTCACGATTCCGAACATAACCCTTGAAGCAACGACAGTTACCCGGCGAGATGCAAATTCCGTTATCGCAGCTGTCCCCGCAATCCGGCAAACAGCTCGTCGTATTCTGGTCGTAGCGATATCCATTCTGACACACGCACGTCGTCATGTTCGCACAGAAACCATTCTCGCAGCGCCTAAAAGACAGTTAAAGTTCTGAGAATGCTACCATCTATAAAATAGCACTCTTTTGGTCTGTAAATATATGGCAAGTTTAATCTGCCAGTATTTATGATTTATGATACTCACCGATAACACTCACTTTCACAGGAGATGCCGTTTAGGCGTTTCTTAAATCCTGGGAAACACTCGCATTGGTTTGGCCGTACACAGTGGCCATATCCACAGTCAGGAATGCAAATTGGCTGGCAGCCGAGTGATGCGGATTCTCTCAGTCCGCGGGCATATCCTTCGGCACATGTGCACTTTCCGGGTTCCGAGCAGACTTCGTTGTGGCCACAGGTGGTGTTGCATTGCGGCTGACAGAACTTGCGGGATCCGTCTAGTTCGTAGCCTGGATCGCAACGGCAAGTGCCGTTCAGGTAACATTGGCCATGTAGACATCCCAACGGACAGGTGGCTACACAGTTGTTCCGGTAGTTGAGCACAAAGTCCGCAAAGCACTGACACTTGCCGCCCGCCAGACAAAAACCATTCTCCTGGCACCGTTCTCCACAGTCCGGGACGCACTGGCTCCAATCGTACTCGTAACGTCGCCATCCCTTGCAGCACACCTCGATAACGTTAAAATTCCGATCGGTTGTGCTATTACCTACAATCTTAACCTCCTTCTCGTATTGGAAAAACACGGCCCTAGGGATAGAATTAAAGACTATTTTACAACTTTTATCCAAAGAGATCCACGCACTTACGGCACTTCGCGGTAGCACTTCTCCGGATGTTCTCCTCTCCGGGGCAGTGATAATCCATTTGGTATTATGTATGGTTTCCGGGTGGTTGTCGAGGACGAAAGTCGGCGTTGGAGAGCTTCCTGTTCCCGCTGCAAGTCCCGCTGGCGCTGCTCCTCGCGCAGACGCAGCTGCTCATCCTTTTGCTGCTGTAGCTGCTGCTCGTGAAGTTGCAGTTCAAAGGCTTGCAGAACACAGAGGAATAGTACCAGGAGCACTGAATGGATGCACAAAGAACGCAGAAGGGGCGACATCTCATTGCTGGTACAGAATTCTTTGTGCCACTCTACCGAGAATCTCAAGTCGCGATTGTTTGCTGCCCCGGCGATGTCGCAGTTGGGCCAACCTCTAATCACAGCCGGAGGCAAAGATAAGAGGGCTTTCAGCTTTTAATTCGGACCGGGAGGCAGAGATCTAGGGCCCGCAAGGCCAATGTATGTCAAGTGAGAACGAGCGATATATTGTTTTATGGGATTATTTTGCTAATTATATGACTCAAATGTTTTTTCTGGATATTTAGGGAAGGCATATAAATACGACCCATTTCATTTTTTTAACAAAAAAAAAAAAAATCATTTTTAAGGGCTACTTTTAATCAGAAAATGATAAAATAACTATAACGGGTTTCTTTGATTTTTATAAGTTGGTTGGGTTATCCAAATATGGCACTTAAATTATTAATTTTTTCATAATTTAATGTTGAATGTGAAAAATATTGTTTTTGGGTACTATTAAGTCGTCATAAATTAAAATTTAACGCATACTTAATTCTCTGAGAAATAATTGAAATCTATTTCCTCTCTTTTTAGCCTATGAATTGAATATAGCTTTTCTGATAAGACAACAAAATAAATTCTGTTCAGTTGAATTTCAGCTGGCAAATTGTGAACAGTTTGAAAAAAACTGCCTCTCAAAATGTGGTTACGAGATTTGGGTCTTCGACTCAGTTTCATTCAGCTGATGCTGTGCCTGCCCACCATTTACACAAATGTGCCCAACTATCCCGAACGATATAACAGAAGGCCCGTATCCCAGGACTTTAATGCCGGAGGCTATGGCCGAGGTTATATAGAAAACCGTCAGTTGACCTATAATCGCCCTGGACCAGCAAATTTCCAAGATCCCAGAAACGTTGAGGAGACACCGAAACGTCGCGAATATTTAATTCGATCCCATGAAACGCCGTCCGATAGAGGTCAGCACAAATGCCGTAGTTGGGTGCCGTGAGTACTGAAGTTACACTTAAAAATATATATTATATATATATGCCATCTAACAACAGGACCGATACGGTTGGGAAGTATTCATATCCCAGTATCATCCAGGCGGATCAAGCCAAACGGCTGTCTCTGATCGAGGTTTGCTGCACTGGATACTCAGCCAGTCGGCTGATGGGCATCACCGTCTGTCGGGCCCAATGTGGCTGCCAGAATGGAAGCTGCAAGATTCCAGGAGAATGCGAGTGCTACGAAGGATTCGTGAGGAACGACAACGGCGACTGTGTGTTCGCCTGTCCGTTGGGCTGTCAAAATGGACAGTGTTTCCTTGACGGCAGCTGCCAGTGTGATCCGGGCTACAAGCTGGACGAGACCCGGCGATTCTGTCGCCCCATCTGTAGCACTGGATGTGGCAACAGTCCGCGGCATAATTGTACCGAACCAGAGGTTTGTGGCTGCTCCAAGGGATACCAGCTGACAGACGATGGATGCCAACCTGTCTGCGAACCGGACTGCGGTATTGGTGGCCTGTGTAAGGACAATAACTTGTGTGATTGCGCTCCTGGCTACAACCTCAGGGATGGCGTCTGTCAGGCCGATTGTTACCAGTATGTTTTTTAATAATTCTTTCGGGTATTTCCCATTATTATCAATATTTATTTGCTACAGAAAGTGTAACAACGGAGTTTGCGTCAGCCGTAATCGATGCATATGCGATCCGGGATTTAGCTATCACGAGCAATCAACCATGTGCGTTCCAGTATAGGCACCCAAAAGTATCGAATTCTAATGTACAGTTTTTTTTACTTATCAATGTATTTTGATCTCTACCTCTTTCTTTGCAATTCTTTAAAATAATAGCATTTCTTTAGAAACAATTTTCTTATCGCAATAGAGATTGAAATACACATTTTTGGTATTCCGCCCATCCGGCTCTGTTCTGAGAAAACATTTTTAAATATAATTTTATTTATTTATCAGACGAAAACATATAAATTCATTATTACTAATGCTTTCTGATTCACATTTCACATTTCACATTTACGTTTGTATTTTTCAAGCTAATAAAATACATTTTGCTTTAGAGATTTTTTTAATTACAATAAAAAGTTCGTTTTTGAGAGCAAATATTTAATTATTTGTTTAAGTTCTGCATGTTTGTGTTCGATTATCAAAACACGCTTCAGTAGTAGGTTCACACTGGTTCTTGACAGAATAGGATCCTCTGCGAAGCACGAGAAAGTATATGGCAGCTCCTAACAAAGCAAGAGAAAGTGCTATGGCAATGAACCAAATGAGGAAAGTTTTCCAACCTCCTGCATGATGATGATTCTGTTTTGCAATAGTCTTCGGCGTTGTGGACGAATCACCACTTTCGGTGAAGTCTGAATAACTTTGATCCGTACTTAAATCAGTAGTAGCATCGGTATTTAAGTCCGTAGTTTGATCCGTACTAGAATCCGTATTTAAATACGTAGTTTCGTCTGTACTTGTATTATTTTCAACATTATCTTCAATAATGTTTGTCTATAAAATATAAGGATGTATAAATATTAATCACTTTTACTTTTCAATTGGTAAAAATTGGCATAAAATTATTATTTTTTAATTAAAATAAGAGATATTTATTTGTTTTATTTTTAAGTTTTTGCCTCAATAGTTGTATTTGTGAATTTGTTACTACACAATGGTAAAATGTTTAAAATTTTTAAACATAGCATACCTTGTTGTAAGATGGACTGTCCATAGGACCATGTCGGTAACCGTAAGTGTGAAAAGAGCACAATGCCAGGCAAACAAAGATCAGTGAAAGTTTGTACATTTTGTTAGCCTTCGTGTTTTCTTACAATTATTAAGTATGGAACTATGAACTGTTCTGCGCTGTGCCAAAAAACGAACTAAGCTTCAAAATATTTCTGTGACTTTATGAAGCTTGTGGTATTTGTAGGGTATTTTTTAGGTGTATGCTGGATTGCTTCTTTTAAAAAAACTTAAATATGCTATCCGATTTTGAAAATATACTTTTAGCAATATTATTTATTTATTTTTGATTTATTATATTAATATGAGTGCTACATTGTTAAAGTCGTAAAATATAAAAAAGGGTTGATTATAAGTTTATATATTGCCCATATGGTCACTATTTCTTAAAATAATTATATGGTATCTTATTGTCGAGCAGCCTTCCACCGCAAAAACCTCGGGATGTGATAAAATGTAGAGTAACTCGACTTATATACTTTTTACTAATAATCCTGCTGACTCAAGGGATTTTTGTGAATATTTTGGGCCAATCTTAAGCTTATGACAAATACCAAATTTGGATCATCCTAAGGCAAAGATAAGAGACCAACAATAATTTTTGTGAATGTATATTGGAATATTGTATTTTATAAAATAATATTTAATATATTTCATAACATTATATATTTTTTAAGAAAAATGAACTTTATTAACTTTGAATGTCAGTTGGTTATAAATTTATTTCAGAGTTTAATGAGGTATGCTATAAGAAAAATCAGGGTAGACCGCAATTTGCGAAAAGGATAACATCGTATCATCTCGCAAAATATGACCAAAAATGTACTTTCTAGGTTTAAATATTTTTCTTGGGAATTAAAATACAAAACTCAACGAGGTATAACTTTTACTAAATCCAACTAATTGTGGGTTTGCTATGTGAAATATACTGATTTTTACGGCGGAAAATCAGGGTCGACCAAATATCGCGTTTTTGGAAAGTGGAAACATCATCTAATATTGTGAAAAATGGCCAAAAATTTAAATGTTTAGCTGGGAATTGAAATACAAGCTCAACGAGGTATAACATTTCGAATTCAAACTATTTTTGGGTTTGCTTTGGAAAATTTGGTCTGAAATCTAGATAAATGAAATTCCATTAAAAGGCGAATGTTTAACCTGCTACGGTCAAAATATTAACATTAATTGGAAAAAGCAACGTCAATTTTTGTTTTATATAAATAAATGGTTGCTTGCTATTATTTTATTATGATTTATTTATGTAAATAAAAATAGGATAGGTTTTAATTGGATTAGATTAGTTTTGGGGAAAAGATGTAATCATTCAAAATCATTTTCATAGATGGCTTCTTCGGCTTCATTGTTTCGCCTGGAGTTGGAACGTCGATAGTACTTGGAGGCCACAACTGCAATTGCCGCACCAAGGATAATTCCGGCACAGCATCCCGTTATAACCATCCATTTTGAACTCGATGTTTTGCCCTGAAGAACTCTGCCTTCAGCCTCCGACTTTTCCTTTTTGATGTGCGGCATTTTGCAGACGAAGCGGGTTTCCTCTAAGCTATTATCCTCACTACTGTCTTCTTTACAAACCAGTTGACCACTCGGTAGATCGCAGTGACAACTATCCAAATTGAGGCAGGGTTCGTCCTCAGGATCCACGCAGACCTTGGCACATTTGGCCGTATTAAAAGTACCCTCATCATCATACTCGATCCAGCACATACAGCCCCCAGTACAATTTGAGTGATGCAAGATTCCGGAGGATGGTGTGTATATTGTTGAAGGTGTTGTCGAAAATATAGAAGTTGTGGTGCTGTCTTCCGTCGATTGAGTTGATTCTGTTGTAGATTGCGGCTCACAGATCCCGTTGGTATTCTCATAGCCCGGCCAACAGCTGCACTCACCTGGTGCCCTACAGTTGCCATTTAAGCAGGCTGGCTGACAGACGGGCTGGCAAACGGAAGTTGTAGGATTCAGACTGTCTGGCTGATAGCCCACGTGGCAGATACATATATTTGGCGCCACACAGTCTCCGTACATGCAGCCGCTTTCGCAGATCGGTTCGCAAACAGTTTCGGATTCGTCCTTAAAGCGATATCCTGGATCACAGGTGCACTTATTGGGGCTAGTGCATTTGCCATTAACGCAGTGAAGCTTGCACTGCGGCTCACAGATTTGATTGGGGCCCATCAGGTAGCCATTGTTACAGGCACACTGTTCCGGGGAAAAGCAATAGCCATTGATACATTCATTACTGCATTTGGGCTGGCACTTGTTGTCCAATCCCGTGACCTCATGGCCAGGGTAGCATTCGCACTTATTGGGCGCCACGCAGTGCCCGTAATCCGAGCAATCTTCCTGGCAATGTGGTTCACAGCGATTGTCTTTCATCACATAGCCGGTATTACAAGTGCATACATTTGGACTAGAGCAACTTCCATTCTCAGGACAACTGATGCAAACGGGTTTGCAGTTCACACCTCGTTCATTGCCGGCATATCCATCTTCACATTCACAGACTCCAGGCTTCACACAGCGGCTATTGGAGCCACAACCTTCCTGGCAGATGGGTGAGCACAAGCCTTGTCCATCATCCATGTATCCTTCAAGGCAAGTGCACAAATTTGGCTCTTTGCAATATGCGTTTAGTCCACAATCCGGTAGGCAAATTGGCTGGCAATCGGTGTCATTTCCCTGCTTTCTATACCCAGGTTCACATTCACATTTCCTAGGCTCGGCACAGAATCCATGATCTCCACATCCCTCGGGGCAAACAGGCAGACAGCTTTCGGTCGGGGTGCTTCTATGGTAGCCATTTAAGCAGCCGCACTTTCCGGGACTCTCGCAAAATTCATTCTTGCCACAATTTCCACTACAAATTGGTTGGCATTCGGTGCCGCTGTAGCCCTCGTTGCAACTACATACTTCGGGGGATGAACAGAAAGCGTTGGATGGGCATTTGTTAGTGCAGACAGGCTTGCAGTCATGGGTGGGTCCCTCGTAACCGCGACAGCAAGCGTATGTCGGCACATATCTATAGGCCACCTAGAATAAAAAAGAAATATTGTATACACATTCACAATCAGATCATTTTGATCTAAAAATAAAAATTACTTGGGCTTCCCACTCAAATCCTTGCCTATAACTTGTCACCCAACCTTCGTAATATGAATAATGCTGATATGGCACCAATTTAGTCTTGAGAATTTTATGTGAATATGGAACTTTTTCAAAGTTACTGCAAACACTTCCGCCGTAGTTTAGCCAACCCAAACTTAAGCCAATGGTCACTGCCAGGCATAAAAAACGTAGTAAAACGACAAACATTAAATATATAAATATTTTGATTATCTTCGGCAACTGCTCTGCTCAATGATTCTTAAAGTACTGAACCCTCATAAGAAGTGTTCTTTTATGAGTTGTTTTCTCTTGTATTTTTTGATAACAGATATGTTTATAAAGATTTGGATAAGTACATCCGTTCTTCTAAAAATGTATCAACATAAGTAGCTCGTAAGCTATATTATTCCACTAAACTTGTATACTTAAATAAAAAATGGAAATAGTTGCGCAAAAAAAGAAATTGAGTTACTGAATACTTTTATATTTAGTTAAAAAACAATTCATTATACTACCAATTTCAGATATACAAGTCTTCTTTATTGTTTCTTTTTCACTTACTTCATCTTGATATGACCATTCAGGGCGAGTTTTTGTTTGATAACCAAACCACATGGAGTACGACTGGTAAGGTACCATTTTACTCTTGTAGACGGTTCTCAGGTACGTAACAAACCGCGAGGAATTGCAAACATGTAGCCCCTGGGATTGAACGTAGGTAACGAATATTATTAATAGACCTAGGCAAGGCCAAAGACATCGACACTGTGTCATTATGGAAAAATCACAAAACTTGTGAAATTCCGCTTGGCTATCTTTATAAATGAGTTCGGTATAACGTTCCAATTCAACTGAGCTCTCAATATGAATATATTTAATTTAAGTTCCTCGAAGTTCAGTCGCATCCGTCGAGATAAACTGCACTGCATGAATATAAGCTTAAAAGCTTTTAATAATCTATTTTTTCAGCTGTATATCCTGCCTATCACATTAGAAATAAAAAACCGGAAGAAAAGCAAAATTCATACATATTTTTTTGCAAACAATTAAAATATTATATAGTAATGGTATTCCTCTTATCAACATTTTGATAAACCTTAAAGTACTTCCCTTACAGTTTTTATAAAAATAGTAATTTATAGCTCCCTATTGGGATGGAGCAACAAATATATTATCGCTTAAATCGCATTGCTTGGTGAATTTCATATTGGCTAACCGGGTTGCAACAGCAAACTTTTTTTAGTAACAAGATCGTAAATAAATAATAAAAGCTTGATATGAAAATTGACCGCCTGCAATAATGATTAGCCCTTATCATTTATTTGTAAGTGCTGTTCGAGGTGTATTTTTGATTAGAACGCTCTCTCTCTCTTGTTTGTTTCACGAATAGCCCCAGGTATCTCAGTGAACAATTCATTTGAAAATGAAAATCTCTCTTCGGTTCCCGAGTATGGAATTCCATGAGCAGCAGCTACAAATAGAGCTCAATTTCTGGTGTCCAAACAGATGCCAAGCAGAGTTCTTCGCGCGTGGAGGCATATATTCTAACGCTCTCGAAAATGATTTTGATTACTTTGACCCTGCTTTTGTTTGTGGTGGGGCTGCTGTATGCTGTTTTCATATGGAACTACGATCACTGGAAGAAGCGGGGTGTTCCGGGTCCCAAACCCAAGATATTTTTGTGGCAACTACCCAAGCATGTTTACTATGAAGAGACATGCCGTTTACGATCTGGACGAAATATATAGGTAAGTTCTACAGAAACAAAGATTACTCAGAACTGTGTTTTTTTACTAATCACTTGCAGGAAGTATAAGAACAAGTATGATGCAGTGGGCATTTACAGCGCCCGTTCTCCGCAGCTGCTGGTGGTAAATCCCGAGCTGGCACGTCGAGTTTTTGTTTCCAACTTTAAGAACTTCCATGACAATGACTTTTCTAAGAATTTTGACGAGAAAACCGATTTCATTTTTGCCAATAATCCGTTCACGTTAACTGGTGAAAAGTGGAAAAGTAGGCGGGCAGACGTGACTCCTGGTCTAACAATGGGACGGGTGAGCAAAGAATCCAACAGCGAGCCTTTAACATATCTATAACTTATAGATGTCAATTATATATTCACAGATAAAGACTGTCTATCCGGTGACAAACAAGGTGTGCCACAAGCTGAGCGAGTGGGTGGAAAAGCAAATTCGTTTGGGGTCTACCGATGGCATCAATGCCAAGAATGTAAGCTGGCAGATAATAATAAGTATAGTATAAAATAAACCAGTTTTTTATTGATTTGAACCCATAGATGAGTCTGGCCTTTACCTCTGAAATGGTCACCGATTGCGTTCTGGGTCTGAAAGCTGAAAGCTTTTCGGACAAGCCAACTCCCATTATGCAGAATATCAAGGACCTTTTCAACCAGCCCTGGACTTTCGTGCTATTTTTTATACTGACCACCACCTTTCCATCGTTGAGCCACTTGATTAAGCTACGATTTGTACCGCTCCATGTAGAACGATTCTTTGTCGACTTGATGGGCAGTGCAGTAGAGGCACGTCGCGCCCAATTGGCGAGCGGAAAGCAATTTGAGAGGTCCGATTTCCTGGACTACATCTTACAACTCGGAGAGAAGCGAAATCTGGACAACCGCCAGTTGTTGGCCTACTCCATGACCTTCTTGCTGGATGGGTTTGAAACGACAGCCGCGGTTCTGGCTCACATGCTACTCAACTTAGGTCGTAACCCGAAAGCCCAGGAGACTCTAAGACAAGAATTACGCGCCCATCTGAAAAATGGTATCATTAACTTTGACAATCTGAACGATTTGCCCTATTTGGATGCTTGCTTGCAGGGTGAGATATACAAAGTTATAGGCAATGATGCATTTTGCTAAGTTATTTGAACTTTAAAACTACAGAAACTATCCGCCTCTTTCCGCCCGGATTCATGTCCAACAAACTTTGCACTGAGTCCCTCGAGATCCCCAACAAGGATGGCCCTAACTTCATAGTGGAGAAGGGTACCACTGTTGTGGTACCGCACTATTCCTTTATGTTGGATGAAGACTTCTTTCCTGATCCTCAGTCTTTCCAGCCGGAACGATTCATGGAACCCGATGCAGCCAAGACGTTCCGGGAACGCGGTGTCTTCATGGGCTTCGGTGATGGACCACGTGTTTGCATTGGTTAGTAGAGAAATTAATACAACTTGATGAAATTTGTTTGAGCCCAAAGTTTATTTGGCTCTGCTTGACAGAATTCATCAATTTATTTTAATAATAATTTGCATTTCTTTTTGCAGGAATGCGATTTGCAACAACACAAATTAAAGCAGCCGCTGTGGAACTGATCTCAAAGTTCAATGTCAAGATTAATCCCAAAACCCGCAAAGACAATGACTATGATCCAGGCCTTATCATCACTAGTCTTCGTGGGGGCATTTGGTTGGACCTTGAAAAGCTTTAGAGACTCAATTACTTCCCAACTCACTCCCCTTCAGTGCGACAAAATAAATGAGAAAATTGATTGGGGCAAGTTTCCCAGTTATTTATTACAGTACATATATAGTGCGATAGCTGAGCTGGGAATTGTTTGACTTTGTCTTTGTTATTTTGTGTTTATTAATAAATATATTTTCTGTCATATAAGTTTTTTCTGTTATTATGTTATTTTAAAAATTTCAAATTGCTTAAAAATTTGCGGAACACATTGTTAGTCATCGCTGTAAAAAACCATCAAGTATTGAAAATATGTAAACTTGCTAATACAGGCAATTGAGATAGTCGAGCTTAGTCACAACCTTAATTCGATTTAAATAGAACGATAAGCAAATCGAAAGTTATTTATTTGGTTAATTTAATGTTAAGGATCTCCGGCGAGTGGACTGCACTTGGACTCGTATCGCGATCTGTGGGGCTATTGTTCTCCCTGCAATTGGGTTCATTAAACACATATGAATATAACGCATGGGTATCTGTCCCATATGAATGGCGATAGAGAGAGGAAAATAATACGTTTCAATGATAAGCGCTTAAGTCTGACTTACTTGTCCATGGAATCCATGGAAAGTCAATTGGCTGATCATTTGCCAAGCTTAACTTAAAGTGAACAGTTGATCGAAGTCGTTAAGCCGAGAATTATTTCTACAATTAAATGTCAATATGTTCGTCCTTGTGTTGGTTTTAGTAACAGTTCTGCAAGTGCAGGGCTGTGTAAATCGTGTTCCGTGAGTAAAAATCTTTGAATTCTAAATGTTTTCGATTCAAATTGTCTTTTGTTTCGAAACTTAAGGGTCGTTAAAATGCGTGGAACTCTGGTAACAATGCGTAAAAACCAAAATTCAGCCAACTGCACTACAAATTGTGGACCTTTGGTGGGAAGGACCAGAACCGAGGTGAGTTTATAAATAAAACGAAAAAGAAATGGACGAGGTTTTATGTATAATTACGTCCTCGAAAAATATTGGTAAGAATTAAAATATAATATTAATACCAATGCCAAAGAAGAAAAATTTGAATTTATTCTCGTATTCTTAGACCTATATGGGCTTCCATGATGTCTGCTGCGATGGATATATACGAAATGAAGAGAAGTAATAATCCGCTATAAACATTAAGTCTTTAAATTCCTGATTATGATGAGTTCATTTATTCCTCAGCGAGTGTGTACCACAATGCAGAGATTGTGGTACAGGCAAATGCATTTCGCCCAACGTGTGTTTGTGTGACAAAGGATATGCGAATCGCCAGGATCGGGGTCACTGTGAGCCGGAGTGCAGCGAGTCCTGCGTGAACGGAAAATGTGTGGCACCGGACGAGTGTGAATGCCTTTCGGGACATCGTTTCGTCAATGGCTCCCAAACGGAATGTGAAACAATTTGCGAGGGCTGTGGTAACGGACGCTGCCTGGAGTCGGGAAAATGTCAGTGCGACCCTGGCTATCAGTGGAGTCAGTCTCTTAAGAAATGTGAACCCATCTGCCAGGACGGCTGCTACCACGGCAAATGTATAGCACCCAATGAGTGTCTCTGCTTACCTGGCCATGAACAGCGTTTGGGTACACCGTGGATTTGCGATCCAATCTGCTCGAGCGGCTGCGCCAACGGCAATTGCGTGAATGCTGAAGAGTGTAAGTGCAAGGTGGGCTATGTCCATAAGGAGGACAATCTCGCCTCGGGGTGTGAGCCCTTGTGCAATCCTTCCTGTGTGAATGGCACCTGCATCTCGCCTGACCACTGCGCCTGCTCCGAGGGCCACGTTTTTGCCAATGGATCACACCATGTGTGCGTGCCCAGCTGTCGTTCCGGATGCGAGAATGGCTTCTGTAGCGCTCCAGGACGCTGTGAGTGCCACGAGGGATTCGAAAAGCTTTCGCCGCATCGCTGCACGCCCACCTGCCAACCCGGATGTGGGCGTAACGCCCACTGTACCGCTCCCGACACCTGTGCGTGTGACGCCGGCTACATCTTCGCCAACGGCAGCACCACCGAGTGCGAGCCCTTCTGCCCCAGGAGCTGCCGGAATGGGATATGCACCAGTCCAGGCTTTTGTACCTGCTTGGAAGGCTACCAGGTTAGCAGCATTTTAATATATAATTTTTTTAAATTTAAAAACTTATTCTTGTCGTTACTGCTTTCGGCTAGGCTCTCCTCTCGTTCTACTGTGTACCAATATGTACCAGTACCTGTATTCACGGCAGTTGCGTGGCACCCAACGAATGTCGCTGCTTCACCGGCTACCGACCAAGTGCCACCCTAGGATCGTATATTTGTGAGCCTATTTGTAGCCAGGACTGTGGCCACGGTCGGTGCATCGCTCCAGATATTTGCCAATGCGACTTGGGCTACGCCAAACGCTGGCCCCGTGGTTCTTGTGAGCCCCATTGTCCACTGAAGTGCATAAACAGTCACTGCGAAGGATCGGGACAGTGCCGCTGCTACGAAGGGCTACAAGCTAAGGCCAGGATCCACCAACATATGTGATCCGGTGTGCTCTCCGGCATGTAGAAATGGCACCTGCGTGGAGCCAAACAGCTGTGCTTGTTTCGATGGCTACGAGGACACAAAGGTGTCGTACGAGTGTGTGCCCACCTGTCGACCAAGGTGTGAGAATGGACGCTGCTCCTCCCCAGGACATTGTGAATGCAATCCTGGCTATGCGGTTACCAACTCTAGCGAGCCAAATTCATGTCAACCCCAGTGCCGTGAACAGTGCATCAACGCCGAGTGCCAGTCTCCGGAAAAGTGCGTCTGCCTACCTGGTTACCGATTTTTGAAAGACAGCAGCAGTGAGTGTGAAACGATGTGCTCTAAAGGATGCCGTTCCGGCCAAGAATGCGTTGGTCCTGAAGTCTGTGAAGGCGAAGGCTCGATGATTATTAGTACACCCAGCAAACACTTGGTCTTTCACTGGTCCATGTTCATCCTGGCCATTCTGCTCTGCCTGGCCTTGGTAATGATACCCCTACTGGTGCTCAAGGAGTTCCAGCGACGTCGACGAGGAGGCGACAAGCAAAGATCCCGACTCATCGAGAACCCTTCATATGGAGTTGTACAGGCTAACAGCGAGGAGGCCGACAATGAGTTGGGAATAGGTCGGGGGAGATTAGCATTATATCGAATATGCCCTGTGAATTTTCCTTTTAAAGATATAAACTAAATGGACTTTTCAAAAAATAGATATAGTATCTTATACTTCAAAATCGAAAGGCAGTTTTCTGTGTGTGGAAATAGTTTAATTTGTATTTTTATGGCTTTGTTTCGTTTACAATCGAATTGTTCGATTAAGTTCTACACCGAAGGATGCTTGGCATCTTCGAAAATAATACACGCATATATAAATATATATATATATAGTTATGCTAAACATTTATGGTTAAAAGTTAAGAATGTACTCTACCGTAATAAGTTATGTAATTCATAATACTCTTTGTCAACTCTGGCCAGTTTCTCAAGTTGTTGTTAAGGTACATGGTTGGATTAACTAAAATGTTTCGTTATGATTTCATAAATGTAGTTAATAAAAATGTAAAGTAAACAAAAACAAAGAAACTAACTTAATGATTTTTAACTAATGCATAAATTTTGGATAAATGAAGTTTAATATTTATCTACATTCGATTTGCCTAATAAAAAACTTCAAATTCAACAATAATTTAAGAAACTGGACTTGTGACTGATCCTTTGAAAATGGTTATCCTTTGGGGTGATGTATTAATTCAAATGGATCCTTATCTTCGGTGTGATCTAACTTAACAAATTGGCTACTTAATGCTATAAGTATATTATATTTTATATGCCTAAAGCGAATTTTGTTTATTTTTTGTCTTTACTAGTCTAAATGCCAAATCCTTCGACCAGCCCTCATCCCCTACCCATTCACACCCCGTATACAATCTATGAACACAGTCAGCTTTTGTCCTGTTCCCTTGACCTTTACAGAAAGGTCTCCCGGTTGCCTTTTCCCAATCTCCGCCAGCTCCAATCCCAACATCATGGTGGTGCATCGTTAGGATCTGGCGGAGGTTTCGCCGGCTGCAACACTACTGGTGGTGGTGAGGTCGGTGCGGTGGTGGGAGCAATGAGAAAACCACTAGACGCCCCAGGAAGTGGCATGCCCAGAAAAGCTGCTACTCCAGTATTGGCCGAGTCGCCGTCCTCCATGATCACCGAACTATCGGCCGCTGATGGTATGGTGGGCAGGAAACGCACTCCCAGGCGAGGAGGCGATGAGTCCTCTTCCTCCTGAACAGCTTCCTGGCGGACCAGTCTTGGTTTTACTGCATCCAACTGGGCTTTGCCATTGTGGGCTAAAAAATAGTGATTTATTTTTGAAGTAGAGAAATCTATTTTTACCTATTATCGACGGCAATGGTGTGCTACTGCCGGCACTAGATCGTGATAGCCGGAAGGTTGAAGTGCTGGCTGTGGTGGCCGAGGCAGAAGAGTCATTTCGGGAGCTCGACAAGTTCGAGTCCTGCGACGTTTTCCGCGTGATCAACCAAGCAGAATGTCGTCTCCTTCCATGACCGTGTTGATGACCATGTGGGTCCAGCATCTTCAGCGGCATGCTGCAGTTACCTGGCGGTATGGGTGCAGAGGATGGAGGACCATGCCGCCAACTAGAGGATCGTGAGCTGCAGAAGTTCTCGCTGGAAATGGAGCTGGCTCGATTTTGACGTTGCTGACGCAGTTCAGCGAACTGATACTGATACGGATTGGCGGCGGCAGCAGTATAAGCTCTCTGTCGCCTTTGTTGTGGCTGCCTTCTCTGTTTACGTCTCCTTCTACTTTCTCCACAGCAGAATGTCCTTAATCTTTGCCACAAACTGGGTGTCTGTTCCATTTTGTGCCAGTTGGGCATTTCGCTGGGCAGCATTCTAAGACACCGACAGCCGGGCGGATGTGCCGCAGCTGGCAACAATGGTGGTGGGAGTTCACCCCTCTTGGTACGCCCCACTGCCCCCCGGCCACCCTGTCCACCACCTCCCACAACGCGGGATTCCTCGAAATGTTTGCATAGCGTGACACAGTCCTTCTTAAACTGTTTGGTCATTATGGCGTAGAGGAAAGGATTGCAGCAACTGTTCAGAGGAAGCACAAAAACCGTAAAGATCTTTGCCTGCTCTAGCGAAATTAGTTGGAGTCCAAAGATGGCGGTGATGGAAAAAAAAGCGATCGGCGACCAGCAGAGGAAATCCGTAAAGACCAGCAAAGCCATCCTTTTGGCTATGCGTGAATCATTGGTATTCCATGCTTGGCTACCCCTGATCGCCCAATACATCTTCAGATAGCATCCCATTAAGGTAAGGAAAGCACATCCATTGATGAACATCAGTGAGATCACATAGGTCAAACTGGCCGGTCCAGTGGTCGTCTCAAATGGCAGGCACACGGCAAACTTTCTGTAGTCCGAAACTCCCAACAGCGGCATCAAGGCCATGATCAGTGCAAAAACCCAGCCAACACTCATTATATAACCAGCTTGCCTCAAGGATAATCTCTTGTTGAGGTGTATAGCATGGGTGATGGCATAATTTCGCTCCAAAGTAATCACCGCCAGTGTGTAAACGGACAACTCAGAGCTAAGTACGGCGAGAAATCCGGACAACTGGCAAAGCAGAGACATCTGCCAAGGAATGGCGAACATTCGAAACTCTCCTAAAGTCGCTGCATCCACAATAGCCAGGATACCCAGGTAAATTCCCATGAAGAAATCGGCAGCCGCCAGATTACAGACTAGAAATCTTGGTACATCCATCTTTGACCGCGAGCAGAGAAGCACAAAGACCACGGTTCCATTTCCCAAAAGGGATAGCAGAAAAACCACCCACACTCCACACCTCAATGTCCACCAATCGAAAAGATCAGCGCATGGCAAAAAGGGTCCTGGCATTGGTAGGCACTGCACTGATCCTGGTTGGAAGTCCTCGGTGGACATGCCTGAGAATAAGCCTGTTCCAAAGCCATATCCTGTGCCAGGACCACTCACGTCGTGTTCCTCAAAGTATTCCTCCATATAGCTGGTGGCGATTTGGCCTCCCGTTTGCGATTGCAGCTGCTCCTCATTGAAGTTGACAGCCGTTTCCCACGGATCGTGCATGGCAGCACCCAGCTGTTTACTGAGATTGTCTAGAGGAAAAGTCATAATATAAATATTTATGCTTAAAAATAGCTTTGGTAGAATAGAATAACAATTTTTTTAAAATTTAGATGGATAATTTTTTGTGGTATTTAATAATTTTTAAAGGAAAACTTCTTATTAAGCTTATACTCACGCATTTGTGGCCAGATATTCATCATGCTGTTGTTCCACAAAGTCATATCGAACTCCGCGTCGGAGGGAAAGAGAACGGCCTCCTGGACCTGGGATGTTTTCTTCTGGGCAGACATGGCCACCAGCGGAAGAAAAGCGCAGCAATGATAGGCATATGAGAGTATTAGTGTTTGGATCCGTGGAAAGGTGTCTGGTGGAGGAAAAACCCTAAGTTTTGGATTGTTAAAGGTCTTTAGGTGGAGCAAAGCTCGCAATCCCGATTCGGGTAGCTCCGGGAAAATGTTGTTGCCCAAATTGAGATCCTCGAGGGCTGTAAAACCGGAGAAGGCTTCCTTGTCTATGTGGGAGATTTCATTGCCCTCCAGGTCACTGTGAATACAAGAAATAAATCTTAGCTGTCTACGAATATTTCTTTAAATATATTAACCCACAGCAGCTGGAGCTTGGGAATGCCCTGAAAGGCATCTTGGGGCAGTGCCTTGATTCGATTGTAGGAGAGCAACAGATCGTGCAACTGCTTCAATCCATTGAAGGGCTTCCCCTGAATTGTTTCAATTTGATTGCTCGATAGATCTCTGCTTTAAGAATTATATATGAGATATATAAAAGGATTCTCAAGTAGGTTTAAACTCACAACAGCCTTAAGTCTCTGCAGCTACTTAAATTTGGGATGCGTTTTAGGGAATTGGTTTTTAGTTCTCTGTGAACAAAGTGATTACATAAGTTACAGTTCAACTTTAACCCAATGTTTATATTAGTTTACTTACAAACTCTTCAGTCTTGGCGTTTGACGGCATAGATTCGTTGGCACCTCCTGAATGCCGGCACGATCCAGTTTCAGTATTTCCAGGGCATGACAGGCCTCAAGTTCAGGGAACGAGCGCAAGGTTCGCACATCCGATAAAATACTGAAAAATCAAGGACTTGAATTTTCCTGGCACTTCGAATTGTGCCAAAATCGACCCTGTGAAATACTTACAGCTTCCGCAACTTGGTCATTCCCCGAAATGCCCCTGCCGAAATGGTCGACAGGGGATTGGCTCTCATGTCCAGCATTTGCATGCTCCTGGGCAGTTCCGTGTCGTTTATCCAGCGCAGTCGATTGCTGGTGATGGAACTGAAGGGTGGAGGGTGGCAGAAATTTAATAAAAACGTTTATCCAATGCCAAGAAAAGTATCTTCGTGATACACACTGCTGGCAAGTGGCACTCGGTTGCAGCTGCATTTAAAAGTCAAGTTTTGCAAACAAGCCAACAAAGCCAAAAATAAACTGTGACAAGAGCATACTTTTGGGCGCTCATATTGTTAACGTCTTTTTGTGTTTCTTGGCCGACATTTGGGGGTAAACGGAAATTGTAAAGTGTTGGGCAGACAGAGTTCACCTAGAAAGCAAGCTGGCATCGGGAAAATTAAATTATCAACAAAAAATCATATTTAATTTCTTGACACTTTAAATTCCCTAAATGAAGTTCCCTTTAAATTGCATCTCATTGTCTAGAAAAATCTTTTTGTTTATCTCTTCCTATTTTGTTGCACTGACTTGGCTTGACTCCTATTCTTTTCCGAGTGAAGTCAACAAAACACAGACGCTTTCTTGGTGCTTTTAATCCTTTTAAATTTGATTTTTTGTTTGTACCACATCCACATTCACATACAAACCGCACACACATGTCGACGAAGTGTTGGGATATTTTCTTTGCTTCTACATTCGTACAAATTTATCTACCAGCTTAATTCCCCAATCATGGATGCACTGGCTCTGGAGATGCAGCACAGCGTGGCTTTTATCGCAACATTTAACATGCTCATAATTATCCTGTTTACCAGAAATTGAATTTCCTTGGGGACTTCTTGCAATCGCAAACGATGTCAGCATTGCCATGACAGTTGCCACGGACCGTCTAGATGTTGCCATGTTGCTGTGTGGTCTCCTTTTCGAGTTGCTCAAGGAAGTGGTCGTGTGACAAAAACAAAATGCAACTTGCAGTTCTTTCGGTTCTCGATTCGTGGCTGGCAGGATATGGAATAGAACCAAGCTGCGGCTGCGACTGCGGCTGGATGTGGCCATAAATTGGACAAGTAATGATGCGTTATGATTTTTGGTTTCCGCTTGTTTGCCGCCCCACAAACTCGGAAATGTCGTAGCGAAGTCAACAACACCACTGCCAGTTGCAACTGCCATTGCTGCTCCCCGCATACTACTTTGGCTTATATTTGTTGAACACCTGTGCCTTCTCGTTTATCTGATATACTTACAGCTCCTGCAGTTGTGACAATTTGTTGAGACCCTCGGGCAGGCTGCTTATTAAATTATCGTCCAGCTCTCTGCAAAAAGGAAAAAAAAACCAAACATACTTTGAAATACATTTCTTGATTTCGATTATAGAAATTGAGTTGCAAATTTTTGCTCTCTCATTTTATTTTCCTAAGAAATTACAGCCATTTGAATGACTTTGTTTGGGGGTCAGTTTTTCTACGTGACATCACGTAGTTCTTAGCGGTGGATTTTCCATTTCCGATGGGGTGCCTCCTGGTAGAAAATGCAAATTTATGCGCGAACATAAAGCTTTCGGGTAACTGCATTGATTTCAATTATTTATTAAATTTTTAGGTAACCTTGGTAATGGGAAGTTATTACGAAGTAAACGTTTTTAATCGATTTAACTGTCTTTTTCCTCAAATTAAACCAAGCTATTGTTGACCTGTTTTCCCTTTTTCTCTTTAGAAACTTCGATAACCAGATGCTAAGAGGGGACTGAGAACAACAGATGCTTTTACCACCAACTTTCAATCTCATTTTCCAACCACATATGACCCACTCTGACTCCACTTTGGGTGGGCGTGACTTTGTTTCCATAAATCTAGAAGCAAACTGCAGTATGCACACGGAATATTTCGCTCATTCTCGGTGAATAGTTAGATTTACGCGTTGCACGGGAAAAGTTTTTTCACTTTCACTTGATGCATTCCTCGGAAGGTTGGCCACGCCTCCACCTTAGCTCTGTTCGCAAAAGAGAATGGGACTCTGTCAGCCACAACATAAATTTGCATATTTGTCTGCTGCCAGCGGTGGGTGGTGGGAAAATATGTGGATGGAGGATAAGGAGCCGGGCCAGTGGAGCGCTTTTTTATGTGCCCACGAAAAAGCATGCAGCGCAAAAGCCAAAAATTTGCGGTAAACAGAAGCGCAGAACGTCAACGCTGGCGACGACAATTTAAGCTGTCGGATCCGAACCAAAGTGAACTCAACGCGCAGGATGGGGCTGAGGAAATAAAGAAAAACGAAAAGTTTTCCACGATTCTGGTGTAAAATTGAAATTTATTCGAGCCGTGGCCGCAAAACGGATAAACACCATTTCCACTTGCCACTTGTGCTCGGTTGAGGTATTATCGCTTTTTCCCTTTTAATGGGGTAAATCGGATTGCAGATTAAATATGTGAGATTTTAATGAAAAAGATACACAACAGCTCTTAGTTAAATATAAACCTAATTTTTCCCCAGGTAGCTTATATTTTATGCCTTATATCCACTTTTTTTTCACCTACAAATTAGAGTATTCAAAATTCTACTAGCTACTGCCAAAAAGAAATCATTTTTCTATTTGTTATCAATTGCAGTTTTGTAGGTCGCTTGGGTGTCAGTGTGTTTATGTCATGTGTGTGTTTGGGCTTCCTGGATAAAGTTCTTAAAGTATTTGAAGTTTTTTCGCATCATTCTTGCTACTTACAAAACTTTTAAGGCGGTTAAATTTTTTAGAGCTCCCGCGGAGATTTTCATGATTTGATTTCGTTTCAGTAAACTGCAAAATAAGAAGAGAAATGAATGCTTAAAGTTGGTGCACATGAATATGGCTACCAGGAGACTTCAATTACTTACAGCACGATCAAGTTTGGCATTCGTGGAAAGTCCTCGTCGTTTATTATTGTCAACAAATTGCTGCCCAAATTGCTGTCGATGGTTGAAGTGGAAGCAGAAGATAGAAATTATGAGCAATCGCATGGTTTTATGATCCCCTAACTTTCGCTTATAATTCAATGCCATTTTGTGGCTCAAGTAAATTTTGTAGATTAAAAATGGTAAAACTCTTGGAATGAAGGAAGTTATGGGGTCAATGCTCGATGAAAACATGCACATAAAATTATTATTATTGTCTGTGGTTAGTTTATATGGGATTTATTGTTGAATGTCTGTTGCTTATATTGGGTATTAAATCAATTGTTTTTCAAATTAAAACATTAGCTTAGTGCTTTTGGCTTGTAAGCCATTTTTCTAAGCTCATAAATTAGTAAACATTTTCAAATAAAATTATTGACAATACAATTTTCAATTGCACCCACAAATTAATTAAATGATGAAATCATTAGCCTAATTGGTTTGTTTAGTTCAACACAAACCTTCACCAAAGTGCATGCCAAAACATAATAAAACATTTACAATGCGCCAGCAGCAACATGGATTAAAGAATCAAAGTAACAAAGTTTTTGGCCAATTTACTTGGTTACTAATTTTTCAGAACATGCAGGATAATAATTATTTGTAAAAATGAACTCTTGAAGGCAAGTCAAAGGGCTCACAGTGCTTCGAGCGTTCTGAGTCCGGCCAAGGCGTTCGTAGGGATTCGATAGAAGAGATTCCCCTCCAATCGCAAGGTGCGCAGTTTCTGCAGGTGGCCCAGACAATCCCCATCCAGGCTGACCAGGGCGTTACCATTCAGCTGTCTGTGTTTTTGTAACCATTGCGAAAATATCAAAATAAAACGAGGGGGGAAAAAACAGCACAGAGAAGCGTAAAATATGAGAAAATAGCGTGTAATTGCTCGACGAGTGCATGTGCGAGTGGCACTGTGGCAGTGTGGCAGTGTGTTTGCCCGAAAAACAAACAAATTCATCCGGCTGAGAAGTCCTCGCTGCTGTGCTCCTACATCCTCTCCGGCGATATTCTCAACTTAATTGCAGTGCTTAAAAGCAAACATAAACGTCCACGTACACTCAAGCACACACACACTTACATCAGGGGGCTGTCTTTGTATTATTTTAAACATTTTTCCTTGCATACTTACAGGCTGGTCAGCTGAGCAAGTCCTTGGAACGACCGCGGTGGCAAGGACTTGAGGCCACAGTTCTGCAGGCTCAATCGTTTCAATTTACCCAGGCCATAGAATGCATTGGGATCCATATTAATGATGCTATTGTCGGACAAAGTTCTGCAAATAAACCTTCCCTTGGTCAACAAATATTACGTATATAAGCGGCATAAAGTCAAACTAAAGTCGAGTGTCGTTGGCTAAAGTGCAGGAAATTGCAAGGATGGCAAAGGCGGGAGTAATTAATCGTGCCAACCCGCTGAAATATACAGCGTAATCAAGTAATTTATATTACCAAGGGGCAGGACCCAAAACCAGGAGTGTGGGGATCTGCGGTTTGGTCAGGGTTGGGTTAAGGGTGTAGACCGCTGTGATTTTTTCTTTTCTGGTATTTTTTTTTTACTGATGGGTTTGCTGTGAAATTGAATAATGAGTTGCCATGCCCGGCGATGGCAACTTTGACTGTTGAAATGACGAAAGTTTTTATATTGTTGTCATATTTTTACTCTTGTTGCTGCAGTCCAGCACAGATTAAAATGGGGAAGTTTTGCGGTTTCTAAAGTACCCCAAGGGAGCTTGGGTGTTTTTACTATGGATTAATTTGGACTGGGAAGGATAATCTGGACCATGAATGAAATTGGTAAATATATCATTAATTAAAGCCACCATAAAACTGCTGGACTGAACAATTCCCTTTACATTTTGACATCAATCAGGCATTTATACTCACAGCTCCTCCAGATTGGGTACCATAAAAAATGAGTTTGCCTCCAACTTGGTTAGGTTGTTGTTGCCCAGATCTCTGTTGGTGAAATGAATGACAGAAACAAAACAATAAACAAATTAATAACTGTATTGAAGCATCCTCGATGCCAACATTTCATCTATCAGTAAGGCAAAGAGAAAACATTTGCCATTGCCATGAATTGAAAACGAGGCTTAAATGATTGGTGCTAGGGGGAAAACTCAGTGGGCCATCAATCAAACTGGTAATGGCATAAAAACATATTGAGCTAACCCTGAGAGATCCTTGCGCAGCGGAAAATGGCATAAAAATGAAGATGAACCGCCTGGCAAGGGAACAGTTTTTCAGAGATTCTTTGCCATGCCAACCAAAAAGCTTTTGGCCAAATCCGAAGATTCACATTGAAAGTGAAGGTAGTATTTACGTTTCAAGTGATTTTAATGGCTTATGACTGGTGTCTCTGAGCGATGCGTTAATTAATAAATTATTTATTTATTTATGGACCGTTCGAGTTGGCCATTAATCAGTTGAAACTTTGGCTAAGCCAAATGCGGTTCCCAACTCCTTTGAGAGAGCCCGTCGGCGGCAAGAAAACGTGACTCACATACGTGAGCAATAATGGTCAAGTTGACGCTGATGATGACGACGCGACGGTGACGATGGCGATGATTGCGAAACGCTGCACAACGTGGCGTATGTGTAATTAGATTAAACCGCATGCCAAAATCGTCCGAAACCGAATCGGACCGAAGACTGCGAAATTTACTTGTAATTATGCGATTTGCGGAATTCCAGCAGCGGAAAATGGTTCAATACTTCGTACTGTGAGTCGGCCTAATCGCTTAATAAGGGGAAGTTTTGGAATTATTAATCGTTTAATTAAGCAGCCATTGTGGTGACATAGCTTTGGAGATTTGACTAATGGGAAGCTATTGACTTGAAAGGACTTATGTTAGATTATAAGACTAGATTATGAAGACTACTATATTGAATTTTATGGTTTTTTATAGTTCTAGAAGCTGTTAGATGTAGTTGGAAATACTTACAGGACGACCACCTCGCTGGGCAGGTTAACTGGAACAGCCAGGATGCCAATCCCACGGCAGCTGAGCCGCAGGACCTCCAAGCTGCCGCTGCAGTGACAGTGCTTTTGCAGCCAGCGTTCACAAACGACGTGCAGCGTACGTTTGCCGCCGCTGACATCGGAGGTAGAGACAGTGGACAGTTGGCTGCCATGGTACTCCTGCAAGGACTTCTCGTACAAGATCTGGGCCTCCCTTTCTGGATCGGCCGATGGCAGCATGACGTTCTCCCTGATGCCCGAGGGCGTGGCAGTGGCCGTTTTCGAGGTTATATTCACAGAATTTTGTTCGTTGGCTTGTTGATGTTGCTGTGGCTGCTGCTGCTTCTGCAGGTGTTGCAGATGTTGCTCCTGGCGATTAGATTTGACTGTAGAGGGGATTTTTTCTTTGGTTTCATCATGGCCATGGCCCAACGCTGCTGGTAGCAAAAGCATTCGGAGCAACAGCAGAGAGCAGAGCGCCAGGCGCCAGCTCCACCGGCAACGCGATGCCATCGTCGCAGTCGTCGCTTTTGTTGATTGATGCTGTCAAGCATTTGTCATTTGATGACAGTTTTGTGTGCGATTCGTTTCTCGCTCATGATTCTCGGCTGCCGTTGCGGTTCCTTAAACTTGGCTCAGCTCACTTCTCTTGCCGCAGTTCGAATTTATTTCATTCACTTTGCATTCACTTTCCGCTTCAGTTGCACTTCATTGTTTTTTTTTCTTGATATCTATATATATATATGTATATATTAAACGACAGCAAATGGAATTCACTTTGATTGCTTGCGTTTTTACGCTTAACGTGGCTCAAATGCAGCGGTTTACCAAGTTATCGTGGTGATTGATGCCGTCTAAGGAGATGCGATAATGGGGTGTCAGTCACGGTTCTTAAACTATTATTTATTGGCTCTTTAAGGTTAATGAATGCTGTTATTTCTATCACCACTTTGTGGTTAGTGACTAATGAACTCTGTCAAAAATTTAATTTGAAGTACAAAAATATCTTAAATAGGATACAAAGGGGAAATCTTTTCAACTTGTATGACAATACTTCCTGACAAAAAAAGATTCTATCAAACAGCCTAACATATCCTGAATGTCGAACTTTTTTGTCACATTACCCTCATCATGGCAGCATAAAATAAAGTTTTTCACCCCACCCAAACACATAACGTACAAAATTAGCCAACAGACCATCAAACACTTGATATAAACAATGGGCCTAAATCACTAACTGGCCAAAACGGGCATGGGCACAGGACCGAGCCTTGTTCCTGTCAGAAACAAAAGGCTAAGAGCAGCGCACACACAAAGCTGATGAATGACAAATTTGACACAGAATGTTTCCTGCAGAATCCGTGGGGCAAGGCCCATTTTTCCCCACTATGACCGAGTCATAATTAATGAGTCTGTTGACAGTTTTAGATTTGCAATGGGCTACAAAGTGTTGACGAATCGCTTTTTTATATGTAGTATGCCAAACCAACTAAATGAATCTTAACTTCACATTCTGCGCGCCCGAAATGTCACTGTGTGATGTGTTCAGGGCAGGATGAGGAAGGACAAAAATATGTCCGAAAATAAAAGAGATCTCCCAGCACGAGCCACTGGCAGTAGCGTCTTCACCTCCACCCCACCATCGTCGCAAAATCGCTCACACTTTTGCCGGATGATTTATGGCATGTTTATGTTCCACTGACCTCGCAACTAGCAACCGAAAAACAGCAACAACTGAGCGGATAGTTGGGCACCACGGAAACGTGGCCCGTGGATATGGAAAAAAATATAAGAAAAGATGGGGAAAATACTTGACAATGTCGACTTAAAGATACCTCTATTTATACAAACGTTTTCGTATATTTTTACTTATGTTTAAGGAAATATAAACCAGTTTACAGGTAAAACAGTCTAAATTGATTTTAATTTTACTTATAGATCTCAAACGATATAAGTTAGTCAAAGTAAAAGAGCACCCTAAGACTGTAGCACATAATGTCCAAATTCCATATACCCTTTTGAAATCTACAAGTTAGGGTATAAAAATAGCACGAAAAAACCGCAAACGATGACGACGATGATTTCAATTGCCTCTAATCGAATCTGGGGAGTATTTTATGGCCCTGCCCGTTTCCATTCATGAATAATAATCTGTTTCGCTCCTCTCGCCGTTGCTAATTGTAAACAAAAATAATTGATTGTTATTTATTTACTATGAATATCGATTATAAACACTCCGATATTTAGTATCTTTTATGCGAATTTGAAAGAGTTTGTGCAGGTTGGCGACAAGGTGATGAAAATGACTTCATAAACTTCGATTATGAAATTATTTGTTCTATAAATGGAATCTGTTAGGCATTTATAGGACTCTATATAATATAAAGATTTTCTCTGTTTTTCGCAGCTTTACCTCTTGTTTACCCCTAGTAATAAGTCCCCGAAGCGAACTTTCAACCCTTGCCAGCGAAAAACTTTAAGCCATCTGCAAACGAATGGGAAAATTCAAATATTTACACCCTGAGTTGGGTGTGAAGAAAATGGAAAAAGGTAAAGCAAAACAGAAAAACAAAATAAAATGGGCGGGAAGAAAATCAAAACCAAAAGGCAGACAAATGCAAACACACGTTTTCCAGTTTAGGTTTGTTTGGCTGAAAACTGGCAGTCTGCTCAAATCGTTTTTCATAACTCCCGAGGAGCTATTCAAATATCCTAGGTACTACAAAATGCTCCTGGAAGTTGTTTGTTTTGTTTTCAAAAACTTTTAAAAGGGTTAAGTTTGCTCTTGATTAAAAATTCATAATGGAAAACTTAGCCAAGATTCTAGTTATGTTTTTGGTAGCAGAAATGATCATCAAATCGCTTAAAGAATTCAAATTTCCTGTTAATAAATAAAGGTTTAAACGGGCAGTTAATTGCATTTATTTTTGGAATTTCTAATCTCGTCCAAGTCAATCCTCCATTTCTAGGCATTTTAGACAGGTCTTAATTAACTAATTATATCGCTATTAGTCGCCTGGCTGATTAGTTGACATTGACTGGGTATTGTGACAGATCAATCTCAGTGTTTATCACATAATCGTTAAAGCGGTTTATCGCAATTTTCGCCGAGCCATGCAAATTTTCACAGTTGAACGATTGCCAAGTCAATCGTTTCGGTATTTTTGCGGATTTAATTGTCACACGATTTTGTTGTGACTGTGACTTTAATTGATATATGGTCAGTTGGCTTATAGTCATTGAGAGTGTGTGTGTGTGTGTGTGTGTCTTATACTTTTGGGTTTTCCACGCACTTCAATGCCAATCTGTGGACAACCCACATAACTCCACAGAAAGCTTCAAAAATTCATGAAAATCTCATAAATTTTTGCATTCACAGCGATTAATTACAAGAACCCAGACACTGACACGCCCCAAAAAAACAAAAATTGCGATCCGTAGATGTGAGTGTGAGCACGTCGGTGGGAAATATGAAAAATATGAAACCCGATATGGCAAAAGTTTAATTTTCTTGTTGAAAATTGCTTTTGACATGGAGTGAATTTATATTTCCCCAAAAACAGAGCGCCGGCCAACTCTCAACCTGAGAGATGCAAACTTATGTGGCTTGATGGAATCAATTTTAGCTCACTTGATATGTAAAAGAAATCAATAGTCAGCAGCACAACACACTCGATTGTGAGTGCGTTTTTTGTTTTTCGTATTTTTTTGTACAAGTGCACCTCACCAAATACAAAACTGGATTTTCAACACAAAATGCAACTTCAGTTTTGCCGCTGCTGTTGCATTTATGCTGTTTTACACTGACCTTGATTCATTGTGGGATATTTTCGATTTTTTGTTGCTTTTGGCTTTTTCGCGCTCGACTTTATTAATGACAGCTGTTGCATAATTTATTTAATTTTTTGGCGCGCTCGAATCTGTTTTAAGAGCAAAATAATTAAATGTGATTTCTGTTTAAGGAGAAAATCAATTTTCTACTCAATCGCCAAAGGAGAAACGCGGCTGATGAGTATGAAATTTAACTAATTAAATAGATTTCTTAGCTATTTATTTCTATCTTATAGTTTCAAGGCTTTGCGATGCAGAACCAGAATAACTCTTCTAAATAATTGGCTGAATATAAATCATTAATTGAAACATTCTGAACTTTTCATCATTAATCCAAATATTATTATAAACATTTTGAGACCATAAACTGGCAAAATAAATGCCATAAAATGTGGTTCTTTTTTTAGACCTGCCAAACAATTATAAATTTGATTTTTCCCCAATCAAACCAGAGGCCACACCAAAGTTCACACCTTCCAGACTTTTATAACGTGGCCTTATCCCACTGATCGGGGCACTTATTGATCGCTTTGATCTCGGGGCTCTTCTCCTTTTTGGCCCATTGTTAAGATGCTCACATGTATTTTGCGATGTTATTATTGTGCGGATTGCTGTCGAATCGATTTCGTGTATCTTTAAAATGGCCTCAGGGAGTGATGGGTACAACTCGCTGGCAGCTCTCATTATTGGCGATTATTCAACTGTTTATTTTATGGCTTTCTCATTACATTCTCCTTAGCTGTTGGCCGTGCAAATTGGCAACGTCATCGCCATCATAATCGAGCTATTAGCCAGAAAGAGAGAAGGCTTCTTATTTACATTTCATGCTTCTCAATTTTATTGGCAGTTTGGGTCAATTGTCTGGCGAGCGAAATCGTTTTTCTGTTTCTTTGTTGGAGATTCTCGAAAGTAATTAATACCCGAAATCTTGACTTTTGATTCGTTTTTAAACTTTTGTTCTTCACATCCCACATTTGCTTCTTGTTCCCCCAGAAATTACGTGCATGCAAGCCATTCATTTTGGCAAATGGAAATGCCATTTTGTTTATTATTGCTATTTGTATCATTTTTTTCGATTCTCTTGGCTTGCAATCAATAGAATATCGAGCACAAAGGCAGCTGCCAACTGGCAACTGACCTGAAAATGTGTCCAAAACTCGATTAAGTAAATCGTAGCAGTGGGTTGGAGGTTGGGGCATACTTATTTGTGGCTATCTTTTGTAGAACGTGACACAGCTGCAACAATTGATTAGGCATACGACCCGTTGAACCCTGTTAACTCTGACCGCTGCACTAGACAACAATACCAAAAATTCCTATCTCTTTCATTTTTTCGGTGTTTTGTTTTGCTGCAGACATTTTTATAGCTCCCAAATTGGTAACAGTCAACTGGGTGGGTGAAGATGTCAGTGGCAGTCCACTTGGAATGGAGGAGCTGTGGTTCTTCTTCCACTATCCCCACCATCTGGGTAATTGCTGACTGACATTTGTGGTTTTCTTATAACCGTTTCGAGGCGCTGGGCCTCTGCGATGCTAACACTTTAAGTACAAGGAACCAAAGAGCAATATCAGTTCTAGGAACTGATACGGCATTAGGCATTAAATAATATGAATGGCAAGAAACTAAAAAGCAATATCGGATGTTTCAGCATACAGAGAAAAAATAGAAATTCCAGAAATTATATCTTTTTCTTCCGTGTACTTGAATTAATTGATGTAACAACTTAATTACGCATGCCTGAAGACTAACTTAACTTAAAGGGAATACAAAGAAAGTGAAATCTCATTTTGAGTCAATGAAGGGTAAATTTTCATCGTCACACCTTGGAAGGGCAAGGGTCGCCATGGAGTTTGCCAGAAGCCAAGTAGAAAATTTTCCATTTGTGGCAAAAGCGCAAATTGCATTAGGGCAAAAGTTTTCCTTTCAGCTTGAACGATTTTGTCAGCATCTTCTCTTGCTTGCCCCATTTCCCTCGCCACCCCATTCCATTTGCCTAATTACACCAATGCGGCAACATCATTAAAAAACTTGCAACGCTTTTTTGATTAACACCATTAAAACCATACATTTTGAGTTTATAGGCGAGCGTCATTCTATATATTGTGACACATATTTCGGGAATCGTGTCAATTACTTGAGCGCTTCTTTTTTCAACAGAATAACAATTTCCGCCAATGACGAAGATCAAAAACGCACAGAGAGAGCCTACGCCCACGCTTGAGTTATCATATCACAAGTATGATGTCGCCATTCAATAAATATAACATTTTAAATGAAAATGTTTATTTTTGCACTACCAATTTGTGATTGC